CATTCGATTTTGTATTCGATTTCTTAGTCCTTTTTGTGTTTGGCAGAATTCCATCCCTCCTGGCAGAGTCCTGGGCCAAAAATAGCCTCGATAAAACGCTAACAGAGCCATTAGCCATCATTTGTTGTTTGGCTCGAGATTTCCATCAAATTTTTGATTCAAGAAGTTTTTCAATAAAATTATAAATGGTTTGTTCGATTATTTGGTGGATTTACTGTTTAAATCTTAATTATTTATAAATTAAATCTTTTAAAACTTTTCTATTATTTCTTAATCCCCAAAAAACTATCACCAAACTCCCACCGCAAGCCAAACAAATTTGAAAATAAATAAATTTCCCGCAATGACCTTTTTTGCGGGAATTGACATTTAAAATATATTTTTTTTTATTTTATAACGCCTACATAACAAATATATATCTTCCGGCTGATCCAGGATGGTCCTCCCCAGGATGCCCTGTCCATTATCCGGCGAGTCATTTGCCAAATGCCAGGCCATTGTGCCGGCACTTTATGCTAATGCAATGTTGCGTGATCCTTGAAGGAATTGTCATCACCGCAGGGGAACTGGAAACTGGAAGTGGTAGCAGGACTCACTGGAAGCAGGCAGGATAATTTGGGGCAAGGGGGGGACGCATGGGCGTGGAGGCTTTGGTGAAAGGACGCTAATGGATTTCCATGGCGCATCAAAACATAAAAAGCAAACCAGATGAGTTGAGAGAAAAGTTGTGGGCAGAGGGGGGTGGCGAGGGGGGTCAGGCAGTGGGGGGCTTGTGTCACTTAAATGTGGCAACAAATTCCGCCCAGTCACCGAACAGGGTCAAAATGCATTGTTGGCCCGAAACTATGCAAAAATACAGAGTTTATATTTTGAGGCTATGGGTATTCTATTATTATTATATTTCTAGGTTCCTAAAAAGCTAAAAAAAATTTACATTAAACTAAGAATACTTTAAAACTTCATTTTATATAAAAATATTATAAACTTTTAAGAGATTTATGATTTTTAGAAAGAATTTCTTTCTTTAAGAATTTATTTCTAAATGAACTTTTTTCTATAAACCTTTTTAAAATATTTAACTTATTACTTGTTAGACTACCTTTAAATGTAAAAAAAAACTATATATATTTCTTTTTTTTTAAGTTTATTCTTTAATTCTAAATCCCCGGAAAAATAATAACAGTGTCATTGTCAAGTCCCTGGGGCTCTTAAAAATCCTTGTAAACCGCCAGTGCGTGAGCAAAAATTGAATAGTCCTTCGTTAAATGGAGGAATTGAGGAATTGATGGATTGATGATTGGATGGCTGGCTGGTTGGACGGTTGGTTGGATAAATGGGTAGATGGATGGTTTGACCCTTGAGTGGATGAGTCAGCAAAACTGTCAACGAACTAGAACCCCCCGCTCCTCGTGAATGGCATTAAAGAATCCAAAAAAAACGGATATGAATTTATAATTGTGGCTTATTTAATTGATTATTTCAATAATTTCAACTCTATAATGAAATTATTCCAATCTACAATTTTTGGTTGTATTTTATTTCAACCTCGTGAGCAAAAAAATGCGGGCTCTGTTTATTTAATTTTGTTCAACCAATATTTACACCTGCAGCTGTATATTTGCGGTTTTTTGTTGCAGTTGTTGTTGGTCTTGGGTTGCAAATTGAATTCAAATTGCAACACGAGTCCTGTACACACAATTGTGTGTTCTATGAGCTCCATGTGTCCATCATACAAATCAACACAATCGCATCTCAATTTCGGGGGGCCTTTGGCAAATGTTTGTTCTCGTTTTCATCTTGTTACCCAAATACTAAATTACGCATACGCCATGTGGGCTGAACGACAGCTGAACGCATTTCCCGGCGGGGTTTACGGGATTACGCCTATTTGGATTAAACCCAATAATAGAGTGGTGTTTAAATAACTGGAATACAAATGGGGAGACAACTAAATTGTTTGCACCGGAAAGCTTGTCAGTGAATGACAGGAAGACAGTCTATTTTCGGGTTGCAGGATATTGGGAAATGCATTGACAGGACTATTTGATTTGTAATTAGATTTGTGGTATCGAGGCATTTTTAATTAATTTTCTATAATTTTGAAATATCAAACATTGGCCTATAAGGATTTAAAGCCATTTTTATCCTAGTCTCCTTTAAAAAAAAAGGACCTCTCTTTATTGACTTTATTCTGGCTCGTTAATTTAGAGTTTCGCTTTCGGCCAATAGCTTCTCAGGTTATAGCCACTATCCAGCACTCGCCATCGCCCTGGCTGGGTGTCAGTTGGGCTGATTTGTTTGCCAGTGGATCCTGGATCCTGGCCAGTGGCCATTATCCCACCATGAAGATGAAATAGTTGCCCCATAGAGCACTTGGTTTTTTTTTTACTTTCAGCTGATGCTTGTTTTTCTCTTTTTGTTTTTTTTTTGTTTGCCGGAAGGCCAACAAACGATAGCCATCAATTCGGTTGTTTGTGTTGCATGTTGCAGCTGCAACACGAGATGTTGCTTCCACAAAACAAAAAGGAAATCGAGAAAGAAAATGCCAAAAAAAAAAAAGAAAGCAAAGTTACGCCATGAAAAATGAACCGGACAGGATGTTATTTATATTTGAAGACCCTGGAGGGGGATGGAGGGAAGTTAAAGCCAAGATGCGTAAATCCAAATGACCCCAAATGGGGCAAGATGGCGGAGGCTGAGGGCTGAGGGCGGCTTAACTGGCCTTAAAAAATAAAATATATAGCATATCCGCGGGCGCTCGGCACGCAATTTACACGCACCGCACAAAATCTGACCAGAAACACCCGAACCCACGAAACCCCCCCACAAAAGTACGGAATCTTGGAACCAAACCGACATTCTGCATTCCACATCCGACAGTCGTAACCATAACTGGAAGGTCAGGGCTAGAAGAAGTCGTTCTCAGAATTATAACGACTTTTATGAGATGCCTTTCGAGAGGTTTAATTAATACTATTATTATTAAATGGTTAATTAATTATATGTTTTTCTTCTCGAAAAAATATATAATAATTTTTTATTATTAAAAAATCTGTTAAATATAGTTCCAAAAGTATCCCCCTTATAGATAGAGTATCCAAAGCCTAGACACGACCGCGAGCAAGCGATTTCATAGCCTACTTAGCGGCGCACGCTGCGAGTTATTCAAATTTGAATTAGGCAGCGGCAGACCGAGGCAACATTTTATGGCTCTCAGTGTCTGTCTGCCGCCATGTGGGTTCCACACTGTATACATAGAGTACATATAGTATACACACACCCCAAGACACCCGAAAAATGTGCAGCAGCTGTGTGGGAGGGCAAAGAAAACTTGCGGCATAAAATGTGTGGCACATGTGACGCAAACGGCAAACGGCAGACGGCAGACTGCGAACGGTGGACGGTGAGCGCTCCTTAATTAGATCATAGTTCCTTTTTCGGGTCGGGACAGAGCATTTTACTGCCATCTGAGGAACACGAAAAACCAGGAGTGGGAGGGAGTCTGTGCAGGACCTGCTGTCAGGACTTTAGTCGTGAACTCAGTCAAGAGCAGAGGCATCAGCCACCCACACCCACAACAGGACGAAAAACACCAAACATCCTGCCATCATCATTTTAGCTGCACGGTGGGGCAAGTCTCTATAAAATGAGTATTATTATTTATTATATATTATTATTTATTATTTAAATTTAAAAAGTAATAAAATCTTACAGTATTTTTAATTCTAGATAGTAATCCTGGGGTTTAAGAGCTTTATTATTTTATGTATTAGATATTTTATATTTTCTATTAGTTCCTTCTTTTCTTATTAATATTTATTCCAATTATTTTTACAAAAATAAGATAGAACTTGCCACACTGTGTGGCTGAGAGTTGTGGCACATTATTGACTCACGCGCCGCATCGAATTTCCAACTCAATCATGGAAAAGGACGAAAGAAGGACCAAAGACGATTTGCAGGACGAGTGAGAGACAAAGTCAGAGGGGGGGGCCAGAAAAGTTTATGACTGGCAACTCACGCGTCGCCACTCGCCGGCGTTTACGGTATTTGCATTTTAATTGAATTGAACTAAATTATTTTGTTTAGAGTTGAAAAAGGAGAAGGCAGACGGCGAATGGCAAGGAATTGCGGGCATTCTCGCCTCAAAGTAGGCAACAGTTTTGAGCGAGAATGTAAAAGCCACAAGCCGCTAAAAAGTTGAACGAAACTTTGACATAAGACTGAAGACTAAGGACTTGCTTTCTTTCCACTGATGATGGGCAGGATGATGGGTTGCCTGATGGGTGGGGATTTGGTGGAAAACTTTTCCCATGGAAAGGGTTTATGGCCTGTGGCTGATTGGAAATGCACCCTAATCGGGTTGTAGGACGGGTTGCGGCGGCTGCGAAACTAAAAACTGTCCAAAAACTGCCTTCGAAATTAAGAGTTTCAGAGCTGAAAACTTCTTGTAACACATTCTGGTAAGGTATTTCCATTCAACTTCCACCTGGTTTACCGTGAGATGCCTGTGGAATTACTTTGATTGTGCGGTAAACTTTAAGACTCGACAATTTCATTCATTACTAATTAATTTATCGCATTAATATGACGCAGAGACAGTTCATTTAATTAAGATTGATGCAATTACTTGGGCGGCAATCGGAATGTTGAGTCTTTTTAAGCAGCTACTTAAATGCAATTTATAGCCACTAAGGTTTCTGCTTTAATTTGAAGGACTTCAAGTTTAATATTCAAGTCCTTTCGAAAGGGTTTTATATTTTTTTAAAGGTTCGGAATATAAAATTCAATGGTTGGGGGTTTATTTTGATTTTATTCAATTTTAAAGAATTTATTGCCGAAAAAAAAATTTACAAAATAAAATATAAAAGCCTCCTCCTCCTCGCTTCTCAAAAGCTGTACCTAACAAAGACAGCCAATAACAAAAAATTCTATACAAAATATCAAAAATACTAACAAAAAATTATTTTAAAAAATACCTATAACATCTTCATTTTCAGATGAGTTCTGTGAGGAGTATCCACACAATCTGATGCCCACGCCGGGCTACTGGATCGAGTGCTCCAGGCAGAAGATCACGATGCCCACTCCCCATACCATCTGGGATGAGAGCGATTCGGAGCACGAGGACATCCGGGCAGGCAGTGCCAGTGATGCCTATTTGGAGAGAGAGTGCAGTGATCTCTACGAGGATGACGAGGACTCGGAGGCCACACCAAGGTTGGCCTTTATTTAGTTTATTTTTTTATTTCGTTTCTTTAACTAGTATTTTGTTTGGTAGTCCCCGAAAAAAGACAACCATTGAGGAGCAGTGGGACCAGCAGGGAGCCTTTGAACTGATCTCCGTGGAACAGGAGACGTACGAAAAGTATTTCTATGGCACCGAACACTGGAACTACTTTACCAGCGACGAGGACCTGGGTCCTGTCATCCTCTCCATTAAACAGGAGACCCTCAATGGGCGTGACCAGTTCCGTATTCTGGTTAGAGCGGGATCCTATACCGTACATGGACTGATACCGGCGTCATGTGTGTTTGCCGATAGGTAAGTTATCCTTAAAAATATCCTATTCTTTTAATATATTTTTGTAAATATTATTTTTGCAGATATAATCGCGAAGAGGTAGTTAGGTCTTTAGGTAAAGAAGTTAATTTAAATCCACCTTTAACGTTAGGACAATTGCCCGATACGCCGGAGGAATTATTAAAATTAGATCAGGTTGGTATTTTTTTACTAAATACTTTTAAAATAATACTTACTTGATATATTATCTCTTTAAAGGTTTTTATAAAATCAGAATTAAAAGTCGGCGTTATATTTGTCAAAGAGGATCAGTATACTGAAGAGCAAATTCTGGACAATAATGAAAACTCACCGCTCTTCGACGAGTTCCTCACTTTGCTGGGCGATCGAGTACGCCTGCGCGGCTTTGACAAATACAAAGGTGGCCTTGATACAGTTCACGACCTAACAGGTTCGATTTTAATTTAAAATTACTTATTAAAAAATTATGAAAAAAATATGTTAAAATTTGAAGGTCTCTTCTCCGTCTATACAAATTGGCGTAACATCGAGATCATGTTCCATGTATCCACATTGCTACCCTATGAGAAGCACGATCCCCAAAAGTTGCAAAGGAAACGCCACATCGGCAATGATATTGTGTGTGTGGTGTTCTTGGAGGCGGATAATACTAGATTCAGTCCAGCCTGTATCAAAAGTCATTTCCTGCACACTTTTATATTGGTAAGGAATATTTTAAATAATTTTTTTTAGGCTATTTCTTTAGTATTTTTTGCATTTTAAAGGTTCGTGTCTCGGCTCGAATAAAACATAAGCCCACCCGGTATGAGGTTTCTGTGGTGACGAGAGACGAAGTGGGTGCCTACAAGCCATATCTTTGGGAGCAGTCGGTATTCGAGAAGGGACCCATGTTCCGGTAAGTCATCTATAAGGATACTCCACATCGATTCCAAGCCTAAGAGTTCCCAAAACCCAAAAAAAAAAACAAAACCCATTTAATATTCACAGGGAATGGCTGCTGACGAAGATTGTGAATGGAGAGAGGGCCTCGTATTCGGCACCGAAATTCGCCAGGATGCAGGAAAGGACTCGGTCACAGATGCTGGAGGATCTGGTGATGAATCTATCGAATCATGCCGAAACTGGACAAATACCGAAGCCATATCGTCGCGGAAGTTGGCGGCCCATCGGTGAGGATGAATATTTCAGAATGTTGCATGCCCGTGTCCTTGACAACAACACTAAGACAAATGCAACAATGCAACAACAACAACATGAACAACAACAGCAGCAGCAGCAACATGTACAACATGCAACACACAATATATGTTGTTATTGCAACAATATGGAGTTGGAATTGACTGTTGCTGCTTACAACACAACAACAACAATACACAGACACACAACACTACAACAACAAAAACAACAACAACAAGAATATATAGAGAACCAACAACAACAACAACAACTACAGCTAAAGCAACAACTATTGCTACTGCAACAACAACATCAACTACAACAATCAACATCGTCTCTAGCACACACATCATGTTGTGCCATGTTGCATCTGTGTGTGAGGCATAGTATGTGTGCCACGCCCCTGCTGCCCCGTCCTCCTCCCAGCATGTGCTTGTGCTTTTTTGTACCATTTTTTTTTTGTTAAGTGTATTCCAGGCTTTAAAGAAATGAGACTGAGACTCAAGATTTATAAACAAATCGCGACAACAAATTGCAGACATTACGGTGTCCTGGAAAGAAAATAGAAAAAAAAACCGGGGGATGGGTGAGAAAGGAGAGTGGGAGAAAGTAGAAAAGAAAGAAAGAAAGAAAGGCGACATTTGCATTTCCTCAGAGTTAGCGAGTATGTTTGATTAATCGTTTTGTCTTGCTTTCGCTTGAACTTTCACTAGACCGAAGGATAAGGGGAGTGGGAGTGGGAGAAGAAGAATGATGGGTTGACACACCCCCCTTACAAACACACACACACACACACTGACACTTCCGCTTCCGCCATTAACACATCCGGTTTTTGGCTTCTGGCCCACCGGAAACGCGCAGTCATGTCACACAAGTCGCTGTCTCGCCTTCTCTTTCTTGCTAACTGCTCTGGTTGTCTCACTCTCTCTCTCTCTTTCCCTCTGGACAATCTGCTTGTACCGTTATCTGTCAAACACCACCCCTCAAAAAAAAAAAACCACTCTGATTTTATTCGTATGTCGTTTGGTTGTCCGGCCAAGAAATATTGTTCATGTTTGTGTTTCAGTTGGGTTGGGGTGGGGTTGGGTGGAAATCTTTTGTTTTAACACCCGAGAGCACCCCCATCTACCCGCCAAACCCCACCACCCAGCCAAGGTTGTTGTTGTTGTTGTTGGTAATGTTGTTGTTGCCGTCAGTTTGTTGTTGTGATTTTGTTTAGATTTCTTGTTATTTATTTGTTGCTATTTGTTGCATTCAAAATCAACACACACACCAGTCTAATTTGATTTATTTCTGCACAAGGCACCAGTATAATATTAAAGATTTAAGGTTTAGGATCTTTAAACTCAACACCTTATACCTATTTCCTTGACCACAACTGTTCTCCCACACATATGGTCACTTGACTGGAGAAAGGTAAAGAAATGGAAATGGCCATGGAAATGGAAGTAATACCCCATGGGTCTTCCACAGCCGAACTATGCATATTAAAATTATGCAAATTAGAAATGCCATAGATGGGTCTTGGCATTTCCATTCTCCAAAGCCAATTCGATGGGGAATCGCATAAATTCCTGAATTTCTGATTACTCAATTATTATCAGCCAGCGACCAAGAGGAATCGATTGTAATTATTCGATTGTACGGAAGTAAAAAATCACAACTTCCGCCTGAAATTATGGACTACTTCTTGACTTTCCCTAAAGTTAGACTTTAAATATATTTATTTAATTAAAAATTAATTCAATAGTTACCCTAAAGCTATAAAAAGCTATTACTTTACTGACCAACTAATACTTTAAGACGCATTTCCCACCTTCTCTGTTAGTTTCTGACATCTCCGGCCTTGGTTTAATTTATTTTATACATTTCCCATATTTTCCTTATAACTGTATTCACTTTAGCCATCTTATTCCTTTGTCCTTTTTGATATTGTGGCAGCATCTTCAGTGCTTGACAACAAAAGTTGCATGATTGATGGCATTAAAGGGCTGCCAAGTGGCAAGTGAAACCATTATGGTTGAAAACACTCCCTTTGAGGGGAAAATACCAAAATACACACTGTACAGACATACAATATATACACAACGACAGCTACACTGTAACAAATCATATTTGAAATATTTTATTAAAAGCATGAAAGGCATGTCTTTTAAATATAATTTCCTGGAATTAAAAAACAAAATAAATGTGAGTATTATTTATTTTAGGCCACATGCGACCCTCATCGCCCTTACTGGACTCTGTAAGAGATCAGTTCGAGGACTACGACCAGCTGGCCAAGGACTTTACCCGCGTATTCCTGAACGAAGAACCATCGTGCCTGACCAATGCCCACCTCTTCGACGTGGTCTTCCTGGTGGGTCAGTCCAAGCAGAAGGCGCGTTTCATTGGAGTTCGGGCGATACTGGGAGTGCGAAGTAGAGTTTTTCAGGTAAGTGTTTCAGTCTTAAGTTATAATTTAATTAAATAAAAATTTTAATAGAAATTATATTTATATTTTTATTGTTTTTGTTTTACAAATTTTCTTTAAAGAAAAAAAGAGACAACAGTGCGTATGAGTAATTTTGTTTTCTCAGCTTAATTAAGTATACGCCATGTGGGTTTCTTTTTTTTATATTTTTGTATTTTATGTTATATTTAAATGTAAAATTTAATAATTAACATTGTTTTTTTGTATTAAAATTAGTGTTAGCATTTTTAAAAGATTTTTTAAACCAATTATCTTTAAAAGACAACAGTGCGTATGGGTAACAAAGTTTTATAAGCTAATATATTAATCATACGCCTTTTAAACATTCTCAGGAAATGCTGTATGGTATCCAGACTGGATTTGGATCGCCGCAGATACCCGTAGCTGAGATCTTCGCCCGGCCAGCACCGTCACTAGTATCGCCCCAAAACCAGAAGCCGAAGAGCAACAACTATCTGACCGTACCGGACTCGGACTCCATCCGGCCGAAGAGTGTACCATCGTCGCCGATGGTGAAGCGGGCCTTCTCCCGGCTGGGTACCATTACGGCCGGATGGGGCCGATCCATACGGAACAAGAATACCAATCAATTGAATCCGGATGATAAAAAGAAGTGGATATCGTCGACAGATTGTTCGAGTAAGGGTTTATAGTCGGTGCAATGCAACCATATCGATGCGTGTTTTTGTTTTTCTCTTGTTTTCTTTTTTTTCTCTCGCTCTCTCTCTTTCTCTCCACGATATGTCTTTCTCTCTCTCTCTCTCGTAAAATATATCGTAAACAAAACTCTCGCTCGCTCGCTCTCTCCTGTGCGATTTCTGTGTTGATTTCTTCCTCCGCCTACACATTACGTATACGTCCACCGTCTGCGTCCTCGTTCTGCCAAAACAAAAAAATACCAAAAAAAACATACCAAAAACTTTGTAAATTAAAATACCAACGAACGTTAACCTCAAAAATTGCATCCTTGAACAAAAATACCAAATACTAATACCTGCAATTACAAAACGCACGCCGCACATCTTTGCCTCAAAATTTACAACTGCTCTACCGAATTCCAACTGACCTTCTTAAACATTTATATAAAAAAAAAAAACAAACATATGTTCTAAAACCTAAACCTACCAAACAATTGTCTTGTGTGAACTGTAATTACGAACTTTGAAAACTTTGAAACAAAAAAAAATCGAAACACCAAACCAACAAAAAATATTATATATAAATACTTGGTAATGGTGACAAATTCCTTGACGTTCTGTGACTATTATTTTGTACAATATATTCTATACTTTTGCTGAATTCGTAACTTGATTTTGATGCCTTAAATATTTGGGATATTTTGCACCCTTTTTGTACAAAATTGGCCTTTGATGTGATTTGATTTGCCTGCAAAAAAATATCTTGGAATATGTTTCCCGTATTTCTTATTTCTGATTTTCATTTTTATTGAATTCATCTCGATCCGATCCATTTCATATCGATTCGCCACACTGCCTGCATTTGAACTGTTATGTAACACCCATTTTGAACCATTGGATTACACCGTTATTGCGATCTCTTTCTATAACTCTCTGGCTCTCTCTTTCTGTCTGTCTAACTGGCTGTCTTTATCTCGTTTATTTTTTGGCACTACTACTAATACTACTACTTTTCCAACGGCCCTTCCCTCTACTCTACTCTCTCTCTCTTTCTATATATTTTATTTAAACAATATCTAAAAATAAATTCATACAACAAACATGAAAATTTGAATTAAACAACAATCAAAATTTTATCATTCTCTCATCTCAATCTTAAAAAATAAAATCGATCACGCCACTCAACATTTTGAACTTAATTTTTGGGTTTCCCCTTTTTCATTTATTTCGATCGAACCAACTGACTTTTTCTGAATTTCGCTTTTTCATTTGCGGTTGCGATTTTTCATTTGCATTTGCAATCGATTTATCGTTTGGTTTTCTTTGATTTCTGTAACGATTACCGATCACCCCCATGACCGATAACTGATACCAATCGAACGACTCCTCCCCCACGATACTACTGTAAACTGTGTACGAATACGAACAATCCTACACCCAATGGCGATTGCAGACAGGGACAGCAAGGACAAGGACAAGGATAAGCCGGGTAACAATCAGTTGGCGGTGCCACGCCTCTCCGTCTGCGCCGACGCCCAGAAGGTGGACCGGGCCAAGTTGGCCCAAACGGAGTTCAACATTATTGAATTCGATCCGGACACGTTTCGAGTGCTTTTGAATTATCTGCATACTGGGACTTGCCCCTTGACTTGTGTTTCCATACCAGGTGAGTTATTATTGCATTTAGAGATGGGAGACAGTCGATAGATATTTCGATAACGGCAGATTTGTCGATATATATAGAAGATCTTATTTTCTAGTATTTTTATACAATTTGTGTTAACTTTTACTTTGCTTCTGTTTAAAATAAGTAAAGCTAGGGATGGGAAATATACGATAGACCTTTTTAAACAATGTATATTTATCGATTTCTTATCGATTTTTTCGACTTCCTCAGGCCTTCTGTGCGCCGCCGAGCACTATGACCTGCCGGAGCTGCTGCAGGCCTGCTTCCATCACTGCAAGCAGTTCCTCCGGATCGAGGTGGTCTGCCCGATGCTCATCTCGCTGGAGAACTACTACTGGCGATACACATCCGCCTCCGAGCTGGTCAACATGATACTGTCCTTCGTGGAGAGCAAGGCCCATGCCCTGTTCAAGTGCCCGGAATTCCTACACCTCTCCGAGTCGATGGTCCAGATGATCATGTGCCGGGAACTCCAAACGCCCGAGATACGCAAGTTCGAAGCGATGCTGGCGTGGGCCCAGCACAAGGTGGCCAAGCTGAAGAATCACCCCAACAAGGATACCCAGTTCGAGTTCGAGTGCATCATGGAGAGGCTGACGAGGGACTTGAACCTGTGCCGGATATCGCCAAGTGAACTGCTCACCGTGGTCCTGCCCTCCAAGTCGATGAAGAACGAGAGGATCATGGAGACGCTGATGGTGCAGGTGAATCTCGGCACCTATCGAATGCCCGAGCTGGATGCGTACCGTCAGCAGTTGCGCCAGCAGGAGTCCGCCGAGGCCACCGTCCAGGTCCACCGGGGTGGATGAGACAGTAAGAATGTGAGTTTCGATTTGGATCAGCCGCAGCAGGCAACGCAGCAAATGCAGGACTCTCAGCCAGGACACTCTGATACGGATTCGGACTATCCACAAAGCCATGCCCATGCCATTGCCCCCGTTCCCGCTATGGATGCCCGCGCCTATGCCATGGCCTCCCTGGCCGCCGCCCTCGAGATGCAACAGCAGCAACAGCAGCCCCACCATTCCCATCATCCCCTCCTGCCACCCGGGCACAGTCTCCTCCAGCCGAATGCCCCGCGCGACGCCGCCGACGAGGAGGTGGAGCTGTACGCCAGTTTCGACACCGCCCCCAGCACCAGCCGGGTGGCCGCCCAGATGCAGGCCGCCAAGGAGGCGCGCCGCAAGCGGTGGGCCGCCGACGGGGCCAGCGGCAGCAGCGGGGACGGTGGCGGCAGCAGCGGCAGTGGTAGGCGGTATTAAAAAAAAATAATTTTTTTTCAAGTGTGAATGGGTTTTAATATTTTGTGTGATGGAAGGGCTAAAGAATATATTATTTATTACATTTTTAATACAAAAATTCAATATATCTTTTCCAGAAAAGTTTTACAATTGGAGTTCTTAAAAGATTATTTTAAGGAATTTTATTTTTCCCAATGAAACCTTGTCCGCAGGTCCGTTTTGTATTATATCCTATGGAAAATATAGAAAAATATCTTAGGTCCTTTGGAATATACTACATAGCCTTGCTTGGGATTGCCTTCCATGTCCGCTTGTCCTGGCCAGTCCGCCTGTATATTTATTTGTTTTAATATTTCTATACTTTTTGTAACAAAATTAAAGAAATTATTTAAAGTTATAGAGATATGTCACCTTCCAAATCCCCTTGTCCGTGTGTCCGCTTGTCCGCCAAAGTCACTAAATTTCAAAGATATCTAGGCCTCTAGCCTATTTTTTGGTATCTTGCATCACAAAAGTCGGAATAATGGGAACCGATCGACTGTACAATTGGCTATATATTCTATATTCTGTACAAGACCCACCCCTTGAAGTATGCATGATTATTTTTTTCGAGTGTCCTTATTTTTTTTTTAAGGAGAAACCCTCCGCTCGAGGAGGCAGGCTATACCGAAATAAAATCCAATCCAAATCGAAACTGACATTGTTAACTCTTACATTCACCCCGCGATGACAACTAAAAAAAAACCCAAAAACTAAAAGAAATTTAATGCAAAAATTTGCAAAAAATACCAAAAAAAATACCAAAAAAGATTGAAAGAAGCGAGCGGAAGGAAGCGGCGGCCCAAAACCCCACCAAACCCTCCCGCCCCCTCCTTCTAAATGGGAAAAAAAAGGATTTAGAATTTTCTACAAGTATTATCCAATGAAAAATATATATATATACAAAAGATATATATAATAATATGGATGTAATGTATTTGGTAGACTAGTTTGTTTAAGGAACTGTGGACTTTCGATTTTTGATACCCACAAAAATGCAGCAAGAATGGAAAAATGAGGAAAATTATGAAAAAAAAATAACAACAAATAACCAAAAAAAAAAGGAAAAACCATTTAAGAAAAAAAGACATTAAAACAAAAAAAAAACAAACGCTTACTGATGTAAAACAAAGACTTAAAACTAAAAAAAAAATAACAAACCATGAATGGAAAAGTTTAACATAAAAGAAGACAATTTTTTTAATCAATGTTATTGGAAAAAATGGAAAAATGTAAGCAAAAATAAATTCTTATTTCCCAAAAAAAAATACCCCAAATCCCCAAAAAACAAACTACAGAAATTTAACAAAAAAAAACGATGCTATATTATGTATTTAAATGTTTTAATGAATATTTGCAACCAAAATTCTAGCTGTTTGAATGGCTGCGTGTTTTTTTCCTGTTAATTTGTTACCAAAACCAAGTAAAAAATTAAATAAAAAAATGAACAAAAAAAATAAAACCAAAAAAGTTGGCTTGCACTTCTGCTGTGCTAAAAATATACATAAATATTATACAACAAACAACCAAAACTAAAAAATAACATTTAAATACATATATATACCTGTACATTATATACCATTAACTGTAATTATATATTTGTTGATATACACAATAAAACCAAAAAATTAATGAAAAAAATACAAAAAAAAAAACAAAAGTCCAGAAAATAAAACCCGAAGAACCGAATCAAACACACAATTGCAATATCTGAATGTTTTTTATGTGTATTCCCATTCAAATTTTAAATAAAAAACATGCAAATCCATAGCAGTTAAACATTAAAAATAAATATATACCGAATTCCTCCCAAAGTAAAAAGAGCATATGTGTATTTCCAAAATATTGAGAAACAGAATTGAATTACAAAACCAGAGAAGAAACAAAACTATAGAAACCTCTAGTTGATTGAGAAGCCCTTCTTAAACTTAGTTTCTCTAATTTTTTCACCTAAAAAAAATCCTTTTGATTTAAAGTCAAGTTTATTTTTTAACAGAGTATTGAAAAAAAAGGAAAAACTAAAATGTAAACGGCAGCATTTTCAAAAGGGTTTCACTTAAATGTTCAAAAACAAAAAGCATATATCAAAATTCAAGTCTAAACTGTACAACCGAATCGATCAAATATATCTGGGCAGGTCATACATTTTTAAGAACAAAAACAAACTAAAACTAAAACTAAAAGAAGCCTAAACTTAAGAGAACTTAAAAACTAACCGAAAAAGATCTACAAAACAATAACTAAATAATCGCTTTCAATGTGCAAACTGAAACAACTTTTTTTTTGTTCACCAGAATGTAAAATATAAAATATGGAAATATTTTTACAAAAATAACTAAGCAGTTGTTGGCTTTTTTTATAGTTAATTTGTTGGAAACAGGACTTGAAGGATATTCAAGAAAGAAGAGTATTTTTACTGTCAAACAAAAAAACCTATTGTTCGAACTGAATGTAAAACTTCTAATTAATGTAAATGTATTTAAAGCAAAACCAAAATAAATAAAATGTGAGAAATATTTGTAATTGTGCTGACCTCTGGCCCGTCGACCCTCTGACGAATTAACCCACCCAACCACCGGAAGTCACTGTGGTGAGATGTGCCAGTGGGTGGATCACATAATAAAATAAAAGAAATCCTAATCCGAACAGAAATCCGTGACTCCTTTTTGAGCTGATCTATCAGAGAACCGAAATAACATTCAAAATCAATAAGAAAACTTGCAAGAAATAAATAATTGTGTTTATTGTATCAGAAACCAGAATAAATGCTGAATAAAGCATTAAACTTTAATGTTGTAATTGCCAGAAGCCAAGCAGAAACAAAAAAAAAAGAATGACATTAAAATATAAATTTAAAAATGAAAATAACTTTGTATATGATTTAAATTTAAAGGTGACTTAGCTTAAAGCAAAATCGCTTTACTTAGCAAAAATCGCGAACATCGAGGGGCACCAAAATATGACACTTGTGGAGGCTATATATTGGTCAATATATATCCGATCCTTAAGCGGGATATCTTAAACGATTTTGGGAAGGATTCTGAGTAAATCTGCATCAAATTATTGAAGCAAAATGGAGTTTCAATTTTTTTCAAAATTTTCCCATGGATCCCCTTCAAAAATCACGAAAATCGAGGGGCACCAAAAAATGGCACTTGTGGAGGCTATATCTTGGTCAATATATGTCCGATCCTTAAGCGGGATATCTTAAACGACTTTGGGAAGGATTCTGAGTAAATCTGCAGCAAAACAATAAAGCAAAATCAAATTTCAATTTTTTCCAAAATTTTCCCATGGATCCCCTTTAAAAATCGCAAAAATCGAGGGGCACCAAAATATGGCACTTGTGGAGGCTATATCTTGGTCAATATATGTCCGATCCTTAAGCGGGATACCTTAAACGATTTTGGGAAGGATTCTGAGTAAATCTGCATCAAAACATTGAAGCAAAATCGAGTTTCAATTTTTTTCAAAATTTTCCCATGGACCCCCTTTAAAAATCGCGAAAATCGAGGGGCACCAAAATATGGCACTTGTGGAGGCTATATCTTGGTCAATATATGTCCGATCCTTAAGCGGGATATCTTAAACGACTTTGGGAAGGATTCTGAGTAAATCTGCAGCAAAACAATAAAGCAAAATCAAATTTCAATTTTTTCCAAAATTTTCCCATGGATCCCCTTCAAAAATCGCAAAAATCGAGGGGCACCAAAATATGGCACTTGTGGAGGCTGTATCTTTGCCAATATATATCCGATCCTTAAGCGGGATACCTTAAACGATTTTGGGAAGGATTCTGAGTAAATCTGCATCAAAACATTGAAGCAAAATCGAGTTTCAATTTTTTTCAAAATTTTCCCCTTTAAAAATCGCAAAAATCGAGGGGCACCAAAATATGGCACTTGTGGAGGCTATATCTTGGTCAATATATGTCCGATCCTTAAGCGGGATACCTTAAACGATTTTGGGAAGGATTCTGAGTAAATCTGCATCAAAACATTGAAGCAAAATCGAGTTTCAATTTTTTCAAAATTTTCCCATGGACCCCCTTTAAAAATCGCGAAAATCGAGGGGCACCAAAATATGGCACTTGTGGAGGCTATATCTTGGTCAATATATGTCCGATCCTTAAGCGGGATACCTTAAACGATTTTGGGAAGGATTCTGCGTAAATCTGCATCAAAACATTGAAGCAAAATCGAGTTTCAATTTTTTTCAAAATTTTCCCATGGATCCCCTTCAAAAATAGCGAAAATCGAGGGGCACCAAAATATGGCACTTGTGGAGGCTGTATCTTTGCCAATATATGTCCGATCCTTAAGCGGGATACCTTAAACGATTTTGGGAAGGATTCTGAGTAAATCTGCATCAAAACATTGAAGCAAAATCGAGTTTCAATTTTTTTCAAAATTTTCCCATGGATCCCCTTTAAAAATCGCAAAAATCGAGGGGCACCAAAATATGGCACTTGTGGAGGCTATATCTTGGTCAATATATGTCCGATCCTTAAGCGGGATACCTTAAACGATTTTGGGAAGGATTCTGAGTAAATCTGCATCAAAACATTGAAGCAAAATCGAGTTTCAATTTTTTTCAAAATTTTCCCATGGACCCCCTTTAAAAATCGCGAAAATCGAGGGGCACCAAAATATGGCACTTGTGGAGGCTATATCTTGGTCAATATATGTCCGATCCTTAAGCGGGATACCTTAAACGATTTTGGGAAGGATTCTGAGTAAATCTGCATCAAAACATTGAAGCAAAATCAAGTTTCAATTTTTTTCAAAATTTTCCCATGGACCCCCTTCAAAAATCGCGAAAATCGAGGGGCACCAAAATATGGCACTTGTGGAGGCTATATCTTGGTCAATATATGTCCGATCGTTAAGCGGGATACCTTAAACGATTTTGGGAAGGATTCTGAGTAAATCTGCATCAAAACATTGAAGCAAAATCGAGTTTCAATTTTTTTCAAAATTTTCCCATGGATCCCCTTCAAAAATAGCGAAAATCGAGGGGCACCAAAATATGGCACTTGTGGAGGCTGTATCTTTGCCAATATATATCCGATCCTTAAGCGGGATACCTTAAACGATTTTGGGAAGGATTCTGAGTAAATCTGCATCAAAACATTGAAGCAAAATCAAGTTTCAATTTTTTTCAAAATTTTCCCATGGATCCCCTTCAAAAATAGCGAAAATCGAGGGGCACCAAAATATGGCACTTGTGGAGGCTATATCTTGATCAATATATGTCCGACCCTTAAGCGGGATACCTTAAACGATTTTGGGAAGGATTCTGAGTAAATCTGCATCAAAACATTGAAGCAAAATCGAGTTTCAATTTTTTTCAAAATTTTCCCATGGACCCCCTTCAAAAATCGCGAAAATCGAGGGTCACCGAAATATGGCACTTGTGGAGGCTGTATCTTGGTCAATATATGTCCGATCCTTATGCGGGATATCTTAAACGATTTTGGAAAGGATTCTGAGTAAATCTGCATCAAAACATTGAAGCAAAATCGAGTTTCAATTTTTTTCAAAATTTTCCCATGGATCCCCTTCAAAAATCGCGAAAATCGAGGGGCACCCAAATACGGTACTTGTGGAGGCTATATCTTGGTCAATATATGTCTGATCCTTAGGCGGGATACCTTAAACGATTTTGGGAAGGATTCTGAGTAAATCTGCATCAAAACATTGAAGCAAAATCGAGTTTCAATTTTTTTCAAAATTTTCCCATGGATCCCCTTCAAAAATCGCGAAAATCGAGGGGCATCAAAAAATGGCACTTGTGGAGGCTATATCTTGGTCAATATATGTCCGATCCTTAAGCGGGATACCTTAAACGATTTTGGAAAGGATTCTGAGTAAATCTGCATCAAAACATTGAAGCAAAATCGAGTTTCAATTTTTTTCAAAATTTTCCAATGGATCCCCTTCAAAAATCACGAAAATCGAGGGGCACCAAAAAATGGCACTTGTGGAGGCTGTATCTTGGTCAATATATATCCGATCCTTAAGATCCAGTTTTAGAACCAGTTGGAAAATATAAACAGACACAATATATAAGCCAATTTTGTTTCGGTTTGTGGATTTATTGGTATTTTGTTTGTTTGAATGTTTTTATTTTTACAATATACAATATGCGCTTAAAAACTGAAAACGTAGACATACTCGGTAGCAGAGCTTAAACTTTAACACATAAATCAGTCGAAAACACATCGTTTTATGAATTGTTGCTTGTTGCCGCGTACATAATAAATAAAACATTTTAAATAATAATCGTTATTATTTGTGTTGTTTCATTATTTTTTAAATTTCAACTTCATTTCGAAATCATGTTTTGAAATTTTGTTGTTTTTGATGAAAATTTGTGTGTGGCTTGTGGTTCTTTTTAAAACTAAAAACAAACAAAAAATTGCAAACAGTTCAAATGTTCTCAGGCTCTATATACAAAACTATAAATCGTATAATGTTTCTTAGGGGGGGGACTATCTCTCATACTATTATTAAATAAATTATTTCGTTTTTAATTGGTTTTATGCACGCACAGGAACAAAACAAGAATATTTTTTTCCATTTTGGTTTGGGTTTACATTTCTTATTATTTTCGAAGAATCCTATATACAGGCTGGGATATATATTTTCTTAGAGGGAAGGATCTGTTGCCATAAGGAACATGTGCTATGAAATATGTACAGAAATAAAGATATAGCCTGGAAGATATACATAAATCTTTTGTCGAATATATTGGTACTTTCTACGTAATAGGCATGACTATAGTTTTCGTTTTCGTTTCAATTATTTGTTGCTTTTTTTTTATATGCTTTTGTTGTTGTATATAAGTGTAAACTTTTGATTACAGTTACAGATACAAGATTACAAGATACAAGATACAAGATTACAAGATTACAAGATTACAAGATTACAAGAGGGAAGAGGGCTCAAACTATTGCACTTTTATAGGATATATATCGGATTCATATATGTAGTTCCTTTATATGTCTATGTACAGTTATGGGGGAAAGGGTAGGGGGGGTAGGGATAAGACGAACACAGGTTAGCAGACCCAAAAATGATTCGCAAATGAAGCCTTAGCCCTTGGGTCTTTACATATAAGACTTTTGAACACTTTCGTTTGCTGCCATCAATCACATGACCATGGTGCTCCTCCGCCTCTGCCCCTGGTAGTTGTTGGTCCTGGCCATGACTCTGCCTCCGCCTCCGCCACTGCCTCCGAGTACAGGCTGCTAAACGATCCATTCGCCGAGCACGCCCTACGTCCGGCCATCCGTCGCGGGAGACTTCCAGCCACCGGATTCACCTGGCATCCACCGCCCAATGAGGTCGACGCTTCCACCACCTCCGGATCTGGATCCGGATCCACCTGCGCATCGGCATCGTCGTCAAAGCCATACCAGCATCACATGACCATGATTTGCAGTGCCACTCATTGGTCTATCGTCCGGTAGATGCGTCTCTGTGGCTCGGGGGTGTAGTGGATGCGAGTGCGGAAGTGCTGCGGTGAGCCCGGGACACTTTCCGAGCCCCGACGTGGCGGTGGCAGCGGTGGCGATGCCGAAACATACCTTAAACCGAAAGAGACAGAGTAGGTTGTATTCAGTTAGAGAGAGAGAGACCCAGAGAGTACCCACCTTCGGTGCAGAAGCGGCGAGCCTGGTGGCTGTCCACTCAGCTCCAGCAGGTTCTTCCTCAGCAACAGCGGCGACTGGCCCCGATTGTAGCGCGGCGGTGGATCCGGACTCCGATGCCTTCGATCCAGACCGGCCAGAATGTGTGGACTGGGCGGCGTGCTCATACTACCCCCAGCACCGCCCAGGGCGATCCCACGACGCAGAAAACTCCCGCCGGGACCACTGCCGGGCAGGGGTTCTGTGGTGGGCGAGGTGCTCTGGCTGGTATTGCTGCTGCTGCTCGCCGCCGACAAGGTGCGATAGTAATAGGACTTTGGCCCGGCACCTCCACCTCCCACGCCACCAACACCACCGCCATTGTTGACTACACTCCTGTAGGCCGGAGGCTGGGGCGGAGATTGGAGCGTTTCGGGTTCGGTCAGGGTGCAGCTATTGGCCGCCACCGGCGATGTGGCTGTGGAATTCAATTGGGTTTTAACATAAGTGGCAAACTGCCGCTTCATGACGCCGGCGAGTGTGTTGAACCAGCCTGCGTCCGGATGAGTGAGTGTGGTTCGAGTGATTCGAGTGGTTCGAGTGATGGGTTCATGGTGCAGTGATCATGTGGTGTGATGTGCATTCAAAAAACAGAGAAGCAGAGAAACGAGAACGAGAACGAAACGAAAAGAAACGGATGTTGAAATGAGAAAGAAAAGCGTAGCTTCTATAACCTTGCAGTTCCAAGCAAATCAAAACCAAAGAGTGACAAGCGGTGAGATCTGGCCGAGATGCAGGCAAGTGTTACTCACCAGCGTCGTGCTGCTCCCTACTGCATCCGTCCAGGCTGCTGGTGCTGGCCCCGCTGCTGGTCGTCGAACTCTGGCCCAACACCTGACGGCGGGCGTATAGCTTACTCAGCTTACTGGTCACCATCGATCCGGGCAGCTGGGGTCCGCCTCCGTAGTCCGTCGGCTGTTGCTCGGGCGATCGGGGCAGGAGCGACGAGGGACTGGTAGTCGCCGAGCCGCCGGTGGCCGGATCTGTGGCCCCGCCAATCGGCAATGGTTGGTACTGCAGGTGCTCGCCAGTGCCACCAGCTCCGAAATGCCCAGCAGCTGCTTCGGTCGCCGATCCAGATCCAGATCCAGATCCAGAGGCTTGTCCCAGTCCCAATCTCAAGCCAGTGGATGGAGAAACGGCTATTTGTGAGCAGTTGGACTGCGTGGAGGACTGACTGGAGGTGGAGTGCGTTGAGGGCGGTGGCGCCACGTAGTTGCTGTGAAACGGATTGGTGCTGGTAAGTGGTTGTCGCTGTTGCTGGTAGCGCTCCGCCGCCTCCTTTTCCCGCAACTGGTTTTGTTGATGATAGAATCGTTGCAGCACTGTTGGGATAAGATACTTAAGATATATCTCGATATTATTTGTTTTATTTTCAATTCTCACCAATGGGACTTTGGTTTCCCGGCTGCAATCTCAGAGGTTGCTGCTGCTGTTGGTCCGCCGTCAGTTGCTTCCGCTGCAGCGAGGGCGAGGGCGTGGTGAGACCCAGATTCGCATTACTACTACTATCACAGCTGTCAAGGGTTCGCTCAAGGGGACTGTCCGCTGGCAGGCGCCAAGTGGGTGTTGTGGCTGTCACTGTTGCTGTTGCTGTTGAGGGTGTTGTTGCTGTTGTTGCAACTGTGTTGTATGTTTGCTTGTTGTTGTGCGGCAGTGTTGTTGTTGTTGTAGTTGATAATGTCGTTGCTACAGAATGATGTTTCTTTTGGCTAAAGGGCGATGTTGTTAGATTCCGTAGAATCGATTGGCCTGAAAAAATATTGAAAGTTAGTGGAAATACCATATATAGTATTTTGGTCCTTCGAGACAGTTTATAAAAACGAATAACCTTGAATTCTTTTTCAAAAACTTCTTTTCAAATAACTATCCTTCTTTTATCTTAAGCTTTACTTTATAATTAAAATCTGACAAAAATCTAATAGGCCCCTCCCAATATTATAGCAATTTGGTCCTTCGAGACAATTTATAAACAAAAATCAACTTGTCTTCAGGTTAACATCATTTTAAGTTTAAAAATAAACTATAAAAACATTGCCAGATCCACACCCACCGATGCTGCTGAACATGGACTCCTTCTTGGGGCTCTCGTCGTTGTATTTGTAGTGCGAATGATGATAAGATGATCCATTGCTCAGTTTCCGCTGCATAAATGGTGATTTCCGGTAGAGCTTGCCAAGATCGCCACCAGATGGAGCACCGGATGGCGGGGATAAGGGGCTGGCACTGTTGCTGCTGCCACTTCCGCTGCCGCTTCGATTACCGCTGCTACTTCCGTTGCCGCTAAAACAATTCACTGATCCTATTCCAGGTCCTGAGGCAGAGCCTGCTCCCAACAATCCTGATCCTGTTGGCGTTGTTGTTGTTGTTGTTGTTTGAGGTAGTTGTGTGGCTGATTGGATGAAATACTGCGACTGCTGCTGGTAGCTCGGTATCTGGGTTGGTTTTATTGTCTTTTGGGGATTCGTTGGACTCAGACTGTGACTCGCCCTGCCATATCCGGACGATCCAGATCCGGTAACGGATCCCGAACCTCCGCCAGCTGCTGTTGCCCTGAAAATAATATCATTTTCGTGTTAATTTTTCTTTTTCAAATTAGCTTAAGAATAAACCCTTAAATGAGAGCACACTCAAAATGTACGCCAGCGGCAGTAATAAAAGAGGATATTGGATATATTTTTTTTGGGGAGGAGGTTTTTAAAGGTAGTGCAGGACGGGGCGAGGGGATTCTGGGATAAGGTACATTTATGTACATTAAGATTGGCAGCGCAACTTGGCAATATCTTTAAAACATTTAGATGGATTTTCGAATATTTTTGTCATGATTTTGGGTGAAGTGTGTGGTGTTGTGATGTGTGTGTTTTGTGTATTTACAATGTTTGATGTTTCAAGCGGCAGAATAGAAGCACAGAGAGGTGAGGGGACTCGGCATCATTCTTAATATTTAAAAATTGGTCCTTCGAGACGCGAAATTATGTAAAATAAATGGTCCTTCGAGACAGATAAACATCATTGCAGCACTCCTTTAGTTTTTAGCAAAACTATTTTCAAATGCTACTAATGACAATTAATTACATAACCTACAATTCAGGAACCTTTTAGCAGATGGTCCTTCGAGACAGAAAAACATTCTAAATTTTTAGGAACTTTTCAAACAATTTTTTATTAAATGAGGATAAAAAGGTTCTTCTTCCTATAAGTTTTTATAATTGATTTGTTTTTTATTTAACTAAGGAACTATTTTCTAAAGAAAATAAAATAAAACTTTTGGTCCTTCAAGACAAAGAAACAATACATCGCTTTCCTAAGAGCTCCGATGATGGAAAAAACTTTTTTTTATGAAATCAAGGTTCAGATGCTAATGACAATGAAACACACAACAGATGAAAACTTAAAATAATAAAAACAAGAAGCACAATCAAGCGAAAAGAAACAAATAATCCGGAAATGGGAAATTACCTTTTTGGTGTGAGCATATCTAGATGGTTGATCAAAAAAGAGAAACCATAAATTAAACATAAAATAAAGCCCGAAACCAAGGCAAGAGCCAAACTCCGCAAAGGCATGCAACATAAAAAATAATCCATAAAGAAATTAAATAAACTAAAATTAAATTAAAACATTAAATGAAAGTTAGCTGAGCATGTGGCGTGTGTTTACAACAATATTCAACGGGTTACGGATAACATACATAACATAAAAATAGAATTAGAATGCTAATAATAAGAATAATAAACTCGTCGTACTTACTGAATTGTACTTATTATTTTGGGAGAAGATTTTATTGTATTATTTGAGTAATTATGTTTTGTTGGCATTATACTGGTATATATATATATATATATATATATATATTTAATTGTATGTTTATAATTTTGTATATAGAGTTGATTGTTTGCAAGATTTTCTTTTCTTAATTTTTATGAATGATTTTGTTTTTGGGTTTATATGTTGATAGGTTTTTCATGTTTGGTTTTTCTTTTCAGTTATGGTTTGTCTTCATCTTCGTTTGCTTTTATATTGGTTTTTAGTTCGATTATATTTGAATTAATTTTCTTTTTTTTTTGCTTGTCATTATTGGTTTTAAGAAATGGTATTAGGAATTAGGTAACCTACAAAAAATGGTAATAAAAAAGATGAAAAAAGGAAAATAAAAACATCGCACACACACACACACTCAAATGAAACGCAAAAGAAGGATAATCAAAGATTTATTTCATTAATTTTTTACTCATTTTTTTTTAAAGTATTTTACTTCAAGAGGAATATGTAGGTAGACAGTAAGTAGACTTCTAGAGAACAGACGGATAGATGGACCTTACAGGACCTTAAGAGTAGCATGCACTTTCCAAAGACCACCATTAGTATGATCTTAGCCTTATACCACTTTGGAAAGAGCATTCTTTACGTTTTAAGTTACAAAGTTCTACAGCTAATTGCCAGCTAATTGCTATTTAATTCATCTAGTTAGGGATATTAAGGAAACAAAACAGGGATCATGCTAAATAGGACGATTAAACGATAGAAACTCATAGTTAGGTGTCTGTTTTATTTAAAACCTTGCCGGGAAATTAAAACAAAGAATTTTTTTTTAAATAAAAATTAAGGAGAAACAAGCAGTTTATTTTTTAGTAGCTAGCGTGGAACATTTCCTTTCTTTTTTTTTTTTATCTCCTACCTGTGTTTTGTTTTCGCGAAGCGTAGAAAGCAGATTACAAAGAACGGAAGATGGAAACGGAAACGGAAATGGAAATGGTAAGCAGAATTCGAAACGGAAACGGAAACAAAAAAACTCAAAACTCAAGAATAGAAACAGAAATAAGAGCCACACACATCCATCAACTAGCTAGTGGACGGGCGGCTGGGGAGGACGGAGAACAGGATCTGATCTGTCGAGGAGCAGTCCAGGAAAGCGAGCAGGAGGAGTGGGAGAAGGAGGAGCTCACCTCTTCAGCGCTGGGTCGCCGTTGCCATTGCCGCGAACGCTCTGAAACCAATTGGGTACATCTACTTTGGCTGTTTCGTATATCCGGATGAAGGGCTGGGCCAGAAGCTCCGGATACTTGGGTCGCTCCTGGTGGTTCTTTGTGAGGCTGCAGTAACATTATATTATTAAGTTTTTTTAAGGGATTATATAAAGGATAAGCCATACCACTTGATGACGAAATCCTGAAACTCTTGACTAAAATTAAAGCCCTCGCCGCTGGGCAGGCATGGTGGCTCCGAGTCTAGCACCTTGGTCAGCACCTCAAAGTCCGTGTTGCAGCCCTCGTAGGGGGATCGCGCAGTGGCCAGTTCCACCAGCGTTATCCCCAGCGACCACACATCGGCCCGAATGTCGTACTTTGGTTTCTTTGGATCGATCCTCTCCGGCTGCAATGAAAGTATATTTTTTAGTATTTCTTGGAAGGATTACTAAGATGGAATCCCTACCGCCATGTAAGCAGCACAGCCGGCGGAGCGGGTATTGGCCTTGGAGTCCACCAGACGACCGCTGATCCCGAAATCACAGAGCTTGATGTTGCCACGCTCGTCGATCAGTATGTTCGAGGGCTTCACGTCGCGATGGATGACTCCGTGCTTGTCCTTCAGATAGGACAGGGCATTCACCGTCTGGAAAGGTCAAAGGACATGTTACTATAGTGACTTGGTCCTGCAGGTCATAGGTCCTAACTCACCGCCACTGTCACCTTGCCCAGGATACGCTCGGGCACCGGCTTCTTGGTGAGCTTGAGCAGCTTGTCAAAGCACATGGACATCAGCTCCATGCAGATCCAGACGTCCGGATCCCGGACAAAGCAGCCCAGGCACTTGACAATGTACTTGCAGTCGTGCGACTTCAGAACCACGTCCAGATCCATCAGGATGCGCTTGTTCTCCTCGGCGTTGCCGGTCCGTCGCATCTGCTTGACGGCGATGATGGTGTTGCTCGACTGGTGGAGCATCTTCACCACATTGCCGCTCGTCCCGTTCCCCAGATCGCCCAGGTGCCGCAGATCGTTGATGTCCGTGGGAAACTGCCGCCCATTGATGTTCAGCTTGCCCGTTTGCGCCATTATGATTTTTAGTTTTTTGTCGGTTTCCGTTTCCGAGGGATGCGATTGCGTCGGAAGCGGAAGTCGCATGATACGCGGCCGGAAGGAGCCACCTTCGGCTGTAAGAAGAGGGGGTTTTGGTTGAATTATTATATTTTTTGTAGAAACTATTAGATTCTTCTAAGAATTCATATAACTTCTTCCAAAAAAAGGAGAATTGGAGAGAGTATGAGATCTATGGTACACTTCCAGGGTCTAAAACCCAATCTTTTCAAAAAAAACTTCCAAAATAACCTCAAAAAATTAAGTTTCTTCCAAATAATGACCTGAATCTACGAAAGATTCTCTTTTAGTTACATTCTTCTGAGAATTCTTCAAGAAAAAAACCATAGCATACTAGGAGGGGCAAAAACCGAGTCCTTTTCAAGAAAACATCCCAAAAATCTCCAATATAACCTCAAAAATTCAAGTTTCTTTAAAAATAAAGACCAATTCCCGTTAGATTCTTATAAGAACGCAAGTAGTTTCTTCAAGAAATAGACGAGAATGGAAAAAAGAACAACAACCATAGCATACTTTCATCCGCAAAGACTGAATATCCTTTTCAGGAAACCTTCAAAAGAACCTCCAATTATGCAGATTCTTCAAAACAAAGAATGTCGAAAATCTACAAGAATCTTCCCCAATTAGAATTCTTCAAAGAAATCAAGTAACTGTTTTTGGTGGAGAGAGAGAGAGAATGAGAGCATTTTTTTTTAAATCAACAATTAAAAAAAAGCAACAACAAAAAAATGGCCATAAAAAATACAGTTATTTGTAAACATGCGAAAGTGGAGACACGTTGAATGGCCAAATGATTAAAGAGCTCAGAGAGGAGGAGGTGGGTGGTGGGGCGTGGAGGTGTTTGTTCAAAAGTAATGCGAGACAGAAACAGCAACAACAACAACAACAACAACATAAACAAATGCGAGCGAGCCGATTTGAAGACATTACTCCGGAAATGCCGAAAAATAACTCTCTCTCTCTGGGTACTCTCGCTCTCTCTGGTTGTCGGAGAGAGAGCCATTGAAATGGGGAGAGGCTCGGTGGAGATGGTGGGGGAGGAATGGCGGAAAAAATATGCGAACGAGACATAAACATGAGAGGGAGCAGTGTGTGCAGGGGGGATGAATGGGGGGGTGGTTGGTGCATGTGTGTGCAGGTACAGTGGGCCACAGGATTTCAAGGATAATTATTGAAGATTTCAATTGAAAAATATATTATTATTAATTATTATCATTAATTCAAGAAAGCTCTTATTCAAAGAATTCTTATTCCAAAATTTATAATTTTCCAATTCCTATAAGGACTTATCTAATCAATCTAATATGTGGGCAGTGCCAAAAAAAAAAAAAAAACTGAAACTTTCCACTCCCATTCCTGCCCACTGTGCTGAATCGTGCAGAAACAAGTCTGCTTCGCTTTTGGGCTTCGCACTTGTCTTATCTATGCAATCGGGAAAGCAACAACCACTTGAATGGCTATATAATATACCAAGATATATAACTAATTGAAATATTATAGATATGTAATAATAATAATAATAACAATCAATCTTTAAGTCCCACACTAACTATCAAATTTCCCAAAAAAAAAACCCACCATAACACCCATTGTTTATGAAGATCAAGTTCCCACAAGCCTTTCCATGGAAATAACAAAAGCCCCCTTAGGATATTTCCATTCTGATTCCAATAGGATCAGAATATGCCGATCCGACTTGATTGATAACGGCTTCCAGTCTTCGGTTTCCAATTTCCCAGGAATGTCCGCTTTCGGGGCTCTGGCTTGTTATTATTAGTTCGCTGGAAAGCTATTCGTTATCAGAAAACGAATAACGGTATTTATAGAATTTGCAGGAATTACATGTTGTATCTGATATTCTGAATGGAGGAAGAAGAAGACAAATAGGGGTAGAGGTGCCCTCTTATCACCGAATATGCGATTGGGTACTTTGAAGTTAAGTGGAAATAATACACCTGTTTCAGGGTTCTTTTTTTTTTTTTTTTGCCTTTTTTTTATTTATTATCAATTATGGGTGTTTGAGGTTTCAACTTTTTTTTATGGAGGGTTTAATGATTTTGGAAGGTGTATTTATATTATGGAGATACTAGGAAGGGGAGTTTCCTTAGAAACCTATTCGAAGATCTTTATAAACAAGTATTATGTTTATTATAAGGGTTTTAAATAGTAGTTATCTTATTGAAGCCTCATTTATAGGGAAATCCTTATAAGAAGATGGTATCAATAGAGAACCAGGATATATAATACAAATATGGGGGAGTAAAGACCCCTATTATACAGAAACTGCCTAATATACTCCCTCTTTATAGAAAAATCTTTCTTATTTGGTTGAAATATGCTTATTATAAAGAGATTATAACCCACTTTATAAGGAAATAAGTACTAACGGTAAATCCTATCTATCTATAAAGAACCTAATTCGATACCTACACCATATAACACCATTAAAACCACCGTGTACACCATTTATTGTAAAACTATAGGGATAGTAAGTATAAGAGAGTAGTATTCTATAAAAGAATTCCTATAGAGTAAAAGAATTCCCCATTCCTATAGAGTTTTTTATTATAAAGGTAGTATATGGAAATTAAATAATAGAGACCTTTCTTTGAAGTATACCTTTATACCCTTTATAAGAAAATATATCCCATTGGAAAACATTCTCCATAAGGGAACCTAGTGCTATAAAACCTTTAAAACAAAGTATTATGTTTATAACAAGGGTTTTAAGTAGTAGATCTTTTATTATAACCTTCCTATTGATTATAACCTATAGAAACTCTTTATTGGAGTATGGTATCTATAAAGAATCATAATATATCATATTATAGAAACCTTTTTTGGGAGTAAAATATCCTATTATAATACCCTTTATAAAGAAATCATTTTATTTTATTGAAATATATTTATTTTCAAGATATTATATAGTTTTATAGAACCTCCTCTAAACTCTCTCTTTAAATACCCTTTATAAAGAAATCTCTATCTATATTGAAAAATCCAATCTATTCTATATCACCTTTTTAAAATAATATCACTAATTACAACCCCCTTTATAAGAAAATCCTAATTGGAATACCAAATCCCCTTAAAACGAAGATATAGTATAGAAAGTATTGGATAGTAAAGCACCTATATAAATAAATATTTTTTTTATTGAAATATATTTATAATAAAGAATTTACATAGTAGAACCCCCTTTAAAAAGAAATCTCTGTAGGAAAAAAGGACCTTTAAATGCCAAACCTTATATGACCCCTTTATAAAACCAAAGAAATACTATCCTGTTATTATATGTACATTATATCCTGATTAAATATTTATATCCTGTGTAGATATATACTCATTATCTATATGTAGAAACCCCTTTTAGAAAATTATATATCTTCGATATATTGTAAAACGTTATAGGGAAGTATAGCCCCCTTTCTATAGCCACCATTCGCAAACAAATCTTATATTTTTCAAGAAATATTTTTATTATAAATCCTTATAATAGTATCACCCCCCAAAAAACAAGAAAAATCATGAACCAAGTATCAAGTAATTACCATTCAATGGCAGATTGGGCGTCGGCCTGGGACTCCTGGTTGTGGGCGGGACAAAGGAGCCGCTTAGCATCGAGGATGATCCCGATCCCGAGGCGGATCCTGAGGAGGCGGAGGCTGGCGCTAACTGAGGAACTGGTGGAGCTGGCCGGTGGACTATGCTAATACCGCCCCCGATGCCGGGTCCACCCAAACCGTGTGGCGATGTGACGGATGCGGATGCGGATGTGGCGACTGGCGGCGGAGCATGACGGCTGTTGCTGGTGGTGGTGGAGGAGGAGGAGGAGCTGCCGCGGGCATTAGAGAGCACTATCTGTTCGTGGGACTCGTTCTGGGCCTGGAGGGCCGCTTCCAAGGATTGCAGGCGACTGCCGATGGTCTCGAACTCGATGGTGGACATGGTAAGGCACCTTAATCCCCGTTATCCTTATAATCCCTGGTCCCCCACTATTTGCCTCTCTCTCTCGCTCTCTCACTCTTATTTTTTTGGCGGGGGGTGGAGGGGATGAGGAGAGCGCACTTCTTCGATTTTTCACACACACACACTCACACGGGGGAGGGTGCGTGCGTGCATGTGTGTGTGTGGGTTTGTTTTTGTTGTTGTTTTTGTTTTTTTTTGCCTGTTTTACCGTTATATTATTGTATTATTCTTAATTTTTCGTTTTCTTTTGTTTTGGTTTTCTCACTTGCACAAATAACGGAACGCTGGATATATTTTTGTTTTCTTGTTGTTGTTGTTGTTGTTTTTGTTGCGTTTTTGGTCACAAAAACAAAATCGAAAAAGGAAAACAGAGAGAGACAGAAACGCACCAACACACAAACACTCGCGCTCGCTCTCTCTCACTCTGGCGCACACAAGAGGGCTCCCCACCACACACACTGTGTGTGTGTGTTTGGATTTCCTTTTATTTTAGTTAAATTATTTATTTAATTTTTCAGAGGGGTCTTCCCTGGACGCTGGCGCAGGAAAACGCACTTTTCTCCGGCTGCGGCGTTACGATCGTTCGATGGCCGCCAACGGCACTGGGCACTTGCACAATTCTCGGGCACTCGGCTTGGCACGATTTGGGGCCGCGAAATCGCGAATGGCGCGTACAATCCATATAATCGACCGACGAGCAGGGCAATTATGGAGTTCTGCTGGCTCTGATGCGGATCGCTGCTGGCTCAGGCACTTTTATTATTTTCCCTTTTCCTTTCGCTTCGTGTGTCGATTTTACGGGTAACAGTGTTGCACAGCTCTAAATATGTTTGGCAGGGCTGCATCGCATGCCATCATTTTGTGTCATCACTAGCTGGCCACACTGCTATCTCTAGTTGTGTACGAACCGGTATAAAAATGTGCCTAACGCGTTATTCTACAACTAGAGATGGCACTTTCGTGGCGCTACCAGACAGTCTGCAGTTAGTGTTGGGAAAACCCAGAAACTATCGTAAGCACGACGAATGACCAACCTGGCAACCCTGGCGCCACTGCATTGTTTTTGACGAGGAAACTTCTTGACTTTGCGGCGGAAAAGCGTGGAAAAGCGTAGGAAAAACGATCGCACCACCGCAGCCAGCGATCGAAAGGCAAACAACAAGTGTGCCCGTGTGCGTGTGGCCAAGCCTAACAGCCGGCCGGCAATATCTGGTTGATAAATTTTGCGCCCGAACACGATCCCCCGTTTCGTGCCGTTGACCAAATGTGGTAAAAATAGCCGAATAAAGCCACAAGAAGTTGTTGCCGCCGCCAGCCTAAAGGAATTAGCAAAAGCATCCGCAACCGCAAGCATCAACAGATCATCGAACATCCCACTTGTCGGGTGTACAACATCCCAGCCTAGAGAGTAGTTTAACAGAAACACCGCCACCGCCACAGCCGCCGCCGCCGCCATGTCGAAACGTCCGCGACCCATGCCCATTTCCATTTCCAAAGAGCCGGAACAAACCATGTAATTACCAGCAAAATAATAATAACAATACGATAGGCTGGCAAAAAAAGCCGCCAAAAGTAGGAATGGATGTGTGTGCATAACAACCATAACCTTGATGATTACTTTCAGTGTACCGCCGCGTAACCTGGACTCCCGGGCAACCATTCAAATTGGCGAGCAAACGTTCGACATCGAGGCCGACAGCCTGGAGAAGATCTGCGATCTGGGCCGGGGCGCCTATGGCATTGTCGAGAAGATGCGACACCGGCAAACGGACACAGTTCTGGCGGTCAAGCGCATCCCCATGACGGTCAATATACGGGAACAGCATCGCCTGGTCATGGACTTGGACATATCGATGCGTTCCAGCGACTGCCCCTACACGGTACATTTCTATGGTGCCATGTATCGGGAGGGCGATGTCTGGATCTGTATGGAGGTGATGGACACCAGCCTGGACAAGTTCTATCCGAAGGTCTTTCTCCACGACCTGTGCATGGAGGAGAGTGTGCTGGGCAAGGTCAGTGAGGGCATTAGCATTCCAAGGGGGAATGGAGGGAGGGGTGGTAGTAGGTTGATTATCTTTCTCATTCTATTTTGTAATTGCAACCTGGTTATGTGTCCTCCAGATTGCCATGAGCGTGGTGAGTGCCCTGCACTACCTGCACGCCCACTTGCGGGTCATCCATCGGGATGTCAAGCCCTCCAATATACTGATCAATCGCGCCGGCCAGGTCAAGATCTGTGACTTTGGCATCTCAGGTGAGTCTCGCGAGAATACTTTCCTCCTATCAGTTCACTGAACTTTATTCCAAATTAGGCTACCTCGTGGACTCCATTGCCAAGACCATCGATGCCGGCTGCAAGCCGTACATGGCACCGGAACGCATCGACCCGCAGGGAAATCCGGCCCAGTACGACATCCGGTCGGATGTTTGGTCCCTCGGCATCAGCATGATTGAGATGGCAACGGGCCGCTTTCCCTACGACAACTGGCGGACGCCCTTCGAGCAGCTGCGTCAGGTAGGGATCTCTCTTCCCCATTATATTATCCTTACTGATGGGTCGCTTCCAGGTGGTTGAGGAGGATCCCCCACGTCTGCCGGCTGGCAAATTTTCACCAGAATTCGATGACTTCATCGCCGTCAGCCTGCAGAAGGAGTACAAGGCGCGGCCCAACTACGAGCAGCTGCTCAGGCACAACTTCATCGTGGATCATCTGCAGCGCAACACGGACATTTCGGAGTTTGTGTCCCGGATACTGGACGCGCCGGATGCGCCGGTGGCAGCGCAGTAGTTTCCACTTATCCATCGTGCCCGTGTAAATTGCCGCCGTCTTCTTTCAACAACAACAACAACAACAACAAAGCATGCATTTCATACATGTGTGTGTGTGTGTGTGTGTCAGTAGTGTGTTTCTGTGTTTTTTCGTCCTTGTTGTCCTGATCCGGAAAGCTAAGAAGCCGAAAAGCCTGAAGCATGCAATCCAACCAGAAAAATCAAGAAAATCTGAAGCATCTTTAACTGAAAAAACAAACTGCATAATTATTAATTTAAGTAAAAAATTAAAGCTAAAGCTAAAAACTTGCAAAAGCTCTAAAAACTAAAAAAATGAAGAAAAGAACCGAACCGTGCCTCCTAGCTGGCGATGCTGCTGTCTTCAAATCATAAAAAAACAAACAAAAATAATTATTAAAAAATATATAGCATAGAGATGGAAAGCAGAAGAATACAAAAAATGAATGTAAAAACGTACTAAACTTAAAAAAAATGAAATGAAGAAAAATATACAATATACATATATATATACGATAAAATGTGAAACCTTTTCAAAAAACCAAAATAGCCGAAAAAACAGCAAGTGTAACTGTAATTATAATTGTTTAACAAATATAAATTACAAGAAATGGCTAATTATATTAGCATTTCTAAATGAAAAAAAAACTATTAATTAAAAATTATTAAAATTGTCAATTTCAAATGCCAGCTGAGGGAGAAACGTTCAAAATAATCACAAAAAAATTATAGAAATAGGAATGTCATACTATTTAACTTGAAAAGAAGGCTTCCAATAGTATATTAAATGTATATTCGTGTTGGCCGATATTTCAAAGTGCAGCCACTGCATCATCCCATCCCCAAACTATCGATATGCACCGGGCCGCCCAACCAGGGATGGGGAGCCCACCCCCCTGAAATGCATTTTCTGTTTCTGACAAAGAAAAGCCCTTGGATATGTCAGCTCAAAAGCTAAGAGTGAGAGAAATGTATGTGTAAATTTTTAGTTATTTCTTCAACTTGAATTCATTTCGAAAAGCTTTTAAATCTCTGCCTAACTTTCTTTAAAATAAAATAAATAATAATCCCTAAAAAATAACTCGAAACTACGCCCCCGAGTTGGTGTTCTGTTCTGTGGCCCCAGTGCGATATTTCCCATCTACAGCCCTAGCCCCCAGAGGGGTCATAAAACTCGGCTAATCTCCTGTAACCCCAGTAACCGCAATTCCACCGCCAGTCGACGATTAGATAGCCCCAGAAATGTCCAAAGCACGGAACCTCTTGCTGCTCTCCTCCTCCAGGCTGTACGGATACGGGTACTTGGAGCATGCCCGGGGCCAGCTGGAGGATCTCTTCAAGAGGTAAGCCATGGTATCTATTGGAGAACCCCAATCTGCCTCCAGTATTCGTCTTCTGGACTGGCCCCCAACCTTATCTTTGCTTCAAAAGTGGGTATTTTTATATGGGACCTCTGATCGTTCTATAACTTTGGATATACTGGGCCGATTTTAATGGGGAATACCTTAAAATATTTGTAGTCCGATTCTCCATCACTACAAATGTTGAAATTCTGCAAATGCTTTCCAATATTATACAGATATAGCCATTATTGTGGGCCCTATAGGGGAAAACGCCATTTTCAGGGGATCCATCAGGAAAAATGGGAAAAAAATCTGAAAAACATTTTGTCTCAGGATTTTGATGCAGAATGGTGGAGAATCGATATAGAAATCGTTTAAAACATTCCGCTTGAGAATCGGATGAGAATTGGGCAAGATATAGCCATCGCAGTGGGCCCTATAGGGGAAAACCCCATTTTCAGGGGATCCATCAGGAAAAATGGGAAAAAAATCTGAAAAATATTTTGTCTCAGGATTTTGATGCAGAATGGTGGAGAATCGATCCACAAATCGTTTAAAACACTCCGCTTGAGAATCGGATGAGAATTGGGCAAGATATAGCCATCGCAGTGGGCCCTATAGGGGAAAACGCCATTTTCAGGGGATCCATCAGGAAAAATGGGAAAAAAATCTGAAAAACATTTTGTCTCAGGATTTTGATGCAGAATGGTGGAGAATCGATATAGAAATCGTTTAAAACATTCCGCTTGAGAATCGGATGAGAATTGGGCAAGATATAGCCATCGCAGTGGGCCCTATAGGGGAAAACGCCATTTTCAGGGGATCCATCAGGAAAAATGGGAAAAAAATCTGAAAAATATTTTGTCTCAGGATTTTGATGCAGAATGGTGGAGAATCGATCCACAAATCGTTTAAAACACTCCGCTTGAGAATCGGATGAGAATTGGGCAAGATATAGCCATCGCAGTGGGCCCTATAGGGGAAAACCCCATTTTCAGGGGATCCATCAGGAAAAATGGGAAAAAAATCTGAAAAATATTTTGTCTCAGGATTTTGATGCAGAATGGTGGAGAATCGATCCACAAATCGTTTAAAACACTCCGCTTGAGAATCGGATGAGAATTGGGGATGATATAGCTATCGCAGTGGGCCCTATAGGGGAAAACCCCATTTTCAGGGGATCCATCAGGAAAAATGGGAAAAAAATCTGAAAAACATTTTGTCTCAGGATTTTGATGCAGAATGGTGGAGAATCGATATAGAAATCGTTTAAAACACTCCGCTTGAGAATCGGATGAAAATTGGGCAAGATATATCCATCGCAGTGGGCCCTATAGGGGAAAACGCCATTTTCAGGGGTCCCATCAGGAAAAATGGACAAAAAATCTGAAAAATATTTTGTCTCAGGATTTTGATGCAGAATGGTGGAGAATCGATATAGAAATCGTTTAAGATACTCCGCTTGAGAATCGGATGGGAATTGGGCAAGATATAGCAATCGCAGTGGGCCCTATAGGGGAAAACGCCATTTTCAGGGGATCCATCAGGAAAAATGGGAAAAAAATCTGAAAAACATTTTGTCTCAGGATTTTGATGCAGAATGGTGGAGAATCGATCCAGAAATCGATTAAAACACTCCGCTTGAGAATCGGATGAGAATTGGGGATGATATAGCTATCGCAGTGGGCCCTATAGGGGAAAACCCCATTTTCAGGGGATCCATCAGGAAAAATGGGAAAAATATCTGGAAAATATTTTGTCTCAGGATTTTGATGCATAATGGCGGAGAATCGATCCAGAAATCGTTCAAAACACTCCCCTTAAGAATCGGATGAGAATTGGGCAAGATATAGCCATCGCTATGGGCCCTATAGGGCGAAAACGCCATTTTCAGGGGATCCATCAGGAAAAATGGGAAAAAAAATCTGAAAAATATTTTGTCTCAGGATTTTGATGCAGAAAGGCGGAGAATCGATCCAGAAATCGTTTAAGGTACTCCGCTTAAGGATCGGATGAGAATTGGGCAAGATATAGCCATCGCTATGGGCCCTATAGGGGAATACGCCATTTTCAGGGGATCCATCAGGAAAAATGGGAAAAAAATCTGAAAAATATTTTGTCTCAGGATTTTGATGCAGAATGGTGGAAAATCGATCCACAAATCGTTTAAAACACTCCGCTTGAGAATCGGATGAAAATTGGGCAAGATATATCCATCGCAGTGGGCCCTATAGGGGAAAACGCCATTTTCAGGGGTCCCATCAGGAAAAATGGACAAAAAATCTGAAAAATATTTTGTCTCAGGATTTTGATGCAGAATGGTGGAGAATCGATATAGAAATCGTTTAAGATACTCCGCTTGAGAATCGGATGGGAATTGGGCAAGATATAGCCATCGCAGTGGGCCCTATAGGGGAAAACGCCATTTTCAGGGGATCCATCAGGAAAAATGGGAAAAAAATCTGAAAAACATTTTGTCTCAGGATTTTGATGCAGAATGGTGGAGAATCGATCCACAAATCGTTTAAGACACTCCGCTTGAGAATCGGATGAGAATTGGGCAAGAGATAGCCACCGCAGTGGGCCCTATAGGGGAAAACGCCATTTTCAGGGGAACCTATCGATTCTAAGATACCTAAATTGTTTCCTATCCATAAAGAATCCTTTCGATATGTGTCCTTTCGATTGTTGTGCAAAGTATTTTTTATATTTAATTTTTAATATTTTTGAAATTAAAATAAACCTTGAAACCCGAACAGCGCCAATGTGAAGACCGTGCTCTTCGTGCCCTACGCCCTGCGGGACCATGACAAGTACACTGCCACCGTGAGGGATGCCCTGAAGCCGTGGGGCTACTCCGTCGAGGGGCTGCACACGAAGCCGGACCGGGCACAGGCCCTGAAGGAGGCCCAGGCCATCTTCGTGGGCGGCGGCAACACCTTCGTCCTGCTGCGGACGCTCTACGAGCTGGAGCTGCTGGAGCCCATCCGGGAGCTGGTGCTGCGCGGCGGACTGCCCTACGTGGGCAGCAGTGCCGGGACGAATGTGGCCACCAGGTCGATACACACCACCAACGACATGCCGGTGGCCTATCCGCCCAGCTTCGAGGCCCTGGCCCTGGTGCCGTTCAACATAAATCCGCACTACCTGGACCCGGAGGCGGGCACTCACCACAAGGGCGAGACTCGGGACGAGAGGCTCGAGGAGTTTGTGGCCTACCATGGGCTGCCAGTGCTGGGCCTCCGGGAGGGAACCAGTGTCCGGGTGGAGGGCGAGAAGGCTACGCTCCTGGGGGATCGCAATGCCAAGCTTTTCAAGGCGTGAGTTTTTTTTAAAATTTTTAATTAATTTTAATTTTAATATTAAAATAATTACAGAGATGGGAGCACCGAGGAACTGGCTCCCAAGGCCGATCTTAGCTTCCTGCTGCAAAAGTAGTCGGATCGTACACTGAGGAAAACATCCGCACATTTATTGTACATATAAACATACAAGCTTATTGTATTATTTCTGCAATAACAACAATTCCTAATAAAATATTTTGTTTTTAAAATTAAAATATGACTAAAATGGTATGAAGAAAAGGATGTACTTTTAATAATATTTAATAAATTAATTATAGTTTTTAATATTTTTTTTTTAAGAAGACTGGCAATTACTGGCAATGTTTAATAGAAAATCATAATTTATATTTAGGTTTTAAGATTTATAAAAATTATAGGAAATGTACATAAAATTACCAGTTTCTTTTAATTTTTTTTTTTTTGGCACACCGTTTTTTTTTTTTATTTTTTTGAGACATTTTATGAGGCAAGGCGGCATATTTTACAGAGTACAGCCACTTAATGTTTTTTTTTACTTAATTAATTAATTTAAATTTATTTGCGCAACACTTAATAGAAATAAAAAATAATATTTCATAATAAAAAAAAAAGAGTCATGGTGCTTAGGAGTTAGGAGGAACCTTCCCTCCTCTGGGCTGTTGCCGGGTCTGAGATTGCTCCCTAGGGGCTATCAGGACTCTCTTCAAGGACTATATATATACTAATTATATAGGAATTTAATGGGCAAGTTGAATGGTAGGATATATGCTATATATTTACATGCGAAAACCAAATATCGAATGTCTATGAATGGCAGCTATTTAATCCTTAATCCTTATACTAACTAATCGTTATCTAATAGTTGTCTAATCCTTCTTTTTTTTATTTTATTTTTTATTTTTTTTTAATTTTTTTTGAGCATTGAAAGTTTCACTTTAAAGCAAGCAACAAACTGGCTTATGGAACTAGAAGTTGGTGTTGAGATAGGCCCTCTGCCAGGGACCCTAGATGCGAGTATAAGAGTTGGCGGTCAAGTCCTGTATCAGATGCACACCCCACCCAGGATGACATTCACACACACACGCACAGACACTACCCCTACAAAGTCATTCACACACACATGGATATGGAAATAGGATTTCCCCAAAAAAAAAAAAAAAGGAACTGATGATATTACAGGCAGGAATAGGAGCAGGAGCTGGAGCTGGAGCAGGACCAGGAGCTGGAGCAGGACCAGGAGCTGAAGCAGGACCAGGACCAGGAGCTAGAGCAGGACCAGGACCAGGAGCTGGAGCTGGAGCTGGAGCAGGACCAGGAGCTGGAGCTGGACCAGGAGCTGGAGCAGGACCAGGACCAGGAGCTGGAGCAGGACCAGGAGCTGTATCAGTATGCTATTTGTGCAATATACTCTTATCCTCGTAGCGGATAATGGCATCTCCGATTTGCTTTCGCGACGCCAAGTGGATGCACTTCTCCCGCCCGCACCGCTCCGGCACCTCCGCCGGCAGTGTCCCGCCCCTCGCCAGATAGTTGCGCACATCCTGGCCAAAGCGCAGATTCGGTTCCACGCCCCTCAGTATGTGCACCGAGTGCTGGGCCGCCACAAACATATCCAGGATGCTCTCCACGCCGGCAGGACGTGTCTCCGGCCGTTCCGTCGGCAGCAACAGCTGATCTATGTCCAGATCGCTTCTGATGATCGGCAATCCCTGCGGATGCAGTAGTTTTCGGGCTAAAAAGAGGATAGAATTAGCAGGGAGATCAATGCCAAGTCAAAGGAAATCCTAACCTTGAACATAATCCCGGGAGTAGAAGGAAATCACATCGTGGTTGTGACGATCAAAGTAGCCGCTGCTCTGGGACACATCGCAGGTGTCGCACTCCTTACAGAACTGCGCCCAGCGGCAGGGATACATCTGGAAGCCAATCGGGGCATAGACCTGGAAGCCCTGGATGGTGTTCATGCGGACGCGATTGAGGAAGTCGGCCTTGAAGTTCATGCCCGGCGTGGCCATCAAAACGAGCGACTCGAGGCCCAGTTTGGGCAGCGCCAGGTCGGCCACCACGAGACTGAAAAGCTGCCGGGGCCCGTACATGGAGGCGTGGAACAGCCAGTCGCTGGCCTCCACCTGGGCGCTCAGCTGCTCCGGCAGGCGGATGGAGACCCAAGCGATCCGGGAGCCGTCCGTTTTGTATTTTGTGGACAGGTCCAGGGCCAGGGTCTTGAGGGACTTGAACGGATCGTCGTCACCCTTGCTGGGCGAGTCCAGGCGGTACAAAAAGATCTGAAAATGATACAAAGATTAGCACTGCTTGGATGACCATGCAAATCATCCTTACCAGCAGGAGGAAGGTGTTATCCTGGTTCTGCATACAGACACGTTCGTATTGGGCCACAAACTCCAGGGCGTCGGGCACCTGGTGCTCGAATGCCGGCACCAGGACGGCTATTCGTGTGCTCTCCGTGACGTAGGGCGACGGCACCACCTCCACCCTGCCCAGGGGCTTCACCACCTCGAAACTCTTCACCAGAAGCTGCCGGTTCCGGCCCGATCCCTCCTGCAGGCTGAGATGCAACTGATAGTCCATGCCACGGGTGGCATCGAACTTCCGGTAGGCGCTGTGCAGGCTGTGGTACGTCAAGCGGGGATGCTTCAATGCCGCATACTGCAGGGCGATCTGCAGCACCTTCTCAAAGTCCAGGGCATCCACCTTGGAGAGGGGGGCCACCGTATGCTCGGCATTCCCGTGCGGCAGGAAGCTATGGGTCCCATTCAGCAGCTGCCACGTCAGGATGTCGTGACGCGTTTCCGGAGCACTCGGCGGCGGAACTCCCAGCGGCCAGCGGATCTCCAGGATCTTGTTCGAGATGCTGCCATTGGCGATGCGGTAAGATTTCTGCTCCAGAGCATAGCTACTGGACTGAACCATTTCCAGGTGATCCTGTCAAGAAATATTATCCTTAAATATTAGTTTTTTTTTTAAGGAATTTTCATTTAAAATCAAACCTTGGAGTAGTAGGCATGTAGGCGATAGAAGTCCTCTGGGGTTTGGACAGGATAGACGGTGCTGGCGTTGCGGAAGGCCTCCTGTTTGGCCAATTCACCAAAGTCGCGATGTCTGCGTCCTGGGGCATCCAAGGCATAGCTATATTGGCGCATTCCCTGAAGGATTAAAGATTTTTCAATATTTTAAAAGTTTTTATCGATTTTATCGATTTTTAGGCTTATCTATCGATTATCTGCCATCTTTAGTTTGGGTTTTTTGGATTTTTTTTTTATTTTAAGCCAAAAAGACTCTTTTTTACGAGAATTTCCTATTTTATTTGATGTTTCAAGACCGATAAATTCGATATACATTTATCGATTGTTTCGATATATTATTTTAATAATAAAAATATACCTTTTTTCACTTAGATCTAATAAAACTTATACTGTTTTATAGTTTAAAGCGATAACCTTCCCTAAAATGTTATCGATATTTTCGATAAATCCAGTTAATCGAGATATCGGGCTAATTTGAAACATAAATACTCCGTTATATGCTTTTTTTCTTTCTTTAGAAAGTGCTATTTGGCAAGGTCATGGCCAGGGTCACGCCTCAATACCGTTTCCATGGAAAGGAAGTCTCCCCGAAGCTCCCACGGCTTCGAGCCACATGCTCCCCCTTTTTGGATTTTCGGTTTCTTTGGCAATCTACCATTTTACGATCCATAAATGGGATCCGAGGGACCGACCGCCCAGCCAAGGGCATAATTAAATTAACAATGTCGTACTAATGGAACAAAGATCGCCCATTCGATCCGGGGGATTTGCCATTTTCCACCACCACCATCCACGAGCTCCACCTCCTCATCCTCCTTTTTATCTCATTTTCCACTCACAGCCAGACAGCACATTAATCAATCCCCAGTACCAGTCCCATACCCATTCCCAGTCCCTCCTCTATGGAGGTCTTTTGAAGCCGCCGGTTCCAACAGCTCCTTTAGGAAAGTTAATTAACCAACAAACAATATTGCACATCTTTTAATTTTAACTTGTATTTGTATTTAAGCAGCTGCTGAGGAAATTAACTAATTTCAGTTGTCATTGTGAGTCACTTGAGGTGCTATAACTTAATATTTTTAGTAAACATAAATCACTAAAAACTCGTAAAAAAACATCACAAAAAATTCCCATTTTAAAGCCAAACAAAATCAAATTATACGGAAACTGATGCTTTCATCTCGAATTCCATGGAAGGGTATACAAATAGTAGTTCCCATCCTATAAACAGTCCAATAATTACAAATAATAATGATTCATATTGCCACCTATTTTCGGTATCTGAGAAACCACACACTTTTTATGTTATTTTCTTTGATATTATTTTACGAATTATCTGACATTAAATAATTTTTATAAAGAGAAGGGGGAGGAGGGGAGCATATAGACACAAATAGATCGATCCGAAATTTCAGACAATTACAGGCCACTGTTGAAGAAATCCGTTAGCAGCTGTGCCCCCAAACTGTCATGGTCATGCCCCCTTCTGGTTTTTCACTCGCACAGTGGTTTGGGGTTTGAGGAAAAGGTAAGGCCTTAGAGGTTCTTCAAAAGGGGTTAGATTTTGGGAGATTTTGTGTTATAATGCCAGGATAATTAATTCGTAATTTAAATAAAGAGTTATATGAACTAAAAAAAATATATAAAAGTATAATTTATTTTTTTTTTAAAGCTTGATTACTTTGGGTATTTACTCTTATGAAAATCTAAAGAATAGGTATATTTAAAACTATATTTCTAGTGGTTTTCTTGAATATTTAAATGCTATATTATTCTTAATAAAGAATAAAAAATAAACCTAATTCAACAAATTATTAAACCTAGATTTGCTTTTTGAAATTTTTAACATATATCCCACCACAAGCTGAAGTAAATATATTATTTATAGTATGAATATGAATATGATACGAATAAGAAACACTATACTATTGTCTATTATTTTATTATCTGTTATATCTATATATATTTCTATTTATATTATTTTATTTACTAGAACATGCCTAATATTTTCTTTATAGTTATACTTTTAACTTGTTTATAATTTTGAATGAAAGAAAACTCTAGCTTGGAAGCAATAATAAAAATAATATCTGTTCTTGGAACTACTATTCTTTTTAATTACTATTCTATTATTAACTACTATTTTATTTATTATTTCTCATCCAAAGTTTCGAACCTCTTACCCATTCTTTTCACACCATTTCCTCTATACCCCAAACCACTGTTCCAAACCCAAAGAAATTCTTTGTTTGTTGCTAGAAAATAAAATAAACTCTCCTGTCCATCAAGTGTGAAGTGGCTACTTATTTTCTGCTTTGATTTCTGAGCCCGATCTCCAAAAATTATAAATAAAAGCCAAACGGACAACACTGGCTGTGAAATATCAATGAAATGGCTCCAGTTTCTTGGGATCTTCAAGATCGAAATGTCTGTCTGTCTCTTCACTCAGATTCTTATTCAGATACTGATTCTGTATCTGATTGTGTATCTTGGACGTGTGTGTGTCTTTTTAGTTTGCGGCAAATTGTTTAAATAAATAAAATGGCATGTAGGAAGCGGGCACGACCGAAGCCAGCAAATTAAATAAAATGTCTGATTGTTCATCCGCATGTGCGTGAATCGTTTAGGTTTTTATTTATTTTTCTTCTAGAAGGTTTAGGAAACTATAAGAAACCTTAAAAATATTTAATTGTAAGCTGGTTCTAGGCGCCTAATAGGTTCCTAGCTAAAAAAAGATATTTTAAATCTCAGCTATTTAATTATTAATTAAATCAAAGATCTGGAAATTAAAGAAAATTATTAAGAATCTCACCTGAAAACTCTCCTGGCAACCCGTCACCCGACTGGCGTACTTGACACACCTCCCAATGTTGACGGAGTGATCGGAGGTGCTGCCGATCCGGACACACCTCTCCAGATTGTTGCGCATCTTCCGGATGACGCTGTTGCTGAAGAGGATGCCCGCCTCCAGGGAGCAATAGTTTCGATCGCTGAGACCCGGCTGGACGTCCTCCTCCCCGGCACTGGCAGCATCGTTGATGGGGCTGCCGGCATCCAGGCCCACCCTCGCCCCGCCCATGTAGAGGTCAAAGGTGATGCTCATGTGGTAGAGGAGCTTCTTCAGCTTGCGGGCATCCACATAGACGTTATCGGGCACCAGCAGGAAGTAGTCGTACTCCTTCAGGTAGTTGTCGGCAATGTACTTGATGACATGGAAGGGTCGCCGGTTCTCGTGGGTGTCCGTGAACCCGACAATGTTCTTTAGTTTATAATTAGTCTTGACACTGTCCGCGTAGATGAAGAACTTAATTTTATTGACCAGATGGGCGATGGTCCGGTTGAAGGCCGTGGCATAGGTGTTGATGTGCTCCTGGGAGGTCATCACCCCGATGAAGAGCTTCTCGCGGATGCCCAGCTCCGACGAGTAGTACCTCGGTCGTATCACATTTTTTACCTAAAAAAAAAAATAAGAATTTAAATAAATAGGAATAGGAAATAATAGTTATGAAGAATTATTCTGAGAATGGAGGGGAATCTGAGAGTGAGAATCTTGAATTTCAAAGATCGTGTTTCGAGTTTCTGCCCTTCAGTACGTGACTTTTTCTTAAAAGTGGAAGAGGCTCAGGTTATTTTTGTAAACCAGAGATACCAGATAAAGTAGCTCTTAAACCTATAAGTACTTTTATTTTATTTATAGGCACCTGCCAAAAGTTAAGGGCTTCTTTTCAGATTTTATCTTCTATTAAGTGGCTTGGCTTTTGTATTTTTATTATTTTTGTATTTCCTCAGCACTTGAGGGGATTTTTGTAATTCCTATTTTTGTGATTAGATGACTAAACACAAGTTCGACAACCCCTTGATGAGGAATTCCCTTTCGAATAATATTTTTAGGAAAGATAATGTCAGTTTGGGGTCTTAAGACTTTCAAAATGTTATTAAAAATTGACAGTTGGCTTCTCGAATTAAATTTTAAAGAATATTTATTAGTTAAATAATGGTTGGGTAAGAAAAAGCCTAAGAAAGTCACATGAGAACGTCACATTGTTCCGATTGTTCAGTTATATGATAGCTATAAGGATATAGTCATATAAATAATTTAAATATTAGCCATTTAGTGCCTTAATATATCCTTAATTTCCCGACTGGCAACCTTAAGAAATAAATCAAATATTTTCCTCGAAACTCCATTAACTTTATCATGTGACTTTTAACCTAAAATATTTCGAGAGTTAATAGCAATTTCAAGGCTAAAAAAATATCTACAAAATAACCAAGTAAATAGTTTAAAAAATAAAGGTAAACAGCTACGTTCGTTTAGCGCCAAAGTGGGCGTCCATTTTTTTGCGAAATTTCACGAAAATTTGCATACATGCAACCCGAGTACTTAGTTTACTTAGTTTATTATCCAAAAAAAAAATAAAAATATATACATTTTTTTGTCAATTACTAGAAAAAAGATGCGTGCAAGTCGGACACACCTACTCGGGGCGGCCTTTTTGTTTAAATTGGAAATTAGTTGTTGAAATAAACAAAACGTCAGCACTTGTGGTCCAATGTTTGTCCAAGTACGAGTACGAGTACAGAGGGCCTATTAGTGTTGCAGTACCAGGTAGTGTTCATTGGAATTATGGCTAATTAAAAATCATTCTTAATAGATTTTTAATAACGGCTAACAAGCTGTTTGCCCGGCCTTTAGCTTTATGGCCGGATCGTAAAGTGGCCCGAACTCTCAGGGTCGCTATCGGCGTTAATCTCTAAGAATATTCTGGTTTTTTCAAATACTCTTTAAATATATATATTATTTACTTTATTTAATATGTGGTTGAGTGGGGTTTGAGCTTGAATAATAATTATCATAGTTGGGAAATAAAAAGAAAACTATAAAGACAGCGATATGAGAAGGTGAGTTTAAGGTTAAGTTTAGAGTTCGAAACGGTTATGAGGATGAAAAAATATTTTTTTTTTATAATATTGAAAAAAAATGCATAATAGTTTTAAATAACTATAAGTTATAGATATTTTTTATAGATTCGACCTAAAAGTTTAGCTTTAAAAAGCCTGAAGAGGATTTATTTCCAAGAGAAGTTCAAAACTTTTCAAGAAAAAATGTATTTCTTTTATTATTATGATCTTTTATTAGAAGATACATCTAATCTCTTATTATTTATCTTCTGTATAGCTAATAGAAGATAATATTTAAATAAACATATTTTTGAAATTCAAAAAAAGAGCATTCAACTTTCTACTTGAAGAACTCAATTCCAGGTCGACTTCTTTATTTAAAGTACTCATTTATAGACTATTATTTCATATTATTTCATAATTTTTTTTTGAGAATTTTTAGGCCAAAGTGTGATGCGTTTTTCCAAGTCCTTGAATGGTTTTTATTATGATTTTTTTTTGAGTGAAAACGATGTGAGCTCGATGGGCAAATAGTACGCTTGTTGGTTGGCAGCAATTAGCAATAATCACCTTAATAAATAAATGTATTAGTGAGTAAGAAAAGCAAGAAAAAAAATACCTGATCGATTAGATAAATAAACAGAAGCACTAAGCCACGATATCAGAGTTGAGTAAGAAGCTAAAATTTAATGAGAAACTCCGAGGGGTCAGAGCTTAATGGTGTTCTAATGCCAACCTTGTACCATTAGCACAGATCTCATATATATGTATATATATGTTTTGGATTCTACAATCTAGAATCTTGAATCTACAATGTAGAATCTAGAAGACCAGAAGACTGGGGGGGGGAAGCACAAAAACATTTGCCAATCATCAACTGTGTAAATATATCGCCGAAAGGTAAACCAAGACTAAAAATAAAATCACCGCAAAAAACCAAAAACCAAAAAAAAAGAAATGGATTTTTTGAAAAAGAAAACATACATTTTGGTAAAGATTTGTGTTCTTTTTTTGTGTTCTTTTTCAAAATTTGTTGAGTAAATAAAAAACATGGATGATGAATGGAAATTCGAATTTGCAAAATAATGAGATGACGAACCAAAAACCACCATATTTTATCTAAATAAAAAAAAAAATTCTAAGAAATAATACACGTGGTGGTTGGGGATCGAAAGATATAGGCGTATATATATATTACTTGAGAGATAAGACTTTAAACAGCCTTGTGACGTAACAACGGAAGTGAGTCGAAAATTTATTGAAAGCCAAAACCCAGAACCCATAACCCAAACCCTCTTATCAAAAATTGGTTTATTTCTTATCAAACTATGAAGAAAAAAAATAAAAATACGTCACTCTCGACAACTGAACACAATTTTATTTAAAAAAGAGACTCTAATTCTATCAAAAACTATCCCACTTTGAGTCACTGGTTGAACTTGGAACTTGGCGATTATATAGCCCATATATACTACTCTATATGGTCGGCATTGTTGGCCCCCAATAAATCTCCAGATAGCCCTCGAGTGAGTGTTACTTTATATGGCGGCTACTTAAGGTGTGTTTACCTTGTAATGAGCCGCGACTAATGCCTCGAAAATCTCTACAGATTCCCCTGGCAAATATTATGATTTGGATTTACACTAAATACTCTACAAATCATGACGGTGGGATACCCTAATTAGTGGGTTCAGTGCCCTTAACCCCAAACCGACTACAAATCGGGTAATTATAAAGCGATTCTATAGCCTGTAATTAGTTCAGATCGCAAATGAAAGAGTTTATTAGACGATTGAATGGATCTTTGATTGGCAAATAAACCAATCATCTGTTATATAGAGAATATATATATATTCCATTCAATTATCGAGTCGATTGCACTATTTAAATCGCAGCAGTCGCAGAAATGCATAAATTACGGCCTTCAAATGGATTCGAATTGACAACGCAATGGTTTTTGGTTTACACTGGGAATTATTTTGGGTTTTTGGGTTAGATATTATATAAGAATTTTAAGAAATTGATTTTAGAGGGAAGAATATGAGGGATTAGTAGAGGAAATGGTTTGTAATCTACTTTTATAATAATCTTTATAATCTTTTATAATAGCAACCTTATAGATAGCACGACTGTATAGTTAGAGTACCAGGTATGAATATTTATTATGAATATTTATTAAAGAAAGGGTATTTCATAAAACCCTATATAAAATATATAATAAAAGCAAGATTTATAGCGATTTTATGGTACTATAGTTCTTTTGATATTATGATAGAAACCCTTATACACAGACAGATCTAAGTAGTGCTAATAGTACCGGGTATTTATATTCATTGATGATAACGTTTTAAATAATATATAAATCAATAATAAATTATTTCAATGGAGTTTTTACTATTATAATTTGTTAAAGATCTTTTATGATAGAAAACCTCATAAACAGACAGGTCTAAGTAGCTCTTGATGGTCCAAGTACCGGGTATTTATATTTTATAGGGTTTTGGGTAATACATTTTCTTAATAACTTTAAAGAGGACGAATAATGAGGATTTCTGGCGGTATTTTTTATAAAAATATCGATTTTAATAGAGAACCTTATAAAAAGCATGGTCTAAGTAGCTCAAGTACCGTGTATTTATATTGCGCGTTTATAAATAGATATGTTTGAATTAAAAATCGTATATAGATAGACAGTTGAATACTAAATGGCTCTAGTACCGGGTATTTATATTTATCCTCAAAGTACTAGCTTATTCATTCCAAATACATGCGTATATATTCAAGAGATATTTTATCTATGACCTAGTACAGATATAGTAACTAGTATCTATATTATTTATAAAAGATTTCTAATATTTTACAACACCCCTGGTTCTTATAGTATCTATATTTATTATTACCTTAAAAACTACTTCTTTAAAAACCCCCTACTTTTCTCACTGTATCCAACACCTTTGTAACTTGAGGATTATTCAAATCTCAAGACGTATACCCTGCTATATAGATCATGGAGATCAAATACACCTTATAGAATATTCAGAGGGTCGCGCAATCTCGGCGTTCCATCCGCTGGCGGAGGAGGAAAGTGCCACAAGCCGACAGCCAACCTGCAACGTGCAACCGACTGACTTTGCTGCCAAATGGATGGGATGGGATGGAATGGGATGGGATTGGACAAATCTTAATTGGGACAAGTGCGCCGGCAGCCGCCCGACAGACAGATAGCCAGAGAGACCGTCTAACGCCCTCCCTTCTCCCAATAATGGAGGAACACAGATGCGGGACGGATTAGTCTAGCAGCCTCTCGGACTGGACAATTTATTGGGGACACAGTCTGTAGACACAGTCTGTAGAGTCTCTACAGTCTGGCCCCGGATAAAGCGACCAGAGTCCACACCGGATATGCGACGCGCTTTTCAATTAAAACCAAAAAAAAAAATAAATAAAAAAAAAAACACTGAAGCCGTCAAGATGGGTGGAACATTATCCACATATATGGTAGGGGGAGCACGATGTTGTAAGGAAAATGTAATTAAAGCGATAAGACTAGATCTATATTGAGTTATGGTAGAAGATATAGAGCTAAGGTAGTAGTTTAGGTACCGGGTATTGATAACTTATTAAGAACAGGTTTTTTAAGTTTTAAACATAAATATTGTAGACTACCAGACACAAGAATAGCAGGTAAAGTACCGGGTATTACTACATCTTCTTGTTTCTCTATTATATCAAGGTTTTCTCATCAAGATTCTTAAGATATGAAAGGAATAAAACCCAAACTAGTAGTGCAAGTACTGGGTATTTATAGTTATTCAAAATATTGAACTACTTTTCTTTCTACTCTTTCTTCATGTTATAAAAAAAGGTTCCTAACTATGTTTAATATTAAATAAATAGGGTTTAAAATTATGGGGACTAAATAAACCCGTAACTAGCAGAGCAAGTACCGGGTATGAACATTTAAAATACTAAAATAAAATACTAATTTTTTTGGAAGAAAAAACCCTAGAGATGGATATTCCTTATTATATCAAGGTTATCAACTAAATACCCACAAAACTAGTAGAGCAAGTACCGGGTATTATTAATTATTTTGAAAATCATAGGGATATCATATTACTTCTCTATTATACCAAAGTTGTTCCAAGTTACAAGATTATATATATATATAGGGGCTATAGACATGGGGATTAAAACAGACCCAATCCTATAAGTTCAAGTACCGGGTATTATTATTTATTTTGAAAAGCAAAGGCTTATATTAATAATTCTCTATTATATCAAAGATCAAATATATAGGGATTGAAATACACATAAAACTAGAAGTTCAAGTACCGGGTATGGTTATTTATTTTAAAAATCATAGGGATATCTTTACATTTCTCTATTATACTAAGGTTCTTCCAAGTTAAAAGATTAAATATGAAGAGCCCGAAGATATATGGATTAAAATACAACCAAAACTAGAAGAAGTATTGGGTATGATTATTTATTTTTAATACTAATATTTTAGAAACAAAACCACCCTATAGAGAAGGAAATTCCCTATCACACCAAGGTTCCCAACTCTTAAACATAAGAAGCAAGGCAGAGTTCCCTAAGAACCCCTTGAAAAACCCCCTTGACTAAATATAGTCTGGAATTACTGATAAAGATTATACAAAGTCTCAGATTTCCAACCGAAAACCCTCACTTTTTGGGCTTCAAGAACACCAATTGACAAATTGCCTTCAAGATGAGCAGAGATATGGAGCTATGGGCTCCGATTTCCGATTTCGAGGGCTTTTTGTTGGCTTTTCAATTAGAAACTTGTGCCAGCGATAAGCCGCTTTATTTATAGAACCGACCTGGTTGATAATATAGAATATTCTTTATAGAACCCACATAGCTTTCAATCTTGCATATATTTATTAACGACAAAAAATTTTGGAAAAAAGACGCAAAGAGTCGCGAGTGTCACTTGTCGCCGTGCATGCCGGAGGTGACACCCAGGTACTTATCGAACAGATAGTCCCCGACCTCGTTCCTAGCCCGTTCCAGCTGCCTTATATAGTCGGCCAATACCTTCTGGCCATCGACCTGTTCCTGCAGGAAGTTCGTCTCAATAAAGTCGCACAGATTCGGGTCGGCTTCCTTCCCGGCCAGGGTGTGGAGGTCCAGGAGGTGCTGATTCACTTCCATCTCCATACCCAGGGCGTGCTTGAGGGCGTCGAGGGAACTGGGGAAGCCGGGCAGGGGCTCGGGTACACTCTTCAAAATAATGGCACCGCCACGCTTGTTCATATACTTCATAATCATCTCGGCATGGTTCCGCTCCTCGACACTGGCCTGAAGGAAGAACTTAAACATGCCGGGCGAACTCATGTCGGCTCGGTCGAAATGATAGGCCTATATCAGAGATATATCTTTTTAGAAAATGTAGTATTTTTTTTTTAAAATAATACCCCACCATGGCTAGGTATTGGTGACAGGCCTTGAGCTCCAGGTTGATCTGTTCGTTTAGTTTCTTTTCGCAGATCTTGGAGAAGTTCTGACGCATCATCGTGCAACAGTGGCGCCTCAAAAACCCAAAGTATCTCAAAGACATGATTTCAAACAAAAACCTCGAATTTTACTTTTCACTTTTTCCCGATTTTCAAACAAAATCTGAAGTAAAACCCAAAACAACACAAAACTAGACAGACTGAGACAGGTGTCTGTGATGAAAGATCCAAGATCGAACTTTGGAAGATCCATCACTCTTTTTTTTTTCGGTTTTTTTGGTTTTTTGGTTTTTTTGGGTTGAAGTTCAAAGTGCCCTGCCGGCTCTGATTTCACTTAGCATTAGTGTGTACTCTGTGTATATATAGTATATCGGTGTTTATGTCCAGATCTGTTTGCTTTAACTCGAACAAGTACACAGACGTTGAGAGCAAACGCGGTTATTGTCTTTTATTAAGTGAGTGGACGGAAGACTGTCTTTTTTCGAATCATCTCCATTGATATACTCTTTAAAATGTTTGCTTTTCTTGAAGATCTTAAATTTCTTAAAATATCAACTGGTTTTTGGTCAATATTTGGAAAGAATAATCCCTTTAAAGTCTAAATAAGGATATTAAAATGGAGGGGATATTAGAATATGTAATTTAATTTAATTGGATTTTTATAAAAAATAGCAACTTGTGGGGTTTAAAAGGTAGTATCTATAAGATATTATGAAAAATATATATTTAGTCGTTTATTTCTATTAATTTTAATTATTAATTACCAAAAAACCATAAGCTTTATGAAGAAAAAGTAAAGAGTTCGAGTTCGAGTTCGACTGAGATTTCTCATAATATTTATCTATTTTTTTCACCAAAAAATATATTCAAAATTTCTAAATATATATTCTAAAATACCAAAAACCCTAAACTAAATAAAGATTGTGAAGAGTTTGACTGACTGCAACTTCTCATAATATATCTCAATTTTTCTAATAAAATCTCCATAATAAATTCCATCAAAAATATATATATTTTTAAAAATACCTAAAACCTTATTTCTTTCCTTAACTCTTAGTATTATTTATTATCCAAGTAAGAGTATATTGTTGGGCTTCTTAAAAACCAAAAGTTTCAATTTCCGAAACGCATGTGCGAATGCGAGAGTCTTTGGAATTATCGTTCCCTTGTTACATTTTTTTTTGTTCAAATCCCCCCCAGAAAACGAAAACTGAAACTGAAATTGAAACCGAAACTGACCAACCAACCAGCCAACCAAAAAAAGACCTCTCTATGTATGTACATTACGCACATTAAAAAAAAAAAAAAAATGTGTTATAATTTAGGCAAGAAATGGTGACTCCACAGACCGCATGTGCGACTCGTAAAAAAGAGGTAATAATAAAGTTCAAGTTAGCAGAGTAAGCAATTTCACCAGACGGCAAAAAAAAAAAACCCAAAAAAAAAAAGAAATTAAATTAAAACACATAAGAGTTATGCAAATCGTGGCAGACATGGCATTTAATTAATTAGATTAAAAATAGTGTATTAAAAGATATTGCAACCAGAGAGCCCAGAGGTCTTTCATTAAATTGTGTTAATTATTAAAGAAATAACTAAAAAATATACATTATTTTCCTCTTAAATTCAATTAAATATTCCCCCAACGTATGGCCATAAAAATCCCAATTCAAAGGCGACACTTTTCAATCAAATCTTAAAACAAAAAAACATTTACATATAATTAAGGCCCATAATCCAGTTTTTTTGTGTTAAATACAAAACGTGCCATAAATTATAAATATTATTAAGCCAAGGCGGTGGAAAAAAAACCTTTTAATTTCCAGCATATGGAAGAAAAAAAAGCAAACCTCAGCACATGGAAGCCAAAAAATGAATAAAAATTAAAAATAAAATGCAGAGACAGGAGGTGGAGGAGAAATCAGGCCATTTTTTGGGAAATATATTCAAGAAGTAAGTCATTTTATTAAATAATTTCTGCGTTTATTTATTTAAATTTAATTTACGATCCAACGATCGTCTCTCAGCCCCCGAAGACCAATATTTTGAGAACCGGGAAGTGGCATTCTTTTTAAAATTTATTAAAAATTGTTAATAATTTTATTTTTTGTTCAACCCTCTAGAAACTGGAAACCCAATTGATAAGCGAAATAATATAATATGACGTCTGAAAATTGGACACTGAGCTACAGGGCTGCGGGGACTTACGCATACCTCCCCGTCCATGGGTCAATGCCCTAGTACTTGAGAACCCAGAGTGGGCAGTGGGCAGTTTTAGTTTCCATTTCGATAGTTGAGAAAATAATGCGGATTCTTTGGAAATTGGAGAAGTCACTGGGTTGGTTGGTTGCCATGTGGTGGAATACGAGTTGGAATTTAATCGACTTGCTCTCCGGCTTGGTAATTTTCATAAAATTTAATTAAAAAATCATAAAATGGGTCTTGATCTCTGAAGATGGCTGTTAATTTATGCCTCAACTCAAGTACCTCAATTCCTGCTGGCTAGTGTTATAAGCCTGATAAGCCCGAAGGTCAATAAATCGCTATCAGCCCCAACTGGCCCGATGCTGGCTATGAAGTCAGTTCAGTCTATATAACTAAGGTATGCCTTCTATATATTTTTTAATATTTACGGTCTGGGGATTTATGGATTTTGGACTTAAAAGATGCTTATTTTAATTAAGATTTATCAGTTTGGGGTTGGGTATTTTTTTTAAAGAAATATTTAGACTAATTCTTTAGAGTATTTTATTCTTTTTTTTTAGTTATTTCTTTTTTTTTTTTAGTTTTATTATATGAACAATCTAATATTTTATACAGTACTACTATATTTTCTACTAAAATCTATTTTCTATCTTCTATTTCTCTTAAATTGAACTTAAAACTAACATTTTTTACTTAAAAATTAATAAAAAATCTTAATATTTAATTTTAAAACTAGAGTTTGGAAGACGTACCGGCTTCTTGGCCGCCAGCGGCTTGTTCACAAGATTCAGTTGCGGCTCAAAGTCCTGGCCGAAGCGCTCGATCAGCAGGTTCTCGGCCGCCTCCTGCGGGCACTCCGGCTGGATCGGCTCGAACAGGATCTCCGGCACATAGATGCTGAGCACCAGGCCCAGGGCCAGGCTGAGCACGAAGCAGTGGTTGCGTTTAAATCGCTCTAGTCTGCGCATCTTTTTTTTAATCTTTTTTTTTTTGGGGGGAGGGGTGGGGGGGGCTTTGAAGAAAGGTGCGAAGAAAGTGGTGGAAGGAGAGGGAGAGGAGAGAGAGAAACTGGTGTCAGGAGCAGAGCCAAAAAGCCAATCGTCATATGCACATTTTTGCCGCGGTTTTTCCACTTTTCCACATTTATGGGTGACCGGGATCGGGACAGGGACCGGGGCCGGGGGCCACTTGTTGCCGTTTCTGGTTCTTCTTTGAGACGCTTCTTTTCTGGAAATCCAACAGGTGCCTGGTCGGGCGCACTCTCTCTTTAACCGTATATATATTTTGTATTATTTTATTTTTTTGGCACTTTTTCGATTTTTTGATTCGGCGCCGCACACACTACTTTCCTTCGTTCGCTTTCGATTAATACTTTTCCCGGCATTTTCCCGGGCACATTGCTGTTACGCTCGCGTTCCTCGTTGATTTTTGCGGCTAATTTTCGCGGAGCACGCTGCGCTGGCCGAGAGTATGGGCTGGCCGCTAAAAAATAAAAATAAAAAAAAAGCGACTCGAGCGCCGGGCCGGTTTCGCGCAGGTAAACAACAAAAAAAATAAAGCATGCCTAGTGTTGCCAGATGCCGATTTTCCGATATTACCCCCATTTATCGTACATATCGATAGCACTAGTAGCCGATAGTCTCCATTTGGTCACACTAAAGGCGCCAAATCGAATTTTGAATATTTTTTTGGTTTAAATAACTATGTTTTTAAAGAGAATGAGCTTATTTTCTTATTTATTTTTTATATTTTATAAACTATTATGGTTTTTAGCTAGAAGTAGGTTATTATTTCTACTAAAACAAACTCTCTCCTATAAAAACCGTTTTTCTGTCTAATTAAAAGCCTATAAAAATTAAATATCACATTAAATAGTTAAGTTTTAATTCAATATAGTTAATTTAAGTTTAAAAATCCGTTTATCCCCTGTTTTCTCACCTGGCAGTGCCATCTTCAGCCAGGTGTCATATCTATCTAAGCCCGCAACGGTCACACTGGCCACTAACTGACTACATCCCAATCCGAATCTGAATCCGAATTCAAATCGAAATCCGTAACAGCAACCGCATCTAGGAGCTACGAATTCCGTGGAGAGCCAGCGGCCATTCCGGACAAGACATGTCGCCCAAGTACACGCACGCCATCGTGGCCAGGTGAGTGGCCAGCGGATGACAATAGCCCGGGAGTGGCCCAGTGGCGGGGAATTAGGTCACCCAGTCAACGGCAGGCTGCGTGGGTGGGGCACCCACTTGGCGGCTTAATTGAATGATTATATTTGCTTCTAACCTGCCCACCCTCCTCGTAGAATCTCGGATGCCCTGCTGGAGAACGGGAAGTTCGACGTCCAACTGGCGAAGCAGCAGCATGAGGAGTACTGCACCCTGCTGCGCTCCATCGGGCTGGACGTGATCGAGCTGCCGCCGGACGATGAGCTGCCCGAGGGCGTGTTTGTGGAGAACAGCGCTGTGATCTGCAATGGAGTGGCCCTGATTGGACGATCGGAGAACCCGAAGCGACGCCGCGAGGCCGAAAGCATGGCCATTATCCTGAAAAAGGAGCTAGACATTCCAATAATAGAGATCGAGGACCAGCATGCCCAGCTCGACGGCGGAGATGTGCTCTTCACGGGTTCGACTCTAAAACGCCAGCAGGAGCATCCACTTTATTAATGTTCTTCCATTTTAGGTCGGGAATTTTTCGTGGGAATCTCGGGCTTCACCAACGAGGAGGGTGCCCGTGCTGTGGCCATGGCCTATCCGGAATACCCAGTGACGCCCATACGCGTGAATGGCAATCGCCGGCTGAAGTACTATGTGACCATGGCGGGACCGGATGTCCTGTGCGTGAGCAGCAGCCCCACCTGCCAGGAGATTGTGAAGCGCATGGAGCGGGAGGCGAGCTTCACCTACCAGAAGCTGACCCTGCCGGAGGAGAGTGCCGCCAATGTGTTGTACATCAATGGAACCATTGTCTACCGATCCCCGTCAGAGATACCCGACGCCTACAAGGTAGGTGGTTGATACTTTATTTGAAAGTATGTCCTTTCATGTCCTTCTATATCCATTATCCATTATCCTTTAGACTTTGAAAGAAAAAATCGACATTCCATCGAGAAACATAAACATAAGCGAGTTTAGTCAGTACTCCAGTGGCCTGACGTCGTGTTGCCTGCTGCTCCGGCGCTGGAAGTCCATAAGGAGTATCTGAATCTGAATCCCTGGGAGCTGTCCCAACCAGTAGCATTGCCATGAGAATCACACAACGCACACCAGCAATATTTATAAAGAAATCCTATCGTATTATCCATGTATTCGTAGTCTAATTGCAATTCTTGTTATCGAATCGAATCTACGCTCCTCCGACTGGAGAGTTGGAGCGAGTCCTGGCATTCCAAACCAGTCCCATTATACCGTTTAAGGATATCGGACAATATCATTATTACTATTATTATTATTATTATTATTATTATTATTATTACAACTATTGTGCTATTTGAGAGTGTCTCTACTTTCCAAGTAGAGTTTGTTGACAAAAGAATCTAAAATTTAATAAATAATCTCCTTTTTTTTACAAAAAAAAAAACAAGAAAGAAAAGAAAAGTTCGGAAGGAGACGAAGTTGATACACCCTTAGAGTTAAGATCAGATATATATTGCATAAGGTTGGCCGATCCTTTAATAATTGTATTATAAAAACCAATTTATTAAAATACTAAGGTTTGTTTTTTATACCAAATACTACTTCCGATAGTTCAGTTATTAGGCAGATATAGGATATAGTCCCCTATTAGGTCCACTGCGATGGCTATATCTTCCCCAATTCTTATCCGATTCTCAAGCGGAGTATCTTAAACGATTTCTGGATCGATTCTCCACCATTCTGCATCAAAATCCTGAGACAACATATTTTTCATATTTTTTTCCAATTTTTCCTGATGGATCCCCTGAAAATGGCGTTTTCCCCTATAGGGCCCACTGCGATGGCTATATCTTCCCCAATTCTTATCCGATTCTCAAGCGGAGTATCTTAAACGATTTCTGGATCGATTCTCCACCATTCTGCATCAAAATCCTGAGACAAAATATTTTTCAGATTTTTTTCCCATTTTTCCTGATGGGATCCCTTACTGGGGCTTGGCATTTTCGATCTTTTAGTTATATGGCAGCTATAGGATATAGTCTACCGATCCTAATGAAATCTGGTATGTCGTATTATTTCGCTAAAAATATAATATATTACAAATCCCAATGCTCTAACTCTAAAAACACCAAAGTTATGACATCTTTCAGTTATACGGCAGCTATAGGATATAGTCTACCGATCCCAGCTATAGGCTATAGTCGGATATAGTTAAACACTTGATTTATTTTGTCGCTAATCGTAGGCTTAGTCTAGGTTTTAAATGCATGTCGCCTTAGCAAAGGTCAAGGGTTAAAACTCGGGTGATGGATGCTCCACCTGGCGGGTGTGGATGCTCCACCTGGCGGGTGGGGATGCTCCACCTGGCGGGTGTGGATGCTCCACCTGGCGGGTGTGGATAGTGATGGATAATGGTATGGGAGTAATACTAGTTGCGTAATAAATAATCGATGGCAGGAGTGGGAGTGGCTGTTGTCCAGTTCTGAAGGAGGATCTCTTAATTACAAGTTCTTAGGTTAGGGATCTAAGGATCAGGTGATCAGGTGGGTGGGTTGTATATCATCTCCTCATATACACTTTCTGGCGGGGATCGGGGCTTGGTTACTAGCTGGGTGCCGCCCGGGGATCGATGTACGAGATCACGCTGCTCTGGCTGCTGTCGTCCTCCATCGTCTCGTTGAGATTTTCGTTGTGGGAGCTGCCCAGTGGAAGCTTCTCCTTCTCCAGGGTCACTTCTCGCTCTCTTACTCTCTCTCTATCTCGCTCTCGTTCTCGCTCTAGCTCCCGCTCCCTCTCCCTTTCTCTTTCTCGTTCCCGGCGCTCCCTCTCGTACCGCTCGGTGACCTCCTGCTTGCTCCTCAACGGACTCCGGCACTTGATCGCCTCGTACAGCTCATCAATGGAGGTGTCCTCGTGCTGGTCGTGCTCCGGATGATCGTCCCGCTCGCTGCCGGGCGCCACCCGCTCGTCGTCGTCGAACTCGTTGAGGACGTCCACGTCGGCGTCGCTGGCGTTGGAGGACTGGTAGCACCGGAAGTCGTCCGTCAGGGTGAGATTCAGGTCGTTGTCCGCCTGGGGGGCGTACAGGCCGTGGCTCCGGATGCTGATCTCCGAGTTCTGGTAGTTGAGATCGCTCTCGTTGGTGGGGCTCCCGGAGAGGAGGCGTCCCTCGTCCTCCGCCTCGGCGCCGGGGCCACGCAGCAGGCTCCGCTCGGCGCGATCCTTCAGCTGGCAGAGATTACTGCTGGAGCAGGAGTAGACCTGCTGGCCCTCGAGGGTGCTGCGGTCCAGGTCGGCGATCTCCTCGCCGTCCGGCTCGACGGCCACCGCCCCGGAACTACCGCACCCGCCCCCGCCACCACCGCCACCGCCCAGCATCTCGCTAATGTTGTTGAGGGACTTGGACTGTTGCTGCTGGCTGAAGCGGATGAGGACGCTGGGGAAGTCCTCGTCCAGCTGGATGCTGTTGCTGGTGGTCACCTGCAGCGAGTTGGAGACGTAGATCTCGTGCTTCTGCAGCAGCGGCTCCTCCAGCTGGGTGCTGATCTCCGGCAGGCCGCAGCTGTTCATCGCCTCCAGGCTGGGCTGCTTCACGGGCGTGGAGCTGAGGATGTGGCCGTTCCGCGGCCGGAACAGGTTGTTCATCCCACTGTGGGATGAGGCCGTCGCCGGCAGAGTGTTGGCATACAAGGGGGCATTCTCGTCCAGAGAGCTGGCGTCCTCCTCCAGTTCGGCCTCCTCCTCCTCCTCCTCCAAGCCGTGGGGATTGGCCTGCTCCTGCAGCGGGCCCGGTTCGTCCTCCTCCTCCTCGTCGTCCTCCTGCTCGTGCAGGGTCTCGTCCAGCAGCGAGGGCGTCCGGTTGCCCCGCAGCTTGATCACCTCGTGCTGCGGCGTCAGGGTCTCCGGTATGTTCGTGTAGATGTTGGCCTGCATGATCTTGGCGGCCGCCGGCGAGGAGCTGGCCGGGATGAAGCGCTTGAACTGGAGCGAGTCCCCGCCGGGGTGCTCCAGCTGGCCGCCGCCCTGGTTCTTGTAGTGCAGGTTCGTGTTGTTCACCTTGCTGCCGCCGGCGAGGAGCGTCATGGCGTTGTGGTGGCGGCTGTACAGCTGCTCGGAGCTGGCGTCGCTGAGGCTGCTGTGCCCGCCGTGGAGCTGCATCTGCATCTGCATCTGGAGCTGCATCTGGGGCAGGGTCTGGCGCTGCAGCTCGAAGTTGTTCCGCTTGGCCAGGCGCTTCTGCTTCTTGAAGAACTTCCGGGCCACGTTGATCTGGTTGGGATTGTAGAAGATCTCCGCCGAGGGTATCAGGTCGTGGCTGGAGCCATGGAGCAGGGCGTTCAGGCTGTGCGGCGGCACCCCGCCCGATCCCGACACTCCGCCCGCGTTGCTGGTGTTGTTGATGATGGTGGTCACCCCACTGGCCCCCAGCTGGGGCGCCTGCTCCTGCTGGCTCCGCGACTGCTGGCTCCGGGTCTGGCTCCGCATGCTCCGCGAGCACTGGCTGTTGGACCGCGACCCGGCCGAGTTGTTCGCCTCGTAGAGACTGCCCCCGCCGGGATTCCCGCCCGCCTTGTACGCCACTATGGAGTTGCTGATCATGGCCGTGCCGGCGGCGGTGGGGATGCCCCCCGAGCCGGCTCCCGCCATTCCGCCGGGCAGGCAGCTGCGCGTCTGGTTGTTGTAGGTCACCAGCTTGGCGGGGCGGCCGCGCATCAGGGCCGAGTCGCCGCCCTGCGTCCACGCCTGCCGCGCGTCGTTCCGGCTCAGGTTGTAGAAGACGAGGAGGAAGAGGCCCAGGCAGCCGGAGCAGCCGGCGAAGCCCATCACGTACAGATCCTGGCCGGAGTGGACGTACCCGGCGGCGGTCAGCCAGGCGCCGGCGTACAGGACCAGGAAGATGAAGTGGCCCCGCAGGTGGGAGAGGTTGGAGCGCTCGAAGTCGTCCACGATGCTGCTGAGGGGGTTGCTCAGGGTGCTGTACTGCTCCTGGAGGTGGTCCTGCTCCTGCTTGCGCCCCTGCGCCCCGCCCACCGCCGAGCCGTTCGCGTCCAGCCAGTCCAGGTCGATGTGCTCCGTGGCCTGGGTGTTGTTGTCCGAGTACTGGTTGCGGTGCTGGTTGGGCCCGGTCTGGCCGTGCAGCTGGAGGACGTTCACCGCCTGCTGGCTCAGCTGGTAGTAGATGCACAGGGCCAGGATGCCGCAGAATATGACCAGGATCCCCGCCGGCACCAGCAGGGCGTTCAGCGTGGTGGAGCTGTGCAGGAAGCAGAAGTCGTAGGCCGCGTACTCGGCCAGGTTCACGGCGCTGCTGATTCCGCAGATGAGCAGCGCGATGCCCCAGCCCACCAGGTAGATGCCCAGGATGGGCTTACGCTCCCGGCCGCCCGAGTCCGCCAGCTCCTGCGGATGCTGCTGCTGTCCATGGCCGGCGGAGGAGGAGGAGGTGGTGCCCTTGGTCAGGCGCTTGTACATGCTGCTGAGGCTGACGCACACCCACAGGAGGACGCACAGGCCGAGGTAGTGCATCAGCAGGCCCATCACCCGGCACTGCGGCTGGCTGGCCGTCTGGTAGATGCCCAGGGAGAAGGCCAGCGCCAGACCGCCCAGCGCCAGCCAGGTGTTCACCAGGGCGTGCCGCTGGACGCGGTTGATCCTCACCGCCCGCCCGAACACCGCAAAGGTGACGCAGTTGAAGGCGCAGCAGGCGAAGAGCAGGCCGCAGCCGGCGTAGACGGCGGTGGGCGGGTGCCGGAACCGGGCGCCCGCCTCCTCGCTCCGGAAGTCGTTCAGATACCGGGTCCGCTGCAGCAGGCCAAAGTACCCCGTCCGGGTGCAGCTGAACATGACCAGGGTGCGGTGCTGGTAGTGCTGCTGGCACACGCGCGTCTCCCAGCGCTGCTCCTGGGCGTCCCACCACGCCGGCTGCGGGGCACTGAGCGCGTCGTGGTAGGGATGGGCGCGCAGCATCACCGTCACCCGCTGCTGGTAGACATCCTCCTCGGGATCCAGGTCACTGTCGGTCTGGAAGTGCTGCTGCTCCCCCTCGCCGTTGTAGGCCAGCACCCCGATGACGGCCGAGCTGAGGGACTCGTTCCACTCCTGGCCCTTCAGGTTGGGCAGCAGCTTGCCGTTCCGGTGCAGGGAGATCATCAGCCGGAGGCTGCGGGGACTGCCCGATCCCCCGGCGGTGGTGGAGCTGTTGCCGAGCACGCTGTAGGGCAGCTGGACGGCGGCGTCGATGTCGCCGTGCTCGTACATGGGGATCGTGTCGTTGGCATTGTTGCACTGGAAGCCCCGCGGGCTCTCCTCCAGCCAGACGCACGACAGGCTGACGAACGCCTCCAGGCTGATGTTGAAGAACTCCACGAAGAGGTTCCGCTGTTGGGCGGGCGAGGCCCGCCACGGCAGCATCTCCAGGCCCTGGCCACTCGCCTGGGTGCTGGCCAGGGCCAGGCGCATGGCCGACGACTCCACCACGTGCAGCAGTCGCTGGCCCGTGCCCTGATCCTTCTGGGCGGCGCGGAACAGGTGCACTGGTAGATTCAGCAGCTGGGACACAATGTCCATGAGCAGGTGGCTGATCTCCTGCTGCTGCTGCTGCGCCTGCTCCGGCAGCTGGTCCAGGTACTTGACCAGCGTCCGGGCTATGTACTCCAGGTCCATGGGGTCCCGGATCCGGTTCAGCTGCGTCTGGGCCTGGGTGAAGTTGTGCAGCCGCCGGGCTATTTCCAGCGCGTTCTGGCCCTTGGTCAGCGTCAGGTTGACCTTCGCGAACTGCTCCAGAATCCTGGTCGTCTCGCTGACGTAGACACAGCTCTCCGTGTCGAGATTCAGCCACTCGCCGGAGGGGCCGCACTCGTGGGAGGCGCGCCGCGATTGGCTGGCATCGCTGGGCTCCTCGACACAGTCCTGGACCACCGTCTCGCCGCGCATCGTCCTCGGCCAGTGGTAGACACCCTTGTTGGTCTGCACCACCTTGGCGTCGCAGTAGAGCGTCCCCTTGGCCACCACATGGATGACGATGGCCTGCGAGAGATTAGCCTGCTGGCTGCGCAGCGTGCAGTCCCACATCCCGGTGTGATTCTGGGTCAGGCTGCTTATCTTGAGGATCGACTGGAGGATGCCCGAGTCCGTGGAGTGCCGCGTCTCCAGGGACACATCCCCGAAGACCTTCGTGGGGTCCTTGTACACGATGTCCTCGGTGGAGTTCTTGCCGCGAATCTTCTCCGACCAGCCCCAGAAGACGAAGGCCCGCGTCGGCAGATCCTCGCTCTCCCTGGGCACGCCGATGGCCACCCGGGGCGCGTGGCACTTCAGCTGCAGTTCGTCGCCCTCGAAGGCCACCTGGTTCTGGCTGGGCATCAGCTTGAGGATCGGTTGCAGCAGCGTCTCGCAGTGGAAATCGATGCCCACCCGCAGCTTCTTCAGCGGCATGCCGCGAAAGTGGACGGGCGAGTCGCACTTGGGAGGCGGCTGGAGGCGCACGTCGCGGGCACTGGACCAGGCTATCAGCCAGATGAGGCCGCAGTCGCAGGCCAGTGGATTCCCCGACAGATCCCTGCAGGAAGAATAAAGAAGCCCTTTAAATGGATTCCCTGAAAGTCATTCCCACTTACAGTTGCTTCAGTTTGGGCATTTGGTCGAAGGTGCCCTCGTAGATGTGACTGATGGCGTTCCCCGCCAGCTTCAGCTTCTCCACATGCCCCAGGCTGTCCCCGAAGGTGTCCTTGTCCAGTTCCGTCAGTTGATTAAAGGAGAGATCCAGTCGCTTCAGCTCCGTAAAGTTGCGAAAGTCATCCGAGGTTATCAGGGATATGGCATTCTTGCTGACATTTCTGGGGATTTCGAGAGAATATTAAATAGAGCCGCCTCTGCTGCTCCCACTGGGGGCGCCACTTACATGCTGACTATTCCATGGACGTCCTCGCCAAAGTCCAGCTCCCGCCAGGTGGCCAGCTGCTGCTCATCGCAGCGCACTCGCAGGCTGTGAATGTTCTCCGATATATTCCGGCAGGTGCACTTTCGGGGACACGCCACGCCCTCGGCTCCGTCGGTCCAGTGGACGCCCGCCAGGAGGAGCATTAGCAGCGAGAGCCCCGAAAGGAACACCGCCCTGGCGGTGGAGAAGGTGGGGGGGGATGAGGACGCCCGCAGTGGTGGGGGACGGGTGCTACATCGGAGCACCCGATTCGCATTCGTTTCGCCGGCCATTCAATAGGGTTACCGCTGTGTTTACATCCCAGGTGCGGGGAGCGCACATTTAATTAACAATTTTTCGTTGCAATCATCGTAAATTAGGAATAACAACAAAACGGCAAAACACTTTTTACAAAAAAAAATAAAAACGCAGCCAGTGTTGCCAGAACGACAGAATGGTTCTAATTTTCCAGAACTAGTGATGGCCGGCAAGCGATGGGCTTTAAAGCGTTGTTAGTGTTGGGAATTACTGTAAGTTATCGATAACAAGGCGGTTGATTTTAAATCTACAATTAATTAAATTCCAATTTAAAGCCAAATGAAGAGTAATTACGTTTTAATGTTTATTTTATTTTGTGCCAATTAAGTAAAATAATATAGATTTTGTGACAAATACTTAAATATACTTTTTTTTTTACCAAAAAATGGTTAATATTTTACAATTAGTTTATTTTTTTTTTTTAGAAAACTGGAGTCCGGGTTCATGACCCCGTCCGCCGCACAACCAACAACCTGATTATGCAAAAATAAGAATTGTAGAACCTTTCTCACATACACACATACAAATTATTGAGATTTCGAAAAACAGGTTTCACTTTAGAACTTAGGAGCTATTTACTTTCAACTTCTTCCCACTGGATTATTATTTTTTTTGGAAAAAAAAAGTTACGCCAGCTTGCCGTTGTGAGCCGCCCGGTACTTGGCCAACTTGTCCATGTACTCCTCGTGCCGCTCGAGCGTCGCCAGCAGACCCTCCGTGTTCACCGGCGACTCATCCGGTCCGTAGTGGATGAGTTGGTCGTTCAGGGTCGTCATTGTGCCGCCGAGGGCGTGCAGGATGGCGTCCCCGGCGCAGATGTCCCACTTCTTGATCTTGGAGGTGTGCAGGTAGGCGGTGGCGTTGTTGGCCACCACCTGGAGCACCTTGTACCCGGCACCGGCCGCCGTCAGCAGGCCGACGTCCTCGCCGAAGATGCCACGCGCCAGATCCTTGGCCCCGGCCGTGTGGGAGCGGGAAACGGTGATGATGGGCGACAGATCACCGGACTTTTGCGAGTGCTGGGGATGCAGATTGGCCAGGTACTCGGACATGGAGTTGCCCACCCAGGCCCAGGCTGTCTGGCCGTTGAAGGGACTGTGAATCACCCCGATGATGGGCCGCCCGGCCACTGCCACACACACCATGGTGGTGACGTACTCGTACAGCTCCTCGGTGTACTCCTTGGTGGCGTCCAGCGGATCCACCCAGACCGTGACATCCGGAGCATTGACCTCAACGTCGGGCACCTGGGCCGTCTCGTGCAGCACCGTGGGATCGAGATCGAAGCTGTGCGCCTGGCGGCAGTGCTCCTTGTCCTCCTCGGAAAAGATTTGGACCCGAGGGAATATCCTTTGGAGGCCCTGCTTCATGACGCAGTGGGAACGGCCGTCGGCGTCCGTGAACGGATCATTGACGCCCTCGTCCGTCTTGCCCTTGCTGCGCTCCTTCAGCTGGCGGGAATGGGCCACGTCGAGGACCTCGAGACCGCCGCGCTGAGCGGCCTGGATGGCGGCGATTAGCATCTTGCGGAGGTTCACCTTGTTGGGATTGTCGCTGCGCAGCATGCCGTAAATGGCCGGCCGCTCCTCCTGATGGAAGTTGAGGAAGTAGACGAGCAAAACGGTCACCAGAATGGCCGCAATGGTGGCCGGCAGCCGGTTGATGCGTATGGATCGTCCGTTCATTTTATCGGTTGGCATGGAAGCAATGCGGCAGGTGAGTGCAAGGAGATCGTTCTAGCGACGTTGTCAGTTTGCCAGATCAGCACACGAAACTACAAAAGACGGCGGCGGCGGCGGCGGTGGCTGCCAGATGCTGCTCTATCATCAGCAGCGTTCGTGGGTGAAATGGGCGCGCACTTTGTGTCGCGGGGCTGGGGGCAGGGGTTTCTCTCTCCGTCTCCGTCGCTTCCACGTCGCGCGTTTTTTCCCCAACAGCGCGCAATCAAAACAAAAGGCCCCCAAAGACAAAAGGTGTTTGCGGATAAACAAACCAAACAGCTGTTCGAGGTGGACTATCGGGTTTTCCAACACTGAAAAGGTGTTTGCTCTGGCAATGCTACCCACAACAAAAGTGGTTTTATTTTAAATAATATATTAATTTTATCTCTTTTTTCAATCATTTAAGAGCGAAATTAATTAAATAAAATCAATAATTAGCTTTAATATAAAACTTGCAAATATTTATCGATTATTTTGTTCGATAAAAATGTGACCAGCTGCTTGAGAATCGCTTTCGTTTTTCTTCCGCCCAACAACGGTCAGACTGTGTTGGAGCTCGTTGTTGGAATTCGGATAATAAATTTTGTATATTTTTGCGTCGCCGCGGGAAAACTTCGGAAAAAAGCCCCCCCGACAAAAAATCCAAAAAAATATCAATTTTCTTGTGTTTTTTTTTTCTGTTCTTTTATGCTGCTGATTTTTTTTTGGTTACGGTTCGCAAACAGTTCGCAATGCAAATCCACTAAAAATTTAAATTAAAAAAAAAAAAAATCACACAAAAAAAAGTGCGTGCGCGTGCAGAAAAAAAAAAGAGAGAGTAGATTGTATTGTGGGCGAATCAACAAGAAAAAGAGAATGAATGATGATGAGGAAAATAGTAGGCAAAAGCAGAGGCAGTTGTAGTTGTCGTTGTGGTAGTACCAAAAATAAAGAAACTGCGAAAACTGCTTGTGAAGTGACAACAAAAACAGCAACAACAACAAAATAACAACAACAACATAATAATTTCAAAAAGGTAACAAGCTAAAAAAAAAAAAAAAAGTAATTAAAGCAAAAGAGCGCAAAAAAATACGTACGCAGCAGCAGTACCAAAAAATAAAAACAACAACAATAAAAATTAACTTAAAAAAAAGTCGTGAATTCGTCGTATATACATAGATACACACACACATACACATACACCCCAACCCAACACACATACCAGCATACACGTGTGTGCTCCGCGCTCGTCTAGTGGAGAGAGAGAGAGGAAGAGAGAGAGCAAGTTTTCGTCGTCGTCGTTTTTTTTTTTTTTTTATATTTTTGCTGTGTTTGCCTTGCCTGCCCCCACTGTGCGTTATTTATTTTAATTTTTTTCGTTAATCATTTTTCGCATTTTGTGGAACAAGTTGGAAAAACCCAAAAAATAAATATATATATCTACATATATAATAAAAACAACAACAATAATAGAAACAAAAGCCGCAGCAGCCAGCCGCCAGCAAGCAGTTTGCACCAAATTCTTGAAAAAAGAGGTACGTTTTTAATAATGTTTGTTTGTTTGTTTGTTTTTCCGCTTTCTTGCCATTCCGCCATTGCCTTCCCTTCCGCCATTCTCTTATAAGAACCCCTCTCCCAACTGAATAATTCTTATTAGATCAGCCAACGGCCCCAGCAGCACCACCAGCAGCCCCTCTTCTTCCATCTTTTTTTTTTTTTCGTCTGTTTTGCTTCTGCTGTTGCTTCTCACTCAATTCGCCGTTATTTATGTAACAAGTGTGTGCGTGCTCTCTCTCTCTCTCTTGATTCTTTTTTTTAACTTTTTTTTTTTGAAAAGAAAATTAAAAGAATAATAATAAAAGCTTAAGCTCTACCGCAAGGCGCATTGAACTGGTTTATGTTGTGCTCGCTTCTTCTAGCTTCTCTTTTGCTATTCTTCTTCACATCATTCTGCTCCTCCTCTTCCTCTCCCTCTCTCTCTCTCTCTCTTGGTTGGTTATCAACATTGACAATGAGAGAGCAGAACAGAAGATCTTCGAGCCGAGCTTCTCATTCTTGGATTCTGCTTCTGCTTCTTCTTCTTCTTCTTATTCATCATCATCAGGTCTTGTCTCCATAACGGAGTTTTTACTGCATGAAAGAGACAGCTATATATATATAGGGAGCACAGTAGTCCCCCCACAAAAATGACACTTGTTGATCTCCCGAGAGTGGTGGGTTTTTTTATTTTTCTGTTTCTGTTGTTTTCTTTTACATTTCTTTGAACTGAGACTTATCATTATTTTGTTTTGAAATTATTTTCCAACAAAGTTCCGTAGGGGAAAGCACGCGGATGAAGCTCACAATACAAGCCACTGATGACTATAATTAATATGACTCGGGGCCACGATATTGTACATACATATGTATATATAGGGAGTATATACTCTGTTTATAGGGCGGTTTCCATCCGCCCTACTTGTTTAATTTTGTTCTATAAAAAATGGTAATTAAAGTTGCTGTTTTTTTGAAGGAATAACCTTTTAATAATAACATATTATTTATTTTTAAAATTATACCAAAAAAAAGGGAACATCTAAGGATTCTTAGGATGAGTTTCTTCAAAAGTAGGCTTTTTTGGAGGTTTCGGGAAGAACTGACTGAAAACTAGTCCTATGATTTTGCTTAAAATTTTATATAATATTTTAGAACTCCTCTAAATCAACATCAAAGCTTTATTTTTAACAGGTTAATTATTTTTTAGCTTTTTTTTTTAACTAAAAACTATTAGAAATGTACTATTTTTTATAAAAAAGATGGCTATTTTAGGCTTTTCTAGTTTTTCTTTAATATTTTGTTCTCTATTATATATCCAGTATAATCTGGAAGTGTTTCTTATGCATCTTTACTGCCTTTCCAGTGTGACCTTGTTTCTATTTAATTCATAAAAGGTGTGACCTTCTTTATTTTATTTTATTTATTTTTTGTATTAAATTCTTCTTTAAATCATTACCTTCTATACTATTATAATATTTTATTATTTTTTTTGAAAGCCCTTCCAAAAGAATCGCCAGTGTGACCTTGCTATAGCCCCTATATGGTTTTCTATACCCTACCCTAGCCGTTTACTGTAAATTGTATTAATTGCTTTGAATTATTCATGGATATGGCCGATCGGGTCTTTAATTGATTGAAACTGATTTAACGGTAATCTATTCACAATGCAATTCTCCGTCATCCCTCTCCATTCATGCCGCCCTCTCTGTTGCTCTCAATGGAATTCGATTCCAAGTTCTGAGCTCTGGTCACTCTATTGTTCTATTTGTTGGTGTAATTAGTGAACGGAAATTGTATTGTGCGTCACATTGCAGTGTTCACAGTGGTGTGTGTGTGTGTGTGAAGGTCAATGGGGCAACTCGTTATCGTACACGCCTCCTCAAAAAAAAAAAGGCGCAAAAGGAAATTTAAATATAAAATAAAAATAATTATTTAAATTAATGATTTCCCATCCACCGACCAAGTCTCGTTTTTTGTAAACAAAACTCAGAAAAAAGAAACAAACAACCGCCAGAGTATATACAACATTATCGAAATTCCATTCCAAAAAATTACAAAAATTTTCCAAAAAAAAAAATTCTAAACCTTATCTGTTGTTTTTTTTTTTTGAATGAAATTTATGTTTTTTTTTTTGCTTAAAAATATGAGTAATTTTATTTTGAGGGGGGGAACCCATGAGTCAGATTTTATTAAAAAAAAATTAAATACAAAAACATCAAAAATAATTAAGAAAATAACCTTGATTCGATTGATTTTTGGAATATTGTGTTTTAATTTGTGTTTTTTTCTGATTTGTTGCAGGTTCCGGGTTCCGGGTTCCGCCCTCCCCTCCAATTCCATATGCAAAATGTCTAGTCCAGACGATAGAATACACGGTAAGTGAAGGGAACGAAGAAGGAACGCCCTTCCATCTCTCTCACTCCTCTGTCATCCTCCTTCTCCTCCTCCTCCTTCTTCTTCATCTCCACCACCCACCTCCATGTCCACCCATGTTTTTGTTGTTGTTGTTGGAGAGTTATTATATTCCACTTTCCTTGGGATGTCTCTTGTATGTAACTCGCATATGGCATTAACAACTTTTTCGAATATATAACTCAAAAAAAAAACATCGGTATATAGAGCCAACAAAAGCTTACACAGCACGTGCTTCTACATATATACTCGATATATATCGAGTGTGTGTGTGTGTGTGTGTGGTGGCTTCCAAAAATAACTGTAATAAGCACATATACACAGAAAGGCAACCAGAACTACGCTGTCGATGATGTTGCACAGTGGTGCGGAGTTGCGAGAAAAGGGAACGAAAAAAAAGCCAGGCTTAGCGAAAAAATAATTGGGAATTATAACAAAAAAAGTAAATGAAAATATATTAATCAAGACAAGATATATCCTTATTATATGAGATATATCATACTGTGTAGAATAATACTTAAATAAATTAAATATGGCTTAAATAAAAATAATCAGAGAATTCTTAGCAAAAACAAAAGGAAATTAGTTTTTTTAATCCATATATTCGTATTTAAGTAGTAGTACTTAATAGTACTGTATATATAGAAGAAGATATATAGAAGAAGCTCTTAGAAGCTTAGAAGCACACTTTTTATGGAATGTTTGTTAGAAAAAGTAAAATATATTAAAATGCCTATAAATACGGTTTAAAAAAAGAAAATTATGATTTAGAAGCAAAAAAATAGTGAGAATAAGTACTAATCTAGCTTTTTAGCAATATATTTTCATTCAGAATGGTTATAGCATGATACAATTATATAATAATAATAATTATAATTAATTAATATATAATTATAATTATATATAATTGTATCATGGGTTATAGCATGCTTTTTTTATAAACTACATAAGAAAATTATATGAAAAGGCCTGTATGTAGAGAATAAAAGGCTTAGAAAATTAAAAGTTGCAATTTATAGGAAATATAGTAAAAAATATAGCGATAAGATAAAGAAACGTGGTTTCAAACATTCCTATTAGGCTTAATTTTTCTTAAAAAAGAAAATACTGTTTGAATACTGCAACTTGAGAATTATATTGAGAATAAAATAAAGAAATATGTCTTTTTTGGAAAGATTTCGAGAATAAAATAAAGGATGGAAAAGACTTGTAGACTTGTATTATTCTTCATAATACTACTAGCTATAAAATTCGAATTATTTTGCTTTAGAATATACTCTATAATTCAATAATATTAATACTCTATCAAAAAACTTAGCTAATTTTAAGGAACTTATACAAAAGTCCTCTAGAAAATGTCTAAGAAAAGAAAACTGCGTTTCAGAAAAAAGAAACTTGAGAATTACAAGCCAAAAAGAGAGTAAGATTAGGAATCCAAGTCTGTTTGGAGTTCATAGTCGCAGACCCACTACTCTATTGATTTAATCCATTAATTCATGTCAGTGGAAAAGCAAATATTTAACCATCTTAGAAAGAAGCTATAGTTTCTGGAAATATTTCAACAAAAACCAGAACAAAAGATACTCTCCAACTCTACATAAATTTCCATTGTTTTTAGGTTTTTTTTTTCTGGCAGATGGTATTTTATTTTTTTTTTATTTCTTGAATTTTTCCACTTTTTCCACCCATACACCCTTTGCTTAGGTTTTTTTTCGCCTCAGTCGCAGCTGTCAATCAAATCCATTAAATATTGACACAGCTTGGACCACTGTGCGTTTGTTGCTCCTGTTTCGGGGGCGTGGCGGAGGCGGGTGCGGGTGCGGCGGTACAGTGGGACAACCACTGCCTACACTAGCCTTCGGGTCCTCGTCCCAGCTGGGTCAAAATAACACCAGCAACAACAACAACATAAAGTATATTGTCCATGGTCGGGTCGGGTGGGGTCTGGGGTCTGGGTTCTCTTTCCCATGGCTAACAGAGAGGGGGTGGGGAGTGGGCGCTGAAACGAGGGCGGCTGGGCTTGGGCTTTCTTGGCTAGGGACCAGTGATGCTCGAGAGACTATAGCTGGTCTTTCTTTACTTATGAATTCTAAATTTTTAGTTGCTTAAATATATATATTTTTAATTTTTAAAAAGTCTTTAATATAATTTTGGATAAATTTAAAAAAATAGAATCCTACTATGGATAGAAATCAGTCTTATTTCTATCATAATTGCTTTTAAAAGCCTTTTAAGACTAATTTTATCATAAATATATCGATATTTATCGATTTGGGTAACTTTTCAATGTTTTTTTTATAAAATAATCTATTAATAATTTATAAATTAATGATAATTACAAAATTTTAAAGATTAAAAATTAATTCTTTGATAGTTTGGATACAAATAATACATATTTATAGCTTTAAAAGTCGAATCTATCGAAAATACATCGTTTTTTATGGATTTGGATTACTAATTCATGCTTTTTTATACATTTTTTTAAAAAATAATTTGTAATTTAGTGATAATTATAACTACTATAGAGTAGAATTCTATTACCTAATCGTTGATAATTATAAACAAAAGCATTCAAAGTCTAATTTATCGAAAATATATCGCTTTTTTAATGATTTAACAAAATTTTTAATGCTTTTTATGCATTTTTTAATAATAATTTATAGTTTAAAGCTTTTTATGACTTCCAAAAGATAGAAATCTATTTCCCCATCATTGGAAACTATTATTAAAAGCTATCAATAGTAAATTTATCGATAATATATCGTTTTTAATGGATTTTAAGTAACTATTTAAGGTTTTTAATGAATTTCTTTTAGTTTTGAATAAAATTAAGACAAAATAAGCTGTTACAGGTTAGAACTCCATTCTTTATCGACCATTAAACACTATTGAAAGCTCTTGATGTCAAAATTATCGAAAATTTATCGATATTCTTTGATTTTTTAGAAGCATTTAATGATATTTCTATAATTATTTCAGTTATTTATAAGTAACAGACCAAAACTGGAAGATATAATATAAAAATAATAGTTATCGAAAGCTCTCATGGCAAATTTATCGAAAATATATCGATATATCGAACCATAATTAAAAAATATAGCCATATTATAGCCAAAATTCGGCTAAAAACGGCTAAAAGGCCAACACTGGCTGGGCTCTTCGGGCCATTTGCGGCGACCACTGTCAATGCCAAAAGCACGTGGAAAAGGGACCCGGATGGGCGGCTGGATGGGCGGTGGGTGGGAGACTACGGAGGTGAGAGAGATGCCCTGGAGCCCCGTAATCTTCGCTTCGTGCTCAGCTCCTCTCTCCACCCCATCTCTCTCTCTCTGTCTCTCTTTCACGCCGTTAGCTGTCGTCCCTGTCGCTCTCTTGGCTCTCTCTCTGGTGTGTGTCTGTTTGTTTGCAACCGAAAAGAAAAACATTCGTTTATCGATTTTCGTCTATTTTTAGACACAAAAAGCAACAACAACAACAAATGAGTGCTGTTGTGTATATGTGAGCTCACTCTCTGTATGTGTGAGTATGTAACAGCCGGACCCGGAGACCCCAAGACCCCAAGACCCGGAGACCCCGATACCCGGGCCACATCTTTCCATTCACTTTGCTTCCTCTTGGCTTTTATTTTGTTAACCGTTATACGGTCTATTGCAAGGGTATGTTGAGCAGTGTTGGAAAATGCCTGATGTCCGTGTGTCCGCGTGTCCGCTTAGGTCTATAAATCCTTATATCTCAGAGACCCTAAGAGATAGAGCTTTGAAATTTTGTACAAAAATTCTACTAATATTTATCTAAATTATATTTCAATTATAGTACTAGGTATCATATAGTCGCTACTCTATTGTGTTTATTTGTTGGGCACGTGCAAATGGTGTCCGGGGATTTGGGGGACAATGGCGCTATGGCCCGGATTCCTACGCCGGACAATGGCCCAGGGCCTCGCTCTAATTGCCGGGGAGAGTCCTTGGGAGCACCACCCCCACCACCCACCAACTGCCACCACCTGCCGATATATCCATTACATTACTTCATTAAAATCAGGTCTTTCTTGAATGATAATGAGGTTCTATCGAGGTTTTAATTGATTTTTGGAGGTAAATCTGGTTTTTTGGGTATAGTTTTTTAATTTTATTAAATAATTATATATCTTGACTATTTATTTTATTTTATTTTCATCTAAAAATGCTTTGTTTTAAGAAATTTTAATAAAAGTTTGCCTTTAAAAAACAGGTTTCTAATATTTAAGGGAATAAATGGGTATATTTAAGGAATGGGAACCTTTAAGGCAGTTTTAGGAGCTTGGTGGCATTATTTTTAGATTTTTTTAAGTAAATAGTCACTCATTTTAATTAAAACTCAATTAAAAACACCTTTAAAAAATAAACTAATAGTTCCTTAACACTTTAGTCCCCCTATTTGGCCAATTACAAGGCTTAAAGTTGGCCATTTCAACTTTTCCAACTAAAAGTTTAGAAAAAAAAGTCATTAAATAAAAACCCCAACCACCCACCTGCCTACCAGCACCACCCCACCCCCCCTACCCTACCTTTTTAGAGACTTTTATTAAAAAATAATGAATTTAAAGTTGATTTTCTGAGAGAAATACCTTTTCTTTTAATTTTATTAAATTTAAGTATTAATTTTAGAAGCTAAACCACCTCTTTTTTTTATTTAAAAAACATAATATTTTAACTTTTGAAACAAAATAGCGCCCTGTGGGCCAGAAACCGAGTCTCTGAAACGCAATAAGTGAATAGTGTTTAGTTTTGTTTTTGTATTTTCCACCTGCAAGAAGGTCGAATTCCCCCCAATCCCCAATATATATTCTATAGCCTCTTATATAAGCCCCCCTGCCCCCCTCTGTTACTCCGCCTAGGGACGTAATGGCTTACATTCCAAGAATAAAACCCGACTTGGCCTCAGACACTGTTATATAAAATTCTAGGGCTTATGTATATATATGGCTTATGTACTATTGTACTCTGTAACCTCCCGACCCCCCCTATTTGGTGGGGTGTGGGGCCTGGTAATAATATCGAAAGCCCCAACACTGCCACTGCGTTTATTTTATTTTCATTTCAGTTACAGTCCCCCCTCCCTGAAATTTCCCTTCATTTGGGGATTTTTCGGGGTCGGGAAATTCGATGAGTCATTCTCCAAAATTAGAAGCCCAGAAGGATCTGAGGGGGGGACGGAGAGGGTAATGGGCCTAGGCCCCCCTAGTCATCGATATTATTAGTGGGGCTTGTGGGGTTAGGGGAGGTCGTAGTAGGACTTGTTGCAAGAAATTAATGGTTTTTTATTTAAAAAAATATAGAGATATTATATAGAAGGAAAATATATCAGATTTGGAAAGATATATAGCTATATATAAGAGTTATAGATGGATAATCATGTTTTAAGTGAGGTAACCCTCTAAAAAAAATTAAAAAAAATATTTATAGACATTTTTGTAAAAATATTTTAATATTAAAAAATATTTTTTAGTGGAGAATTCATCTAGAAAGTTTTTAAGGCTTTCTTCTTGAGAATCTGATAAGAATCGGCTGAGATATAGCTACAGTTAGTGGTGATATATAAGGGATTATGTTTTTAGGAAGCAAGTTCCTCAAAAAATATTTAAAAAATATTTGTGAACATTTTTTTAATCAGATTTTTATAGAATTTCACGAGGAACTCTTCTGGAAATCTTTTAAGATAATCCTCTAGAGAATCGGTTAGGAATTGGCTGAGATATAGCTAAGGATCTGAGGGTTATATAAAAATCAAGATGGAACAAGAGGGTTCTAGACCCTAAAATTAAAAAAAAATATTGAAAAAGTATTTTAATTTAGAATTTATAATGCAGTTTAGTGGAGAATTCCTCTAAGAATATTATAAGATATTTTTTTGTAGGAATGGAATAAGAATTAGCAGAGATATAGGAGATATAGCTATATGAGTACCATAGTTAAGGGTTCCAATACCGAAAAAATTAAAAGAAATTATTAAAAAAATATATATTTTCAAAACTATGATACAAAATTACAGGGAAACATTCTTAAAAATATTTTAAGATATTTCCTTAAATAATCTGTTAAAAATAAACAAAGTTATAGTTACCTTTATGGAACTTATATAGAAAACCCCGACTTTTCTTACAAAAAAACCTTTAAAAAACCTTAAAAAACCTTAAAAATACCTTTAAAATAAAGCTTAAAATATTAAAAAATCCACAAATATTAGTTAGATCGTACCTCCCTCAAAGCGAGTGCCCACTGTAGTTGATATTTTGGTGGCAGTTCCTTGGCTTTCCATTTCCATTCCTCAAGGTAGGCCCTCAAAAGGTGGGTGGGTGGTTGGGTGGTAGCCTAGAACTTCAGTAAGAGTGGGCGTGGTCCTTCGCCTCCTACATTCTGATAATAAAAGAAGAAGAAAACAACGGAAACAAAAACAAAAAGAAACAAAAAAAAAAAAACGGCCTAAAAGTTTAGCCGTTGTTGGGTCTATTTTTAGAATACGCGCGCTGGAAATTTACCCACACAATACCAACACACTTCAGCAAACACACACACACTTACACACACACTCACAAAAAAAAAAAAACACGTTGGAACGCGCTACTGCTATCACTCAAAACAAACTTATTGAGGAAGGATGGAAAGAGAGGACAGCTGAAAGGTTCTGTGGGTGGGTGGGTGTCTGGCTGGTGGAAGGTTGAAGGTCCCCCCTCTCTCACTCGCGCGCTCTCTTACTCTCCCCCTGCCAGTCTCTCTCTCTCTTCTATCTTCGTTGTTGTCGTATCAATTTCCAATTGAATTTCAGTTTCAATTTCAATGACAGCGTGCCTCCCCCCTCCCCCCCCCCCCCCCATCCTCATCAAATTTTAGAACGTTTTCGTTTTTCTTTTAATTTTTATTCCTTACATATATACACCCACCCACCCACATACATATGTATACACGTGCTTTGGCATTGTTTTTGTTGTGCCTGGGGTTTCTATGTCAACAGTGGAATTGACCTTGAAGTTGAAAAAAGCCAGCCGGTGGTGGGGGAGAGTTGTGTGCGCCAGACAGGGATGGCAAATTGCTACGCATTTACTTTCATTTGGAGACTTTCATGCAAAACAACAACAAAAAGAGTAAAATCAGCTGACTCCCCTCTCTTTGCTCTCATATGGTTTTTGCACCTGCAGTTATAATGCAGGCCACAAAGAGATTAAAAGAGAGCGAGAGCAAGAGCACGATCGAGATGGAACTATCCGCTCTCTCAAGAGTTAAATTTTAAAGATGCACTTGCAAAAAATTAAGATAATCTTTAAATAATTATATTTATTTTTTTTTTAATTAAATGTTTAAATTGTTTCTCGTTTTTCTTTCTGTGTTTTTGTTTTGTGCATGCCACCACTTCTAAATATACGGCCCAAAGCCATGCACGATTTATAAATGCGTCTAAAAATAGAGTGGCAAGCGAAATGCGGCAGGCAGTGCGGCAAGCAGCGCAGCAGGTCATGGCCTATTCAGTTAGAAGTGCACACACAAAAAAAAATAGCAGTATATACTAGATAATACCAGGGTTCTTAAAAAAAAATATATATGTATAACTATTATAATTAAATTATTTTGTTTTGATTATTTCGATTTTTAATCGATATTATTATTTTTTTTTTTGTTATTATTATTTTGCCATCCCTAGTCTGCGCTTTGCTCCTTGTTCTATTTTTAACCTGCCACATAGCCCAATATTCAATTGGAATCAATTTCTAGACCAGAAACACGACTTTTCTGATTAGATCAGCGAGGTTGCAAAGAGAGCGTGAGAGAGAGAGCGGGCGAGAAGAGAGCCAGAAGCGCGAGAGCCAGGGAGAGAGCGAGTGGAAGAGAGGACGGACAGAAACAGCAGACGACATCATTGCTAATTGGACTTTTTGGTTAGTCATATCATAATTTTTTTGCTCTGCATATGGCTTGGCGCGCAATTAGTCCAGAGGAGAAATCAAAAATAAATAGAAAAGTCTCGCTCCTTGCTCTCCTCGCGACTAACAATTTATCAATGAAAATATATATTGTTTTTCCCCCAACCGATTTTTAACCTCTGCCTTTTCTGCCGCAGTCGCAGTCGACGCAGTCAGCTGGTCAGTTAAGGTGGAATTTTTCATCAATTATTATATATTTTTTTTTATTCAATAGTGCTAATATATAGAAAGAGACAGAGAAAGAGAGAGCAAAATAAAACACGTCACGTGCAACAAAATATAAAAAGAATAAATAACAGTGAAAAGTTTAAAAATAATTATAAATAAAACTAAAATTATAAAAAATATAGAAATAGTAATTTTTCCGAGTGCCGAGCCTATCATCGAGGTCCAACTCGGCGACTAAATACGTTTTAGATTTATTTTTAAATGCGTCTGATAAGCGCCTGCCTTATCTACATAATCAGACCATGGGCGTGAATGAGACAGAGCTCACCATTGGGCCACAACAAGTGCCAGAGGGAGATGGGAAGATGGGGGATTGAAGGAGGTGTGACACACACGCTCTTGACTTCCATTACGCTCTCTCTCTCTCTCCCATCCTCTGGCTTCCAGTTGGAGCTGTGTTCCAGTGTAGCGCACATGTTTATAGATGTGTGTGTGTGTGTGTTTGTGTTTTAATTTCATTTTCAATTTCCATTATTCATTTTCCATTTTCCCCATTTTCCGAAATTTTCCCCCATTTTCCATTTCAATATCAATCTTTTTGTGAAATTCTCTTTGGGTATTTTGGAGTCTCTTCTATAGCCTGTGTCCCTCTGTTTACATTCCCAATTCGCAGATCTGCCATCAGAAGCCGGAAGCAATGAGCGACTGCTGCAGCACATAACAGCGCCGGGCGCCCTGACATTGGACTACAAGCCCCATCCAGCGGTGGATATCGATCAGCAGATCATGGAGGTGAGTTATATACCCCCTATACATACATATATACATATACATATTCAGACATGTGGTATGGGCATTATAGTAGTCCCCCCCACACACCCCACCCCTCGTCTTCATCCAATACCAGATACCAGATTGGGGTCTCGATTTATATTCGTCATCAAAAGGTATTTAGCATTAGTTTCGGCCACTAAGTCTCTCAATACCCTGCGGTTTAATTAATTGTCAAGCATTGTTAGCTACACTGGGAATTATTTTTAGGGGGTTTTAAAATAATATATAATATTTAAGTTGATATTAGAGGTTTAAGAGAGGATCTTATGAAATAGAATATATATTTTTGAATGAATTTTGCATAAAAATACTATAAACTTTTAAAAGAATAAATAATTACATTTGATTTAATAATTTTTAAGCGTTCAATATTTTTTACAAATTTTTTTCTAATAAAAAATAGCACTAAAAAAACGAAATTTTTGAAAGCCCGCCTATTTTCTTTGATAACTAACAGTATTACCCTTGATACCTTTATTTATCGATAACTTTTAATACCTATTTTAGAGAATATTAAAAAAAAAGTCTAAAAAAAAACCTAAAAACAAATAAAATGCCTAATTTTTATTTATAAATAAATAGTTTCTAAAAATATCTACGTTTTTCTGTCCAGATACTTAAGAACACTATCTATATAAGACTGTATTTCTTTATTTATCGATAACTCTTGATATATTTGATAAAAATATCTTGTAAAAAAATAAAAATAAAAAATATAATAAAATTAAAAATAAGCATTTTCGAGCACCAACTGTCTAGTTTATATTTTTAAAGAAAAGTATCCACTTTTTGGTTCAGATTCTTAAGAAAACTACAGATATCGATAGCATTCGATATATTTGACAAATATCTTAAAGAAAATTCAAAAAAATATATATAATTATAATATAATTAATAGTTTGAACTCCATCTGCCTATATTTTATTAGTTTCTTAAAATATCCAAGTTTTGGTCCAGATTCTTAAGAAAACTATCGATAGAAGACAAGATTTCTTTATTTATCGATAACTTTGGATATAACTTTAATGAATATTTAATATAATTCAAGCCTTAATTTTAATTATATATTTCCTGAAAAATTTCGATCTATTTTCGATTTTTTCGATAATCTTTTGAAGCAAAAAAAAAAAAAAGTACCAAAGCTGGAAATAGAATTCCCATAATGGAGCTGCCAGTTCTCCAGCTGGCTGGCCTCTCCTCCTCCTCCTCCTCTTTATTCTCTGCTGGCTTTTTGTTTTATTTTTGTTGAGCTTTTTTTTTTTTTTTCGCTTTCCGCTTTATTTATACTTTATTCGCCTGGCTCTGGTTCTGGCCATGTTCCTCCTATTGGCCATGTGTGTGTGCTCTCGGATGCTACGGCTACTGCGACGGCTGGCTGGCTGCCTGATGGCTGATGCTTTCGGCTCTTCTGGTCGAGAGTCTAAAATTAAACGCGTGTACAACTTAATGATTCTATATTTATTGTTTTCACTACGAAAATATGTATGAGTTTTTGCGCATTTTTTAAATAAAGTCCCACTAAAAATAGCCCGAAACCGAGTCAAGAGAGAGGGACCGTTCTCTGGCCAGAAGAGTTTTTCGAGAGAAAGAGATATCGGGCCATGGTAAAGGATTTACAGTAGTCACATGGTAAGGGGTACAAGATATATAAATAAATTATAGAAAATATAGTGAGAAATTAATCGGTTTTATCGATAGATTGTAGGAATATAATATTATATCAATTTAATCGATATTTTTTTTCAATTGTAGTATTTTTTTTTATCAGTTTCTAAAAGTATTTTTAGAGAGTCTGGAATTATTAGTTTCGGAAAATATATTTTTTTAATTTTAAAAGTCCCTCTATCGATTGCTCACTGTAGCCAGTTCTAAATTTGGTTTGTTGTGCATCTCTAGCTCTCAGTCTCTCTCGCCCCACTCTCTGGCAGTCGCTCGCTCTCTCGGCTCTCAGCATGTGCAGCAGGCCCACCTGCTTGGCCAGCACCCGCCCCCCCCCCGCCGGCCATCCCTGCGCTTGGAGGGAGAACCGCCTTCCTAGTAGTGCTGTCTCTTGCATTCAATTTATAGTCTCGGGGATTTATTTATGCCTCGATTTTTGGCTGCATTTTGCCTTTTTTTTTTTTCCTTTCTTTTGTTTTGTTTTCATTTGAAAACTTTATTTTTAGGGCCCTGTAAGAAGAAGCAGGAGTGATGCCACGCCCCACTCACAACCCATCTATTAGCCATTTTTCGTGTTGTTGTTGTTGTTGTTTCTAAATTTTCATCCGATTCGAGGTGCCTTTTCGGTTTTTCCTTTGAATTTATTTTTGTTCTTTTATAAACTCTGCGGGTTTTATTTTTAAAAAAGCACACGCATACACATACACTTGAACAAATAGTTTGGTTAGATCACACACACACACACACACACACACACATACTACTACAACAACAATTGCCAAATCGGTGAAAATGCTTTTGTAGAATTCCTTGTCTATTTTCTAGTTTTTCTATTTTCCTTTAGCATTTTCTGTGTTCTGTTTTCTATTTTCTATTTTCTATTTTTTTTTTTTTTTGTTTTTGGGTGGCACGAGCAAAATGCAAATTAGCAGAAATTAAAGTGGCTGGTGGGTGGCTGGGAGGGTTGGTGTGGGTGGCAGGATGACAAGATCTTAATGAAGATGATCATTGATCTTTGATCTTCGCACACAAATTAAGCGAGAATAGTTTTGCATTTAAAGAAACCCAAGGATTGGAATTCAAAAAAAGATCTAAAAAAAAAAACAAAATAAAAATCAAAGGAAAGCAATATTTTAAAACTAAGTATGTAAGCATTTAAATTTAGACAATTTTTGGGATTAAATTAGTATCGTAAATAAACAGAGGGGTCTAAGAGGCTTCTTAAAATCAAGGAAATATAAAATTCCTTGGCAGAGTTATCGATTTAATCGATAAGTTTTCATTAAAAATGAAAATTAAAAGAAATCTTATTTAAAGAATAATATTTAATGGTTTTAATTTTAACAATAAAGCGGAAAATAATGGTTTTTGTTTAATATATCGATTTTATCGATAAATGATTATTGGCCTTATTGCTAAAGAGCTTATATCTTATTTCCAATTATTTAATGAGAGACTTAAAGGCTTGAAATAAATGGTTTATCAATTAGTAATCGATAATATCGTTAATCGATAGATGATTATCGTTTATTTGAACGGGATTTGTTATGTTTATTAAGTTTTTCTTTAGGTTTTCTTTCAACTTTCATCGAAAAAGGCCTGCAAAAGACTTATCGATAAGTTCTATATCGCAGATATTAATATTCTTTGAAAAAACATATCGATTTAATCGATAAAAAATATAAATCTCATCTCAAATCAAATCAAGATTAAAAAACTACCTTGTCTCTTAAATAAAACATAAATATTCATTTTCAGAAAATTAGCATTTACTTGATGCCTTTCTCCAATTAATTGAATCCTCTTCTGGACGGCTCATCTCCAGTTCTTAATTAGAAAAGAAACTAAAAATAAAACCAGCTTTGAGTTGAGAATTTCCGGAAATTCCTGTCCCGCGATACATCATCCAAATGAAACTAAATTAAATAAAAAAAAAATGTAAACTAGACTAGATAATGGCTAACTGCACCGTCTCTGATCTCTGTTTATATATAGTATATAGTATCTATATAACGTATTTTAAGTAAGCTCCTCCGATGGGCTGCTATTTATATGGGCGTGCCTGTGTGTTGTCTTGTGGCCTGCTATAATTATAGCGCAGGTATTTATAATTATAGCATTGGCCATAGCAACTACTGGTTAGGGTTGGGGTGTGCTGTGGGGGGGGGGGGAGGTATTGCAGTTTTTCTAGGAATCGGTTTTTGGCGAAACCATATGGCATATGATGAGGTTCTATATACTGCACGTGTTCGAAACTTAAATCTTTTTTAGGAGAAAAAATAAATATATTTTTTAAATATTTATTAATTTTCTATTATTTTTTTTAAGATCTTCCATCACTCCATTTTAGTTTTTAATTATCGTGCACTTTTCTCTGGTATTTGGGCACTCTGGCTGGCTCTCCTCCCGATTTTCTCTTATTTTTCTCGATAATTTCTCGGGCATCGTAACTGTTTCGAAAGATTTCTGTGTTTATATTTGAATTTTTCGCCAGTTGGAGCAGTCGGCCGAGTGAAACTGAAATGAAAGGCCAAAAACACTAAGAACCAAGAAAAATCAAGAAAAACCAAGAAAAACCAAAACATCACAAATTTTCAAAAAAAAAAAACCAAAACACGCAAAAAAAATCAAGAAAATGTGGTAGAAAATAGAAATATTAAAAAAAAAAAAAAAAAAAAAAGCCAAAATATTGTTTATTGAAAACTTAAAGAAATAGAAATGCTAAGGTCATGGGAAATATGCGAAGATCAGGTACCAAAAATAATAATATTAATTTCAAGAAATGGGATGATGTTTTTTTTGCCGATATCATGGTAGTGCTTAAGAATTTCAATGGAAAAACCAATCATATATAGAACTGGGGTTACCAGCGTCTAGTATATCAAGTTTCAGCTTGATTCATAGTCAGATAATGGATAATATTAATATTATATTGGGAATATTCGTATATTTCCAGCTCAAAAAAAGTCAGGAATTGCAAAAACAAAGGCTATACCATTCATACCAGGAGCAATCGAAGCAAATGGAATTGGAGCATAAATTGCAATTGGAGCACAAGTATCAAGTGAGTACCAAAGTGAGTGTATTTATGTTTAATTATTGTTTATTTATTTATTTATTTATTCTTTTTGTGGTTGCTACTAAATAGATACTCATACATATATTTATTAATTTTATTTTATTTTTATGTGAATGGGAAATGGGAATGTGTGGGCAGAGAACACTGCCCCAGACTGGCAGACAGAAATCACAAATAAAAACAAAGCCCCAAAAGTAAAGAAGAATTGAAATGAAATTAAATGAAAATATATATATATATAAGAGTGAATATGTATATATATATAGAGTATTATCGTGCCGGAAGTGTCGGAAGTGTCTTGTGATGACTAAGGCCATCCATCGCGTTGTTACTCTTGATTCTGCCATGTCATATGCCAAATATAATGGCTCTAAAGTTCCAGAATCTTTGGATTTTTGTTTTGTTTATTTAAAAATTAATAGATGAATATTTTAAGATTTTTTAGAGAATGGAAATTATGTGAATAATAGAAGAAAAAGACTTGTATCTCTTAAGTTTTGTTTTCTTTAAAGTTGAAATACTTTTAAAGCCGTACAATGTGAGGCAGCGTCCCTTGGTTTCTAAAGAAAAGTTAAAAAATTAAAAGATAATTAATAATTAATGTAACATATAATTATTATAACAGTGGGAAAGGGGTTCCTCTTAAAGTTTTTTGCTTTAAAGTTTAGATTTCCGTACAATATGCGGCAGAGCCCTTTGATTTCTTGGGCTTATACCCATACGAATTATTATAAAAGATAAATATTATAATAGAAACCTGACCTGACCTCCTGACCCTCTTTTTTTTAAGGCTTTGAGGCTTTGTAGAGCCGTACACTATGCGGAAGTGCCCTTTGTGGGCTTGAAATGCAGATATTTTGCGGTAAAAGATTTTTTTAAAATAAGGAAATTAAATAAAAAATATAAGAAAAAAATACTTTATTTGTTAAACTTTATTGTTTTAAAGTTTAAACATTTTACAGACGTACAAGATGTGGCAGCGTCTTAAGGTTTTTTAAGCTTTAAGCTTATACCGCGCCTCTAAAAAAATAGAAAAAAAATAGTTTCAAGATCTATTCCTTATGAATAAGATAATATAATTTTTTTTAAATAGTTAAAGATCTTAAATAATAAAATTTATATATATTTTTTAAAGAAATACGATTTTTAACCTATTTTTTTGTAAAATACTAGTTTTAGAGACCTTATATCTTGAGATCTTATTGTAGCAACCACAAAAACAATAGTTTTAATGCAAAAATAATGCTGCCAAATACTCCTATGATACTACATATATCTTTCCACGAAAATGCCAAAAATACCAAACCAAACCAAAACAAAACGTCTCTCTCTCTCTCTCTTGAACTTCATTTAATTATTCAGTTTGCGGTGAATTCCCATGGCGCTTTCCAGGAATTGCGGGAACAGAGCATTGTGACAGCCGCCGCTGCTGCCGCCGCCGCTGCCGTGGCTGAGGAGCAGCATCATCGTCAGCAACAACAACAACAACAACAACAGCAGCAACAACAGCAACAACAACAACAACAAAGGGAACAACAACAACAGCGAGAGAGAAGAGAAAGAGAGGGAATGAAGCGAAAGGATAATTGCAGCGCCAATGCCAGTCCGGAGGTCAAGCAAATCCTCAACGTAAGAACTACACTGAGAAAAAAAATTATAAAAAAATATCTGGTTGTCTTAAATATGCTAATAGTATCCTTATTTGATAAAAATGTATATATATGCCGATTTGTATTTCCCCCGCAGTGCTTCATCTTGAGTCGCAAGTCCCAGGCGGCAGCATCCAATGGCACAACGACCACGTCTCCATATAGAAACCGGTGAGTAGCTTTGTTCCAGGACCCTATTTTGAGATCTAGGATATATATAGGGATAGGGATATGATCCACAAATCGTTTGAGGTATCTCCCATAAGAATCGGTTGGAAATTGGCGGAGATATAGCCATGGATATACCATATACCAGGCCATATACCAAAATCCAGGATTTCACAAGGGTGAAATTTTTCCCCTTGAAAAATGGGAAAAAAATCTAAAAAATATTTTGTCTCGGGATTTTGATGCAGAATGGTGGAGAATCGATCCAGAAATCGTTTAAAACACTCCCCTTGAGAATCGTATAAGAATTGGGGAAGATATAGCCATCGCAGTGGGCCCTATAGGGGAAAACCCCATTTTCAGGGGATCGGTCAGGAAAAATGGGAAAAAAATCTAAAAAATATTTTGTCTCGGGATTTTGATGCAGAATGGTGGAGAATCGATATAGAAATCGATTAAAACACTCCGCTTGAGAATCGGATGAGAATTGGGGAAGATATAGCCATCGCAGTGGGCCCTATAGGGAAAACCCCCATTTTCAGGGGATCGGTCAGAAAAAATGGGAAAAAAATCTAAAAAATATTTTGTCTCGGGATTTTGATGCAGAATGGTGGAGAATCGATAAAGAAATCGTTTAAAACACTCCGCTTGAGAATCGGATAAGAATTGGGGAAGATATAGCCATCGCAGTGGGCCCTATAGGGGAAAACCCCATTTTCAGGGATCCCATCAGGAAAAATGGACAAAAAATCGAAAAAATATTTTGTCTCGGGATTTTGATGCAGAATGGTGGAGAATCGATCCAGAAATCGTTTAAAACACTCCGCTTGAGAATCGGATGAGAATTGGGGAAGATATAGCCATCGCAGTGGGCCCTATAGGGAAAAACCCCATTTTCAGGGGATCGGTCAGGAAAAATGGGAAAAAAATCTAAAAAATATTTTGTCTCGGGATTTTGATGCAGAATGGTGGAGAATCGATATAGAAATCGTTTAAACACTCCGCTTGAGAATCGGATAAGAATTGGGGAAGATATAGCCATCGCATTGGGCCCTATAGGGAAAAACCCAGGAAATAGGGGATCCCTATAGGGGATCGGTCAGGAAAAATGAGAAAAAAATCTAAAAAATATTTTGTCTCGGGATTATGATCGATGGAGAATCGATGTAGAAACCTTTAAAGACACTCCCCGTGGGAATTGGATCCAAATCGGCCAAGATATAGCCCCGCCACTTGGCAAAAGAATGAGTAGTATGTGTTCCCCTTCCGCTATGGGTTATTGCGAGGTAGTCAGCTTGTCAGGTCGAGAATAGTTATCTTTTAAGTCAAAACATAAATTGAAAAATACCTTAAGGTTAGATAATCCAACCACCAACCAACTAATTCCGTGTACTTGCAGTGGTGTGGTTAAGAGCTCCTCCGGAGAATCCCTGCCGGCGGGCACCGTAACGAGTGCGCATCCTTACAAAATACCTCAGCCGCCCTCCTCGCTGCTCAAATATGAATCTGACTTTCCGCTGCGGAAGACAGGTGAGTTGTCAACTAACCGGAAGTGGTTCCGTTTTAGAACAAGGATTACGAAACAGAAGAGACCTTCCAAAGAAAGGTTCCGAAACGCTCTACTGCCTGCCTGCCTTTGTTAAAATACTAAAAAAAAATAAATTATTGTTTTGTTTGATTTATTGTTAAAAAAAAATATAAAAAAATGCTAGGGTTAGGGTTAGAGGGGGGGTTATAGTCGATAGATAAAAATAAACTTATTACGAGGGAATGTCTGCTCACGTAAGTCTGGGCTTGGATAACAGCCTGTTTGTTTCTTTCTATTTTTTTTTGTCGATTGGATAAGAAAGGAATATATAATTCTTTTTAATTTAAAAACTAAGAAAAATTTTAAAAATATACATGGCATGGCTATTGAATTTCTATAACTAACTGCAAGTTGTTGTGCAGTGTACTACCTAATCTACTATGCTAATCGCTCCTACTAATCCCAAAAAAAAACCGCCCAAATTATAAAACAGCATCCGAACCGAATCTTCTGAAGATCCGGCTGAAGCAGAGCGTCATCGAGCGGAAGGCCCGCATCGGCGGCCCGGCTGGAGCCCGGCGGCACGAGCGACTTCTCCAGGCGGCCCAGCGGCGCCAGCAGAAGAACTCGGTCCTCACAAGTACGTATATCCATTATAGTATCTCATCCAAAGGATGGCCCTTGAAGGTTCCAAACATCAAAGAGGGTCCCAAAACAAATGGGGTTGAGTCAGTTGGTTGGAAAGGTGGAAGAAAAATATTAGAAAAAATATTAAAAATATACGATAAGGTTATAAAATAGTTAATCTCTTAATTTTTAATCTATGGAGATAGTTTTCTAATCTATGGAGAAAATCATTTAAAAAAAAGGTCATCTTCAAAATTGTTTATTATTTTGTTTATTATCTTATTTAATTAAATTGTTTATTTATTAACAGATTTTCTCTCTTTTATTTCTTTAATGTTTATATTTAATTTTTGTTTTGAAATCTATTTGTTTTTGTTATCGATTTAATCGTTTCTTATCGCTATTTATCGTGATAATCGCTGTTTATAGTTAATATCGTTGTTTATCGTTATAATTTTTATTAATCGCCTTAATCGATTTATCTTTATAATTTGTATTTATTAAAACGATAAGATCTTTACCTATCTCAATGTCTTTGTAATCACAACTTATCGATGTTTGTCGATATAATTCCTGTTTTTCGCTGTCTATCGTTCTAATTCTCTATTTATCGTTCTAATCGCTTTTTATTTCTATATCGTTCTAATTCTCTATTTATCTTTGTTATCGCTGTCTATCGTTATTTTTCTATATTATCGCTGTTTATCGTTTCAATGGCTATTTAGTTTTTATACCATTTTAAACTCTATTTTTTCTATATTTATGTTATTATATCTTATTTTATCCATTAATCATTATAATTCCCGTGTATCTCTATTAATCGTTTTAATCGGTTTTAGTTTCTACGTACATCTATCGTAATTATCGCGATTTACCTCAATATCGATGTAATCACTACTTACCACTTTTTGTTGTTATCGCTATGAATCGTTATAATACCCGTTTATCAATAAATTTCGTATATATCGCTATTTATCGTTTCAATCTATGTTAATCTCATTATCTTTCTTATCGCTATTTATCGTTATTGTTGCTATTTTTTGTTATCTATATTAATCGCTTTAATTCCCGTTTATCGTTTTAATCGCTTCTTATCGTTGTTATCGCTACTTATCGTGTTTATCGTTATAATTCCTATTTATCGTTTTAATCGTTTGTTATCGCTGTTTATCGCTTTAATCGTTTTTTATCGCTGCTGTTTTTTTTTTTTGTTAAAAACTAACCAGCTAGAAAGCCCAACTGACCCAACTGCCGTTAATTTTTTAAAGCAAAGCCTACTAATTTAAAAAATATTTAAAAAATTAAAAATTGAATTTAAAATTTAAACTTAAAAAATTAAATATTAAATACCTTCTATTTTTTAAACCAAACTTACAGATTGCAATAGCACTCCGGATTCGGGTCCCAACTCGCCGCCCTCTGCGGCCGCCCTGGCTGTGGGCGTGGTCGGCAGCCGGGGCTCCCCCACCAGCGCCCCCATCCAGGAGGAGAACGAGGAGGGCAGCCAGTACCAGCCGGGGCCGCGGAGCAGCATCAACGACCTGCCCCTGTTCAGCTCCCCGTCGCTGCCGAACATCTCGCTGGGCCGGCCGCACCTGCCCAATCCCGTCCAGGTGCAGGCCCAAGTCCAGGCCCAGGTGCAGGCCCAGGCCACCGCCCAGGTCAACTACGCCATGCTGGCGGCCCTCCAGCAGCACGTGGCCGCCGGCACGGGTGTGGGCGTGGCGGGCGGAGGACAGGCGGCCGCCTACTACAACCCCTTCGCCTCGCTGGTGGGTCGCCCCCTGCCACTGACCATGATCCCGTCCACAGGGATCGCCCCCAGCAGCCGTCGCCGGTGGTGCGGAGCGCCTCGGCCACCTCCACCTCCTCGTCGCAGGCGTCGCTGGTGGGCGATGTGGCGCCGCCGCAGGCCCATGCCGCCTCCACCATTCTGCCCTCCTCCTCGTCCTACATGCAGCAGCTGGGAGGCGTGGCCGGCTCGGCCGTCAATCTGCACGCCGCCGCCCTGGCAGCCGCGGCCGCCGCCGGCTCAGCCGGATCCCTGCCGCCCACCAATAGCCACGGTCACGGGCACAGTCACGGCCATGGGCATGGACACGTCCACGGCCATGGGCATGAGCACAGTCTCTACCAGCACCAGCCGCCGCAGCACAACGCTCCCATCACCGACGCCCAGGTGGCGCAGGTGCATCTCCACAAGCAGGGCCACCGGCCGCTGGGAAGGACGCAGTCGGCGCCCCTGCCGCTGGGCCACCCCATGCTCACCGGAGCCGGACAGCTGAACGTGGTCCAGACGCACTACGAGAACAGTGAGGTGAGTCCACAGTGCCATACCCTGATCTGTCCATCTACTAATCCCCTCTTCTCTCGCCCCCCAAACCAGGCGGAGCGCCAGGCTTACGAGCACCAGGTCCTGAACCAGAAACTCCGCCAGACGGTGCTCACCAGGAGCGGTGCGGCGGCTGCAGCGGCCGCCGTACGGGAGGCGCAGCTCAAGGAGGAGGAGGACGACTCCGCTGCGGAGGTGATGGACCTCACCGACAAGAAGAAGCCGCCCAAGACGGTGCTGACCAGCACCATAGCCACCAGCACGTCCCAGAACCTGCCCGATGCCTTGGCGGCGGCTGTGGCGGCGGCCGCCTATCGTGCCGCCGTCCATCCGCCCTCCACCTCGACCACGTCCTCCTCGCTATCGTCCAGTTCGGGTTCCAAGTCCCGCGACCAGGAGTACCTCCAGCAGCAGCGCGAACAGCTACTGCTGCTCCAGCAGGAGGAGGAGCTGGCGGCGAAGGGCCTGATGCGACCACTCTCCCGGACGCTGAGCAGTCCGCTGGTGCCGCTGGGACCGCACGGCCTCAGCCAGATACCGGACACCGGGCAGCAGCCGGCGCCGATAGCCACCAGCTCCTCGGCCGACCACATACCGCCCGTTAACCTCTCGCTGCCGCACCGCCAGCAGCGCCAGCTGATGAATACCTTGTACGCCGCCCAGTTGCGGCAGCACCACCACCAGCAGCAGCACCTGCAACAGTCGCCACCGCCAGCCACGGCCACCACGGCAGCAGCCGGAACGACCTCCTCATCCGGATCACCGCCGCACAAGGTGACCACCGGCCTGGCCTTCGATCCCCTGATGCTGAAGCACTCGTGCACCTGTGGCGGCAACAACGCCCACCACCCGGAGCACAGCGGCCGGCTGCAGAGCGTCTGGGCGCGGCTGAACGAGACGGATCTGGTCAAGAGATGCGATCGGCTGCGGGCCCGCAAGGCCACCCAGGAGGAGCTGCAAACGGTGCACACGGAGGCCCATGCCATGCTCTTCGGCTCCAACCAGTGCCAGCTGAGTAGGCCCAAGCTGGACAACGCCCTGTCCGCCAGCTTTGTGAAGCTGTCGTGCGGGGGACTGGGCGTGGACCTGGACACCACGTGGAATGAACAGCACACGGCTGCCGCCGCCCGGATGGCCGCCGGCTGTGTCATCGATTTGGCCTTCAAGACGGCCAAGGGGGATCTCAGGAATGGCTTCGCCGTCGTCCGGCCGCCGGGCCACCATGCGGAGGCCAATCTGGCCATGGGCTTCTGCTTCTTCAACTCGATCGCCATTGCCGCCAAGCTGCTGCGCCAGCGGATGCCCGAGATGCGGCGCATTCTCATCGTGGATTGGGTGAGTTTTTTTTTAAATCTTAATTCTAGATTCCAGAATCTGGTAATTTTTTAAATATTTTTCATAAAAAATGGTATTTTTAGTATTATTTTAGATTAATTTTAATCAAGTTTCTTGAAAAATACATTTTTCAAAACTTTTTAGCCTCAAAACCTTGTGTCTTTGGTATTTTAGTATTTTTTTCCATGTTCTTTAATTTAGTATTTTTATTTACAGTCTTATTCCAAAACTTAAAGCCAAAATAAGTATTTTTTTGTATTTTTCATACCATTGTTAATTGGGTTTTGAGAAGTATTTTTTTCGAACCTTTAAATATTTAAGATAATTAAGATATTTCATAAAGCAAGGGTATTCTAGTATTTTTTTAGGGTTTTTAAATATATTTATAAAGAATTCTTTCTTTTAAAAGGACATTCCTCGCTCAACTCAAAAACAGAGCTTCAAAAAAAACTTTTTTTTAAATATTTTTCAAATCAATTTTAGAATTTTGGAAATATATTTTAAAATAAAGTATTTTTTTTTAAGCTTTCAACTCCAAGCCTCTCTCAAAACCTCCCATCCCTAACAAATAGCTGTATCTGATCCTCCACCCATCTCTAACATAGAAAGCTTAGAGTACCGTTAGATCTAACATAATGTACACTTAAGGCAGCCATTTTGTAGAAAGCCCATGTTGGCGCCATTTCCCGAATTCAGCGCCGAAATTGGCGGGAATTCCAGTCTCCCGAGCTCCATAAAAGGCCAAGACTCTCCAAGTCTCCTCGCAGAAGCAGCTCCAACTCCGTACGGTGTGTGTCTCGAGATCGTAAAACAGAAAAAAGTAATACTCTTTTTTTTTTTGAAAACCGCCATTTTGGAAAGTTCAAGTCTTTTCCACGTGATTTCTTCGCTAAAAGTCCAGAGTTCTTTTAAAAGAAAATCTTGAAAGATGGCCGCCATTCGTAGCATGACCGATTACTACAAGCGCATGGAGGACGCCAGCACCAAGCTGGTGGTCTTGGACTTCTACGCCGACTGGTGCGGTCCCTGCAAGGCGATGGACAGCACCGTCAAGTCCCTGGCGCGAAAGTACTCCACCAAGGCGGTGGTCCTCAAGGTCAATGTGGACAAGTTCGAGGAGCTGTCGGAGAAGTATCGCGTCCGGAGCATGCCCACGTTCGTCTTCCTCAAGAACAATCGCAAGGTGGGCGGCTTCTCGGGCGCCGACGAGGATAAGCTGACCCACATGATGGCCAAGCTGGTCAAGTAGGATCCATCCCGATACTCCACCCAGGCAGATGGAGCTGGTCTTCTCAAGAGTCCGTCTTGTCTCCTTTTTTAATTTTTAATGTTAAATGTTTTTTTAAAAAATCAACAGCATCTGTGATGCGCGCGTGTGGTTCAATTAAGATTAGTAACGATTCTTATTTATTTTTTTTCAATTCTTAACTATATTTAAGCTTAACACTAACAAAAAAAAAGAAGCAAAAAATCAATTCCGATGTCATGTATGTATTAGTGCCAGGGACGTGTCTGCGACATTATTTTTCAAAATTATAACTTAAATATATAGCTTAAATAAATTGTAACCACTTTGACGTACTACTTTGGGTCTTTTACTTTAAAGTTTAAACTCTACTTTTTCAGCAAAAAAAATGAGTATTTTTGGCATTTTTGGAGAGAAAGTTGGCAAATAAATTGACTTTTTATTAAAAAAATATGTAAAATTCAAGCAAATGGCATATTTTTGTTATTTTTGTAATGAAAACTGCTTAGAAAATATGCTTGAAAATTTAATTTAGGAAGAAAAATATAAAAAAACTTTGAAATGATGAGAGAAGTCTCCAAAAACAAGCAAATTTTTGCTATTTTTGCATTTGTGGAAAGCTAATTTATTAAAAGAATAGTTTCAATAAATGTATTTAATAAACAAGAGCCACAAATTTTAATTTTTGTAAGAAATATAAACATAAATACGTAAATGATTATTATAAATTTAAAACAAGGTTAAACTGTGAAAATTACAAAAGAAAAACCCTGAATATATATAATCCCTGGATATATAATACATCCAATAATACATTATAATACATAATATATCCTTGATATATCCATTCTAAATATAGAAAAGGGAATGCTATTAGAAGTAAAAAGAATTATGATACTTTCTCTTAAATGAGAAGATATTTAATAAAACCCAGTGTTGAATTAACTTTCTTTAGAAACATAAGTCTTATATGAAGTTATTAGTTATTATCTTTTTAAAGAAAGTTATCTTTCTATAAAAAGAAATGCAGTAACCTCCCTCCTTAATTGTATTTCATATTTTTTATAGTTTCATTTTAAGAATATGATTCTATAAATATTTATATTCCAATCTAGCTTAGAGAGAATTATCTTATAAGAGAATACTCTTCTATATTCTTGCATATAAGTGTGGATTTTTAGGCCATTTATTGAATCATATCATTCTATATAGATCTATAGAGATATAGATATATAGATTACATTTTAATATATATTTCTTTATGGTTATATGGTGTATTCCTTCATAATATACCTTTAAGTACCTAAATTAAGACACAAGCTTCTTAGATTTATGCTTAATCTCTGACTCCATTTATTTAAAAATGTCTAATATTTAATATCCTAATTTTTTTTATATTTTTTATCCCCTTCTCCAGGACGTGCACCACGGCAATGGCACTCAGCAAGCATTCTACCAAAGTCCCGACATTCTATATCTTTCCATACATCGACACGATGACGGTAACTTCTTTCCCGGCACAGGAGGACCCACAGAGGTAAGTACTTGTACCTTATTTAATTATATCATTAATTTTAATATATATATATATTTTTTTAAGTGCGGTTCTGGTGCTGGTCTCGGCTTCAATGTAAACATCTCCTGGTCGGGAGCTCTGAATCCGCCGCTGGGCGATGCCGAGTATATCGCTGCATTCCGTACCGTTGTGATGCCCATCGCACGGAGCTTCAATCCGGACATTGTCCTGGTCTCCTCCGGCTTTGATGCGGCCACCGGCCATCCGGCTCCCCTGGGCGGCTACCATGTCTCGCCGGCCTGTTTCGGCTTCATGACCCGCGAGCTCCTCCAGCTGGCCAACGGCAAGGTGGTGCTGGCCCTCGAGGGTGGCTACGACTTGGCCGCCATCTGTGACTCGGCCCAGGAGTGTGTTAGGGCCTTGCTAGGGGATCCTGCGGCGCCGATAGCCAAGGCAGAGCTGGAGCGTCCACCCTGCCAGAATGCCATCAATACACTGCAGAAAACGATAGCCATTCAGGTGGGAATTCTAATTCTTCTCCTTTTTTTTTTATTTTTTATTTTTAAATATTTTTATAATCTTTTTAAAGCAAACCCACTGGCCCTGTGTCAGGATACTGGAGCATACGGTGGGCCTGTCCGCCTTGGAGACCCTCAAGGTGGAGCACGATGAGTCCGAGACCATCAATGCCATGGCTGGCCTTTCCATGCAGTCGATGCACAGGTTGGTTCTTAATTTTAAAAATAAAAAAAATTAAAATTATTATTAAATATTTATGTTTTAGAACCCTATCTTGTGATGATTCCGAGGAGCCCATGGATCAGGACGAAACCAAATAGATGAAGCAGATTATAAGAAGAAGAAGAGGAGGATGTCTTGGAGGAGCAGCTTGGGAAGAGTGGGCGTGGCTGGGGAGGGGGCTTGGGAGGCTGCTCAAGAAGCACATTTAGTTATTTGTTGTAGTTGAATTGATTGTTGTTGCTGTTGTTGTCATTCATCGTCCTTAGAAGTGTCTACTCTCTCACTCTCCTCCCCCTCCCCCTCCCCCCCTCTCTCTCTCTCTCTCGAGAAAATACACTGAAAAGAATGTCTAAACATCGAAACAGAAGAGAAACAAGAGAAGAGGCTGTGCCTCCCAAGAAGAAATCTTTAAAAAAAAAGAAAATATTTCAATTAAAAACCACCCTAATTTTTTTTTTATTTTTAAAACTTAAAAACAACGCACACACGCACTTAAAAACAACAAAAAACTCAATATAACTTTATATATATTTATGAATGTGTGTTAAAAACTAAAAACAAAAGTACTTTAAGTAAAAAAAAAAGTATAAGAATTTTATAAAATAAACAACAAGTGTGTGCTAATTTTTTTTAAGCAAGTTTTTAGAGAAACTTTTTAAAAAAGAGAGAGAGAGCGAGAGAGATAGAGAGAGAGAGAGAGAGAGAGAGGAGCCTAGAGTGAAAAAGAAAGAGAAAGGAGAGGAAAATACAAGAAAAACACAAAAAACTTAACAAATAACAAGCAAAAAAAAAATTAAGAAATCTTTTTGTACAATTTATAGTTTAGTGCAAGTTTCAAGTACAACATAATATTATTTAAAAATAACTAAACAATTAAAAATATATTGTGCAATAAATGTGAGAGAATAAAAAAAATCAGAAGAGCAGAGCAAAAAAAATCACACATAAGCCGCAACTAAAAAAAAAAATTACATTTTTTAAACTAAAAAGTAAAAACTAAAAACAAACGAATAAGAAATTGTTGTTAAATGTTGCCGAGATCTTATATACGTATGTATACCTAATAACTGTTACAATAATAACCCATTTTATATATAAATATATATATATATATATCCAAGAACGATTAAGATATATATATATATAATTATATATTTAATTATATGTTTAAATATCGCATAACGATAATGATGTTCAACAAATGTCTGAAATGAAGTAAAACTATTATGATTATGATTATTATTATTATTATTATATGATTATTATTATATATGTAAATAAAACACGAAACAAAGTGAACAATTTTAAATAAAAACACAAAAAGGAAATTTACAAAAAAAAATTAAGAAAAATGCTTACAGAGAGAAAAAAAAAAGAAAAGGAGCTCAGGGCAGGACCCGCAGGGCTCGAACCCGGTAATGTTATTTTTTTTCGAATTTTTTTTTAAACTCTGTTTTTAAAAAATAAATGAAACTCAAGTGTTTAGCTGCTGTAATTTGTACTCGTGTACCTTTAGCTGTGTATAGCCATCTCTGTCTAACTAAAAATATAAAAATAAAAAAAAATACTAAAAAATGGAAGAATTTGGAAAATTAAAGAGGAATTCACAACGAGAGATGGACGAAACTGGATGATGGAAACATTTGTTAACAAATATCGAAAAAAAACAAAACAAATTAAAAACTAAAAAAAAAAAACTTAACTATTAAGCTAAGAGCTTTAGTCTAAATTTATAAACATTTATTTTTATTTTTACTCCCGATCCCATTCCCGAATCTATATTTTTTTTGGTTTCTTCAGGGTTATCTCCTTTCATTCTAATTTTAAATCCCAAAACCAATTATGCTGATAAGCCGAAAACCTGAAATAAAAAATAAAAACATACAATCTACCTTAAAAAAAACAAAAAATATTGTTGTTACACCGCAAAAAATAAATATATATATACAAGAACTAAAAAAAAAAAGATAATTCCAGATGCTGAGGATAAAAAAAATATATAAAAAATCAAATATTTATATTTTGTTTATTGTTGCACAAAAAAAAAAAAAGAATTAAGATTAACTGGTAACAGAATGCAAGTCCAAAAACAGAAACATAAAGTAATTAAGAGTCAAATGTGTGTCGCTTTTTCTAAACGAAATAAAACAAAGAAATCGTCAAGCGTAGTTTCACTTTGTTTATTTTTTAGCATTTATGTTTATATTTAAGGTGTTTACCGCCTGTCTTATCAGCCTGATGCTCTTAGAGAACTTTTGCGACCCACATAAGACAAGACCACTCCACCATATAGTCTCAGGTTTAGACTATGGACCTCTAGGGACTATGGGCTGGTTATGATTTTCGCAGAGGCTTTTATTAAGGTGGACCTGATGATCGCATCGAGAAGGTTATTTCAAAAAATATCCAAGTCTCTTTAGTTTTTTGTCTAAATTACTTTTACTTTTCTTTAAATTTTAAACCTTACATTTGAATCTTAAATATGAATCTTTATTTAACCTTTATTTTATTACTTAAAGTTCGACTGAGACAAGGAAAAGTTCTAGGTATCTATATAATCTATGTAAATCCTTGTATCTTATATAAGTTCCTGGTTTTTTAATTTTTTGTATTTATAAGTTAGTACTTACTACCTTTGGCTTGTGACCTTGACAAGGAAAAGTCTTAGGTTTTGTTCATATTCTTAGAAATATAATTTAATCTACTACTATAATCTACCACTATATCTACTATTCTACTATAATATACTAATCTACTATAATATAATCTATATAAATGTATCTTGTTATTAGTTCCTTTTTTTAAAGTTTTTATAGTTACAAGTTAGTATTTACTACTTTCTGCTTTTCATATTTGAAAAAATCTAGTTTTTAAAAAGCATACATATTTATATTGTATCTATTTTATCCATTTTTGCTTAGTTTAACTTTAAAGTTCTTAATTTTCAGCTATTTTATGTTATATATAGGGTTTTTTTTATGGTTTGAAATCATTTTTTATATCAAAATTTATATTTTGACATCATTTTTTATACCAAAATTTATAATTACGTGCAATTTTAAAACCTTTTAACGTTCTAGTTTCTTGAACTAAAATTAAAAGCTTACCTTTTGGTTTTTTAAAAGAGAGTTTTAAATATATATGACTTATATTCACCTAAAAATAATCTGAAAGTAAAAAAAAATTAAAATTTTTAGTATTTTTTAAACTAAAACATTATCTTAAATCTTAAATCTTAAATATTTACTTTAAAAAACTTACTTCCCAAAAGCATCTCCTAACAAGGTCCACCCCAGAGCAGGAGAGCTCAGTTCAGTGACTCCAACGGCCTTCGGAGAGCGCAGCGAGATCTGGTTGGCGCTCTCCCTCTGCAGAAATAACTGTTTCTTGCGGTCTGCAGTCGTCGTCAGTGCAGTCGGGCATCTCGTTCCAAGCGGGCGGCTGGAAGAAGCTTTTCGCAAAACAGACAAGAAAAAGAGAGAGATAAAGGAGAGGAAAAGGAGAGACAAGCTGCGAAGAGACAGGAGAGCTGCCATGTCGGTGAACTCGGATCTGCAGAGGGAGCGGGCGGCGGCCATTTTGGAGAGCGAGGACTTTGCCCGGTGGTGGGCGGGCGGGCAGGCGCAGTTGCTGGAACGGCGATCGCTGGAGGAGCACTTCTACACGGATCCCCGCCTCCAGGATGCAGTGCATCCCAGCTGCCTGTCCTACAAGGAGCGCTACGAACAGACCGTGGCCAAGTCCACCCACTTCCTGGCCAAGCTGCGGGCCTGGCAGAAGGCCAAGCACCCCCAGATGTCCCTCGACGTGAACACGCTGAAGGATTTCCGCACCCTGCTGTCCGGCTCCCTGGGCACGGGCATCTTCCAGCAGAGCTTCCCGCTGCGGCTGCACTTCTCCATGTTCATGACCACGCTGCTGGGACAGGGCACCGAGGAGCAGCAGGCCCAGTGGCTGAGCCGGGCCTGGCACATGGACGGCGTGGTGGGCACCTACGCCCAAACGGAACTGGGCCACGGCACCTACATCCGGGGCCTGGAGACCCGGGCCGACTACGACCCGGAGCGGCAGGAGTTCGTCCTGAACACGCCCACCCAGAGCGCCTACAAGTGGTGGCCGGGCGGATTGGGGAACACCGCCAATGTGGCCATTGTCTTGGCCCAGCTGTACGTCCAGGGCCGGCACCACGGCCTCCAGTCGTTCCTGGTGAGGATCCGGGACGAGAGGACCCACGAACCCCTGCCGGGCGTCGACGTGGGCGACATTGGACCGCGACTGGGCGGCAATGGCGTCAACAATGGCTTCCTGGGGCTGAAGGATGTCCGGATTCCGAGGAACCAGATGATGATGAAGAACGCCCAGGTCCTTCCGGACGGCACCTTCGTCCAGGGGCGTCCTCCACTGCTCCTGTACGGCACCATGGTCTACGTGCGGGTGATTACCCTGAGGGATGCCCTGTTCTGCCTCCTCCAAGCGGCCACCATCGCCACCAGGTGAGGATTGGGGATGAGTGCTTCGCTATAACCAGATCTCTCTGCTCCTAGGTACTCCATTGTGCGCCGCCAGAGCCGCATCGACGAGGACAAGCCGGAGGTGTGCGTCCTGGACCACATCACCCAGCAGGTGAAGATCCTGCCGCAGATTGCCCGCGGCGTCTCCTACCGGCTGGTGGCCGACTGGCTGTGGGGCTTCTACGAGCAGGTGCTCCACCAGCTGGAGGCCAATCCTCCGGCTGGAAACTCGCTGCCGGAGCTGCACGCCCTGAGCTGCTGCCTCAAGGCGGTGGCCACGGACGAGGCCAGTCGGGGCGTGGATCTGCTGCGGAAGAGCTGCGGCGGCCATGGATTCCTCTCCTCCGCCAACTTTGATAGCATCTACGGCATGGCCACGGCCGCCTACACGTACGAGGGCGAGTACACGGTGCTCCTGCTCCAGACGGCGCGGTTCCTGGTGCGCCAGTACGTGGACAGCCTGAAGCGCAAGGTCCTGCCCTCCAGCGTGTCCTACTTGCGCGACACCGCCCGCCTGGTCTGGGGCAAGGATCTGCTGAGGAACTGCGTGCGCGCCCTGGAGTGTTCCGCCTTGGAGGAAGTGCGCCAGGCCTGGCAGTGCCAGAGCATCCACCGCCGTTCCAAGGTGAGCGAGGCGATGGCCACCAACCTGGCTGGCAGACAGATGACCGCCGCCGCGGTGGCCCACGCCCACGCCTTCCTCGCCCGCCAGGCGCTGGCGGAGCTGAAGAAGGTGCAGGCCACCATGGCAGTCACCTCCGTGCTCCAGCAGCTGGTGGAGCTCTTCGTCCTCGACACATTCCTCGGCCAGGTGGGCTCTGTCCTTCGCTGGAACGGCATCACCGGCACCCAGCTGCGCTTCGTGGAGCGTCGCTACGAGCAGCTCCTGGCTGCACTGCGTCCCAATGCCCTCGCCATTGTGGATGGCTTCGATTTCCACGATCGGGTCTTGGGCTCCACCCTGGGCTGTCACGATGGGCGGGTGTACGAGCGGCTCATGGAGGAGGCCCGCCGGAATCCCCTCAACCAGGAGCCCGTCAACGCCTCCTTCCGAAGCCACCTCCTGCCCATGATGCAGGGCAAGCTCTAAGCTGAAAAATATATAAAAATATATATTTTTTTATATTTTTTTAAATTTAAAACTTTTTTCTGGTAAGGAATTCAATTAGTGATGTTTTTGGAGAAACTTTTAAGAATTTTGAATAAAATTTTGGAGGTTTTGGAGTTGTTTTTTAAATATTTAAAGAACTATTTTAATTTGTGAAAATTTAATACATTTTCAAATGAGGGTTTTTGAAAGGCCTGCTTTGATTTTATTAAATTTTCGATTTTTGAGAGGCTTTGGGATTTTTTAGGGTTTGGGTTTTAAGGATTTTAAAAGCATCTCTAATTTCGATACACTTTAGAACTTTTGAAAATATTAGTTTTTGAAAAAATATATAATATCTAAAGTGTTTTGAACTTTTTGAAACTCTGAATACCATTCTTAAAGGATTTTAAAGTTTATTTTTTAACGATTTTATAGATCTGGTCTGATTTCAAGAAGTTTGAAACTATAATTAACATAAACATAAGGTTTTTGAAAATAATATAATATGGTATAATAATATATGGAAGTAGTTTTTAAATAAGATTACCAACATAAATAGGCTTCTGAAGATGTTTTTTTCCAAAGGTTTTGAAGAATTCCTGATCCTATTCATGTATTTGAAAGGTTTTAAAGTTCAAGTTTTAAAGATTTCAAGAGGATTTCAGATTTCTAGAAGTAGATGATGAGTATACGATCCTTCAGCATATAGGATAAGTATAAGATACTTCTAAATAACCACAAAAAATCGTATATATTGGATCGTATATAATATCTTTTCTTAAAAAAAGTATTCTTAAAAGGTTTTGGAGCTTGGATTTTACAAATGTTTTTGATTTCTTTAAGTTTTAAAATGATATTACCACAAAAAATAGTTTTTTAAAATGTTTTCTTACAGATTTTGTACCATTATTAATAATATTTATATTTTTAAAAGGTTTTGAAAATAGTTTTTGAAGATTTGAAGAGAATTTATGATTTCTAGAAGTCTTAAGATATGATTTTCCAATAAAACCATATTTTTCGAAAGATTTAAAACCATTTCCAATTAAATATACATTTTTAAAAAGTTTTAAGAATGGGTTTTTAAAGATTTAAAGATAATTTTCATATCCAAAAGTCTCAAATAATGAAACTTAATGAGGTTCTTAAGAAGGTTAAGAGAGGTTCTTTGTATTTCAAAGCTGAAAATTAAAAAGAAACCCAAAAGCAATGTGAATTTTTCTAATTTATTAAATGATATTACATTTGCAGTAAAAAATATACACATTATATATAACTTTAAAGTTTAAAGTTTAAACAATTACAAGCTTGGTTGTATTTTTGTGATAAATCTTCAATCTTCAACCTACGATCTCGGCTACAAACATATATATATGCCCGCGATTCTTGTCTTTTCTCGATTTTGATCTCCGAGGGCATATAATTAAGCTAATTAATTAGTTTACGATCATAAATTAAAGGCTGGGGACTAAGGATCGGTTGGGGCTGAGGAAACACACACACACACACATACAATATATGCAAATATAGAGGATTCTCTCCAAGAGGGATGGTGGATGGTGGACCATCTAGAACATCTTCTTTTTCACCGCCGTGTAGCGTTCCATGTAGACATCGTAGCCGTCGAGGTCGGTGAACTGCTTGGACTGAAATAGATTGCCGTCCACGGCCAGATTACAGATTTTGGAGTCCTTGAGGATGCGCGGCGTGAAGGCGCTGGCCTGCAGGCAGTTCTCCTCGAGCCGCAGGGTCTTCAGCTTGGGACAGTCGGCCACATCCTCGGCGAGCGTCGAGATCTGGTTCTGGTTGAGGTTCAGCTCGGTCACATAGAGACCGCCCACCTCCGAGGGCACCTCGGTGATCCGGTTGCGCGACAGATCGAGGACGTCCAGCTGCTTCAGGCCGCAGAACATCGAGGGGAACTCCTTCAGCTGGTTGTTGCTCAGGTTGACGGTCTTCAAGTGGGTGCAGTTGGCCAGGGTCTTGGGCAGCCGCGTCAGCAGGTTGTCCATCAGCAGGAGCACCTCCAGCTTCACCAGCTCGCCGACCACTTCGTTCAGCTCCGCCAGCCGATTGCCGCTCAGGTTGAGGTGCTTCAGCAACGTCAGCTTGCCCAGTTCGTCGGGCACCCGTTCGAATCGATTCTCGGACAGATCCAGGGTCTTCAGTACGTTGGGATAGGCCTTCAGCTGGGGCGGGAACTCCTGCAGGCGCTGCAGCGATATCTTCAGTATGCCCGTCTTCTGGGCCGTCTCCAGGTGCTGTTTAATCTGCTTGTTGCCCATTTTTATGACACTCCCCTTGCCTGGTGGGTATTACGGATGGGTGTGGGTATCCTGGTCGATTATCCTGCTTGGTATATCCTTGCTTGTAGCCTGTAATGTATGATCGTATCCTTAGCTAGTCCAATTACATGCTAATTATCATGAATTGTTTAATTATTTACAATTAATTAATGTTTCAAAGAAGAAGAAGAAGCAGCTGATGACTCGAAATGTGACTATCGATAGTTTTGATAGCGCCATCTATGAGGCGATGATAAAAACATCGGTCGTAATTAAATAAAATCGTATAACAAAGTAGGCTTTTGTGAAAAGAAAAAATTGTAGCTGTCATTGAGAGTCTTCTTGATCTAACAACCAGTAATCTAAAAAAATTGCTGCTTTAAAAAAAAAATTATAAAGAAAAAAAAGCGTGATATATTGCGGTAACCTCTGGTATTCTTTTGAGTATTTCGATTTGCGCAATCTGGCAACACTGCTGACCACGCTGCCGCATAAATAGAATTAGCTTGCACGAAATTGTCGGTAAGTGGCAGATATTTGCAATTTATTTCACAACCGCCGAAAAATAGACACACGTGAGTTCCTAACACCGACCTGGGGTTCGTTTTTGCAGAGCGTCGTCGTCGCTGGCAAACAGGAACCGTTGACAGAGGGACTGAGGGCACAGGCATACCGCATACCGCAGGGCGATAGAAGAGACGCGTCGAAATTCGCAGAATCCGCTTCCGAAACTAGTTTCTAGCATTACAAGTCTCGAAAATTAACCAACAACAACATCATGCCTAACGATACTGTTGTAAAGGTCCAAGAATACAAGGACACGCTCATAAAAAAGGCGGAGCATTTGATTACCAAATGCTTCCCCGAGAAGATTGTCCAACTGAATGAACTGCTCGCCACATCCATGTTCAACGAGCGCAACTTCGATGAGGTGCACCAGGATCTGAACATACCGGCTTTGGCACCGGTTTTGGTCAAGAATCACTCTAACTCTGATGACGCTGACGGTGCTACCGATGACGGTGATCATCCGCCGACAAAGCGGGCTCGCAAGGATGTGCTGGTGTCCGGCCAGCCGGTGCTGGCACTGCCATCGGGTACGGTGCCCTGCAACAAGCCGCTCTGCGATATGATCAAGGTGGTGAAGCCTATAATCCGCAAGCTGGTGGAGGATTGTAAGTACACTCTTAAGTACCCTTCCAAAGAATAGTTATGATAGAAATCCTTTGACCTTTGACAGCCAATCTTTTAAAGATGTGGATCTCGTTTATGATTCCCAAGATTGAGGACGGCAACAACTTTGGCGTCTCCATCCAAGAGGACACTCTGGCCGAGATCCAGACCGTTGAGTCGGAGGCGGCTGCCTTCTTTGACCAAATCTCGCGTTACTTCTTGTCGCGCGCCAAGGTCGTCTCCAAGGTGGCCAAGTATCCGCACATCGATGACTATCGCCGCGCCGTCGTCGAGCTGGACGAGAAAGAGTACCTAAGTCTATGGCTGGTCGTCTGCGAGGTGCGCAATCGCTACTCTTCGCTCCACGACATAGTCATTAAGAATCTTGAGAAGCTCAAGAAACCCCGCTCCTCCAACACCGAGAGTCTATACTAGTTCTTCGCTTATCATTTGCTAAACTACCTCCTACCGCCTACACCTTATTTTTTTCAAACAGATACTACACCCCCAAATTTTTTTTTTTTTCATAACTTGTATTCCAAAACATTCATTTCAAAAACAAATCACACGCCTTTTTCCCGCGCGAAGAGACAGCAGAGATTTAAACACTAAAATCGAATTAATTAATTTTTGAGGAATCCTGATGAGAGACAGACATTTAAGCAATAGCGGCAAGGACGAGAAGAATTATTAACACACATTTGTACGTCTAGAGTTTAAAGTCGAGGGTTATGAAAAGAAAGGCAACAACAAAAAAAAAACAAGAATATGAATAGAATTACAAAAAACCGATACCGAAAGCTGTATAGATTCCACTAATAGCCGATAGCTATAAAAACAAACAAAATAAACAAGAAACATAAAAAACACGAATCAAAAATGTTGAATTAGAACCAGGGGCTAAAGGAGAAATGGCTTTCGAAATTCCAAGAGCTGGCGACCGATGACTCGATGTAAAAAAAAAAAAAGAAAACCATATGTAATAAATATGATGGCCCATGTGACCTTTCGGCAGAGTATTAATTGGTACAGTGTTTCATTAGCTTCCATTTTGCTTTGAAAAAGCGCGCCAAGCCTTTGCCGTTTTTCAACACTGCAACACGCTTGGGCTTCCAACATGTTCGATGTGGCGGCATTTTGGCGCCAAAACTGAAAAAATTCAAAAACTCTCCATTTCGTTTTAAAAAAAAGAATTGTATTTTTAAATAGATCAAAAGGAATAATTACTATTTACAGCTAGTACAGCTAGTTGTTGCACTTAAATAGAAAATCGTAATATTATTTACAACTAATTTAACTACGCCTTCCCACACAATACATACATACAATACATACAAAAAAAAAAAAAAAAGAAGAATAATGGATAAAATATTTTAACAATTTTTTCGGGTAAATCTGTTCAGTTTCTTAAGTTATGGGTGCCACAAAAAAAGTACATATGTAAGTATAGTGCTTTAACAAGTCATAACTCTTAATTAAGGTGTGCTAATACTTTTGCATTTTTAAAAAAATTTGTCCAGTTTTTTGTTTTGGATTATTATATAGTTATCCGATTCTATATCGAGGGAGGCACTCAAAAATGATTTTCTTTTCTTTTCCTGTTGGCAGTGTTCCAGTTTTCCAGTTTTCCAGTGTTTGTATGCTATATTCGGAATTATCGCGTCGATCTTAAGATTATGGTCTTAAGAGTTAAAACTAAATAGGTTTAAATATTTAATATTACTAAATAATATTATATATGACAAAGAACAGTTTTTTACACAGATTATCAACGTTTTGGGTTCTTGGCTTTAGATATATATATATATATAGACTTTCTAGACGATCTAGATTTATGATTTCAGGTCTTGATCCCTAACATCGACTATTTTTCTTTGTGGCAGTAGAAAGTTTCAAGAGATTTTTAAAAAATTGGAGATATATGGTATATAGGGATGTTACTATTTTCGAGAAGGTGGTTGCAGTTGGTTCGTCACCTACCTGAAGACCTTTAAAGCCCAACAGTACCGGGTATTTCTATTGAAATTCTATTAATATATATTTTTTTGGGTTTTTTTTATAGCTATAGCCGATGTTAGGAACTTGACCTTATCCGGCTTTGTAGTCCCCCCCCCCTTGCCCCCGGAGAAACAAAAGCCGGATACCCAAACCTCTCCGGATGCTCTCTCTTTAAGTAAACGAAATGGCACATTGAACCACAACCCACTTGATCCCCCTCCCCATCCGGATTCCGGATCACCGAATCACATGTGACCCCACCAGGCGGCACTGGCCTGGTAGTAGCCATCGTTGCCCCAACTGAGGATACTGATGGGTGGCGGTGGCGGTGTCAGCGATAGGACATCCACCTCCTCCTCATCCTCCACGCTGTTATAGTTGTTGTTGCTGTTGGTATGACGATGTGGAGCAACCGGATGACGTGATGGAAGCCGGAATGGACGACGACGCCGCTTGCGACGACGCACCAGATCCCAGCCGACGGTGCCCTCTTGTTAGAAAACGTTATGGGAGTTCTTGGGCGCCAGGAAGGGCTTCTCCTCGTTCATCTTCTCCAGGTTGCCGCTGAGCGTCGGATCTGTGGGTCGGATGCGCTTGAAGAAGCCGCACTTCCACAGCACATAGGTGAGCAGGGCCAGGACCAGGATGCCGCCGACGATCGCCAGGATGATGATCAGCCAGGGCAGGGAGGTGTCGCGCTGTTGGTTGCGCAGCTCCGGATAGGCTCGCGTTTCCACCTGAAAGGACAACCAATCGATGAGAGATCCCCTCCAGATCCTCTCCATCCCTCATCCTTACCTCGATGTTGTTGTGCTCCATGACCTCGACCCCGAAGTCCTCGGGTATTTGGGCACTCGCCGTGGAGATGATCCGCACACGATCCACCCGCGGATACTGACCCACCAGCGTGGAGTTCCAGAGCCGCGCCTTGACCACCACCTGGGCCTCGGAGCGGGCGGGCATGTTGTTGATGTCGCACTCGATCCGGACACACCGCGCCGTGCCCTTGTTGCAGTCCAGCTCGACGATGTCCTGCTTCTTGCCGTTGGAGTTGGTGGGGGAGGTGGATCCGCCCTCCGGATCGTACATCAGACGCTCCAGGCGCGTCACCCGCTCCAGGAAGCTGCGCTTCACGCGGTTCTGGGACTCGGACGAGTCGCTCTTCCCGCTGGAATAGTAGCTCTTCTGGGTGTGGATCGTGGTCTTGTTGTGCTGACTCCTCGGCCGTGGCGGCCACATCATCATCTGGGCGGGAGCTGTCAGGTAGTCGATGGACTCCCTCGATCCGCTGACCAGCTTCTGGGGATTCACGTACTCCTGCGCCACCGCGCACTCGCCGATGCCCACCTCGACGGTGGGGACCTGCTCCAAGTAGAGCAGGTACTGGTCCACGATGCCGCTCTGCAGGTCGTTGGGCAGCGACCACGGCCAGTGGATCACCATCCGGACCTTGGGCGCCGTCGAGGGACCCTCGTTGAAGATCGTGAAGCTGTGATGCACCTGCGTGCCCACATCGTCCATCGTCATCGGCCCAGATCGCTGCTCCACTTCGCTGGCCACTCCAATGGCGTTGGGGTTGGTGGCTCCCACCGGCGCCCCGGCACTGTAGAAGCTCTGCTCGGGTATCGCCCAGCCGCGGAAATGGAGCTTCGCCCGCCGCACCACCTTGATGTGGAGGACCTTCTCGGGCCTCTCCCGACCCACCAGTTTCGAGGTGGTATTGGCAAAGATGTGGAACTGCATGGACTTCTCGCTCGGCTCGAGGCCCTTGGGCTGGAATCGAATGGTCACGAAGGTGGTGGTGCCCCTCAGCATCGGATTGCCCAGGCTGCAGGCCACCAGGGTGGTGTTGAAGCTGTTGCAGGTGGCATTGGTCTATAAAGGATTTGGAGTTAGTTTGGGGGAATGGGGGATCCTTGAGGGGTGACTTACCGGTTTCTTGGTGGCCACGTAGGAGACACCCGCCTGGTGGGCAATAAAGAGCTGGGCTTCGTAGGCAGAGTCCGCCAGATTGCTGACATTGATCCTCACCTCCAGTTCCGTTTCATCCAGGATGAGGGTGTAGTCGGGTCCTACAAAGAAAATCATATAACCACCTGGTCATGGTGACAGTGACTTGGATCAGTGACTCACCAGCTTCCTGGGTAATATTCGGCTCGGCCCGTAGGACCAGGTTGCTCTCGCAAAGATCATCATCGCCGCAATCCTTCTGGAATGTTCCCTCGAAATCGATGTGTGCCTGGGTCTGGTCCAGGATGGGATTCAGACGTATCAAGGCCGACTTGGCTAGCGGCGGCTCCTCCAGGCTGTACTTCAGCCGGAAACGGACCGGGGTCTGGATATCCCTCGTATTCGCCTTGATGTATCCGGTGACCCGGTCGCAGGCCGTCCGGCCATCGGTCCGGACCCGAACCACCCGGCTGAAGACGTTGCTCCGCTTGTTGTCGCGATCGAAGAAGACCCGCGAGAATTTCTTGACATGATCGAAGGTCTCCGCCTCCACGTTGTAGGCCAGACGGAGCTCCTTGCTCTTCTCGTCGTAGGGATCGATGCTGCAGCAGGCCTCGAACGTGAAGCAGGTGAGATTGCTGGAGGTGTCGTTCCGGCAGCCCGGCTGATTCGGGTCCATGTTCTTCAGCTCGTCGCTCTTCACGCTCGTCTGGATGGAGATGATGGGCCGGGCCAGGAGCACCACCGTCGCCGACGAGTTGTACGCACCGATTACCAAGTCCGGATACGAGTTCCCATCCAAGTCAGTGTTGCCCGCAATGGAGATGCCGAACGTTCGGATCGGTTGGACGGAGGGAGTGGTTCCGCCCAGTTCCGAGGCCTGAATCCGCTGGGCGGGCTTCGAGTTCAGGCCCTGCCGGGAGCCCAGATAGATGTAGACCACGCCGTTGCCCTCGTAGGGCGCCCCCACGGCCACGTCCTCGCAGCTGTCCTTGTTCAGATCCCCCACGTTGGCCAGGGCCAGGCCGAACCGGCTCTCCAGCGTGCCGGTCAGCTTCAGGGTGTACTTCAGCGGCAGCGAGTCCTGGTCGTTCTGGTAGACGTAGACGGCTCCCCCCTCCGACTTGGTGAAGTACAGGGGCGCTGCCACCAGCAGATCCGGCCGCAGGTCCCCATTCACATCCGCAGTGGCCAGCGCGTAGCCGAAGCTGGAACCGAACTGCTCCCCGTCCAGGATCATGTGCTTCGGTATGGGATTCGTGTTCGAGGCATTAAAAATCACCACCTGGCCGTGGCCCATCGACCGCGGCGCTCCCGCCACGTAGGACATGCCGCCAAAGAAGCGCCCACCCGTCACCGACATGCCCAGGTAACTGTACTTGTCCACCGGGGACGTGGAGTCACTGTGGTCGCTGTAGTAGGTGGTCTTGTCCCGCTGCAGGTACTCCCCGCCCACCTGGGTCACCCAGATGGAGCCGCGCCACGTAAAGGGTCCGGGAGAGCCCAGAACCATGGTATCATCCTCCAGGAGAGCTGCCGAAGTGCCAGCCTGGCACAGGCCATAGTCCTCGTGTTGTCTGTGGGTGGGAGGATCAGAGGGAGGTGGTTTAACTTGGGGTTTAATATTAACAATTAAAGCTTTAAAATTTAGAATGTAGAATTTTTTAAGAAACCAAGTAGTCCTTGACCCTGAAATGTCAACCTAAAACCTATAAAGGGCCGGAACACAGCCCCCAGATCCTCACTCTTGCTCGATTGTTCATTGTGAAAACATCGAGGGAATTAATATTTTTTTCGAATTATTTCGAAATAAATAAATTTGAATTTTAAATTTGAATTTTAAAAATCAAATTTAAATATGGATTCCAACCAAGCTACTCGACGTCGCCGCTCGAGGGCAGCCGCCCCGTCCCGTGCCCCGCGTCGTGGTCGGGCCATTGAAGCCGGTGAGTATCTTTCGGTACCCAAGTGGCCACCGACCTGGATTATTATTTAATTTTTAAATTCAAAACTCAATCCCTTAGTGGCCGAAATGCCAGCAGTGGCACCCGTCCAGGAATGCTCCCGCATCTGGAGCTTCGTGAAGGACTTATTTTTGCTGACCCTGTCCGCACCAGTCTATTTCCAGGGCGTAAACGTCCTCGACAACGACTGGCTGGCCATTGGACTAGTGGTCCAAGTGCTACTCACTGTACTTAACATCATCTGCCGCTCGGCCACAATCAACATCATGAAGACCCTCACGAGTGCGGCTATTTTGGGGGCCTTTGCCACAATGGAGTTGAATGGTATGGTGGCCAGGAAACGGCATGGAAATTGCTACCTACCCACTACATATATATGCACGGCGCTTGTTAACATCGCAATGGTCATCGGGGCCCTGAGGCGCAAGAATCTTTAAATGTTTGTAGTTTTTTTTTCGTTATATCTCAAAATTCTCGGATGGAGCTCTCCCCGGAGGAACAGATTATCATTTCGGACACATCAAGACTCATCATCGTTTAGGACTGGCTTCAAAATTATCCATATTTACACTCTTGTTTTTTCAAAATTTGTTAGTTCTCTCTGTATAATCGCCTCTGGAATGAATCTCCAAAATAAATTAAATTTATGTTACTATGAAATTTTATTTCTTTTATTTTTTCTGAATTTTCAGGCAAAGGCTTTTCAAATTATTTATTTTTCCCGCCCAAATAGCCAGCACCATCTAGTGTTGCGAAACATCGAGTCTGGAAAGCTCTCGCGCATCCTTCCAGCTCGATCAACGCTCTCCAACACTTCATTTTCCGCCAGTCAGCCGCTCTGATTCTGATCTTTTTTCAAGTTTTCTCAAGTTTTTGCATTTTCTTTTGCATTTTTCTTAAATAATTTCTAAAAGAATATTGTGAAATAAATAATATTAAATGAAATAATATTAAATTTTCAAGTGAAAGTGACTAAGCCGGCCAAGCACGTGTTTTTTTTTGGGTTTTTTTTTCAAAAATTTAAAAAAGGAAAATATTTTCATTTTTCAAATTGTCATAAAATACTCTGCATATTTTCTATGCCTGTGAATATTTAATTCTGAATTTTATTTAATTTTATTAAATAAATTATTCAATTTTGATAATCGGCATGGGCTGCTCTCTCTCTCTCGCACGTGTTTTTCTGCCGTGCACCTTGCTGCGTGGGAGAGAGGCTCTCTCCGGATATCACTTTCGCCACAAAAGGAGGAGAGCGAATAGTGAGAGAGTAACAGTCTCAAAACAAATAACAGTAAAAGTAACATTACAAAAATATAAGTAAGTTTATTTTATTTATATTTTAAACTTATAAAAATTAGTTAAATTAAGTAACCTCCTCCTACAAAAAGTCAAGGACATTTCCACTGGGGGGGCACTAATAGATGACCCTGGTCAACAGCAAGAGGACCCTTTACGGTCGCCCGTATCTTGTCTAATCCCGCATGGACATTAATGGATGACCAGGGTCAACATGGCAGGATCTCCCCCTCCCCCTTGGCTCGGAATCGTGTTGGGACACGCGAGTTTCCTGCTGGATGAAAAATTGCATATCCCTAAATGATGACAGGCCTGTGGGTGCTTGTTTTTTTTGTTGTTTTTCTTACACCTGGAACTCCAACCGCTCCTTGATTTCGGTCATCGGTCATGTGGGTGCGCTCTCTCCCCTACACCGCTCTGCGTGGCATTTAAATAAATTAAAATTCACCAACAGGAACACGTAGGGTCATCGCATCGACGTCATCGGGGTCACACTTGACCACCGGACCACCGGGCCCATCCTGCATGCTAATTGGCCGAAAAGGCCACCCAACCCTAGTGGCCATTTAAAATGCGTGACAGATAATTCACCTTGACACTTTTTCTGACGTTTTTCTTTATTTTTTTCCTCAAGAACTGACCCTTGTCAACTTTTCGATCATTAAACTTGAAATATTTACGATGTGGGGGTGTAGTTTTTAATAAATTTTGATGGAAAATGATGGGAGACGGGAGGCGGGATGGGAGGCGTGGGGACTTTTACCTTTGAACTGCGCGACCTTTGCAGGGTTCGTAGACTTCTTCGAATTGCAAGTCGTTGGTGAGAAGATAGCACAGACCCTGGCCATATCGGTTCTCGCCTATAATGTACATATAGCGATGGGCGCAGACAAGGACCTAAATAAAAAAATATTAATAAAATATTTATAATTATAATTATATTATATAACCCACCTTGCCACCCACTCCATTGGGCTGTAGGGGATTCGATTGAACGGTAACGCCCATCCATTGGCCCTCTTTGATTTCGTCACTGGCGGGCGGTGAGAGGATCTCACTGTCGTAAGCTGCAGGAGTCCGGAAGTCGGAGCGGAGAGAGCGTGCAGTGGTGGTGCAGTAGACGGAGGCGGAGAGAGTGCAGAGAGAACAAGAGAGAGATACCAATGTTAGAAAATTGCCAAAAAAAAGAGGTCTACAATTGCAAGGTGATTTTGTGTGATTTCTCTGAGTGTATAATGTGTGTGTGTTTCTTCTAATGTGTATGTGTCAGCAACAACAACAACAGTAACAACAACAATAATAATAATAATAATAAAAATATATAACATCAACAACAACAATAATGGTAATCATATTTGTAATTAATAACTCGCGATAATAATTAATAATAATGTAAATAGAATGCATTATTTGAAACAAAAAATTAATCATTCACATAATCATTTACATAAATATATATATTTACAGTTATTTGTAGAGTATGAGTGGAATTTTGGGCAAGTTCTTCGGGTTTTTGAAAGCACCTACATGGCGTATGAGTAATATTTGAAGAAAAATGGCGCCCAAAGGATGATTTGCATTTTTTTTTTATTTTTTTTATTTTTGTATATGCTTATATGGTCTTAAATATGATGCGGTTTTCAACCTAACAAGGTCCACTCTAACTTTAAACTTGAAATGCAAATTGAAAAAAGAAAAACTAAAAACAATTCAATTATTTACAGCTGATTTTCTTCTTCTTTTTTTTCTAGCTGTTTTTGTTTTTGTTAAGAAAAGCAACAACAACTGCCTCAGAAATGTGTGAGAATGTTGTTGCATTTGTTTGGGGAACATGTGGCGGCATGTTGCACAAAAGAAAATAAATTGAGCAACAATAAGGGGTGGGGGGAGAAGAATTGTTGATTAAACGAAGCATGAAACGAAGCAAAAGAGCGCACATGGAAAACATGAAAGGAGGGGGGAGAAGGAGGAGAAAGCGCAATCGAGGGAGAGCCGAACGAAATTGATTTAGAATGCATTTTAAAGCATCAAAGTGTTGAAAAATGATAAATGATTATTACACGAAAGAGACAGGTGGAGAGAGAGTGGAGAGAGAGTAATCATAATTTTCTTCAGGTTTTTCATACAACAACAACAACAATAATAACGTTTTTTTTTTGGGCCTTGGGGCGTGGGCTGTTCTTGACGGGTTTGACGCGTTTTAAAACGCGCTCGGTTGTCGCGCCGACGCAGTGAAAGTCGCGCAGCTGGATAACAAGCCCTGCCCACCGCCCACTGTCTTTTAATAATTTCACCCAACCCACCCTCCGTCTCTCTTCCCATTTCACCTTTAATTTTATTTTTCGTCACTGACATTGTGTTTATTTTTGCAATTTTCAATACTGAAGGTAAAGCTAAATATATATAAAAAGGGGAAAAAATAGGGTTTTAGTAAATACCGAGAAAAACAACGACAACCCACTTTTCGCCCACTTTTCTCATCCGCCCGAAAAAAATTCCGTACTATTTACGCTCAAGAATTTGCATATGTGCTGTATTTTTTACAGTTTGCAGTTATTTTTATGCCCCAGCCAACATTTGTTTTTGTTTTTTTGTCGAGCTGCTTATTGTACACTGAGAAAAAGAGGTATTGACTCTAAAAATATAACTAGATTCTAGATTTGTGAGCGTTCTTAGCTTTTAGAAAAATGCTTAGCAATTCCCATTAATTTTTTTTCAGTTATTTTCCAACACTAGTTTATGGTTTTGGTATTTTTTTTTTTTATGTCCTCATAGTTTTAGAAAATTTGTCACGTTCTAGGGCGGCGCCGTTTGCCACAGACTTCTTCTATATTTTTATACCCTTGCAGAGGGTATTATAATTTTGTCCAAAAGTGTGCAACGCAGTGAAGGAGACATCTCCGACCCTATAAAGTATATATATTCTTGATCAGAATCACCTCCTGAGTTGATATGAGCATGTCCGTCTGTCCGTCTGTCTGTTTCTACGCAAACTAGTCTCTCAGTTTTAAAGCTATCGTCTTGAAACTTTGCACACACCCTTCTTTCCTTTGCACGCAGTATATAAGTCGGAACGGCCCGGATCGGCCGACTATATCCTATAGCTGCCATATAACTGATTGATCGGAAATGGTATAACTTTGGTATTTTTAGAGTTAGAGAGTTTAAATTTTAGGTGAGAGCTATTTTTGGCAAAATAATACGACATGCCAAATTTCATAAGGATCGGCCGACTATATCCTATAGCTGTCATATAACTGAACGATCGGAAATGGTATTTAATAGAAATATCAACTTTCGTATTTTTGAAGATAGAAGCTTGGGACTTTTTTTAGATTTTGTATTGTAATAAATTGGAGTATATATTCCTATTCCCATAAGGATCGGCCAACTATATCCGATGTTTGCGATATATATCCGGTTTTAACTGCAAGGGTATATAAACTTCGGCTCCGCCCGAAGTTAGCTTTCCTTTCTTGTTTTTTATATTTTTTTTTGGATTTTTTTTTTTTTTAACCGCTACGCTCTGATTGCCAAAAGAAAAGAAGAAGCAGAAGAACTGGAGGAAGAAGTTGCAGAAGAAGCAAAGGCTGAAGAATTAGCAGGAGAATGAGAAGACTCGGGCTGAAGAAACCCGGTCAGAGTGGCACAACCAACAACAACAAATCTACAAGACGACCCAGTTGCATGCTACATGTGGCATTGCATGGCTGCGGGCTCTTTTTTTGTTGGTGGGCCCAGGGGGAGGAGGAGGAGGGCCCAGGGGGGTAATGTACACCCAACAGGGCAAAAGTGCAAATGAATTTACATACGAGTGGGGTTTTTTGAAAGGGTAACGAAGTTGGGAATACCCTAGGATAGGGGTTTCTTTTGAAAAATTAATGTTTTTTTGGTTAAAATCTAGAGTTTGAACTCTTTTTTAATCAAAAATATCTTTTTAATATTTTGATTTTGGTTTGAAAATATTTTTAACATTTTTTTGAAAAGTTTTCGTAGATTTTTTAAAATTTTAAAGTCATTTTTTGCTCAAGTTTCAACTTTAAAGAATAAGATTTCTGTTTTTTAAGCTTTATATTTGTAAGAAAGTGGATATTTTTTGATGAAATCTAGAGTTTGAGACTTTTTTAATAAAAAAATACTTCATTTTTGTATGGAAAAATATTTATTTTGAATTTTTAAAATTTTTCTTGTAATTTTGCAACGTTTTTTACATGTTTTTTTAACTAATAATCTGGGTTTTTTAAGTTTCAGTCTTTATATCTCAAGATTCTTTGTATATTGTGAATATTCAAGAAAGAACTACATACTATAATCTTCAAAAAATCAAGAGGTAAGTGACTTGAAAGTATTATATAACATATATTTTATATACATACATAAAATATTATATTAGTGTGATAACCCTAAATTATAAGTATTTTATCCCAAGCTATCTGATCTATAAATCATATGTATACATCTTTAAAAAAATTACACCCTTTATGATTTTTTGAAAAAAGTAGAGTATTATAATCGCCTCAGCTGTGAGAAGTTTATATAATTAGTGCTAAATGAGTCGCCAATTGGAGCCGCCGAAAATGTGTAGCCCGTTTTGGGTCTTATGGGGTTTACTTGGGCCCCAGCCGCCCCTCGTTTTTTCGGTATGGCATTCCAAGAATAATCCAGTGAGACTTTTTAAAGGAAATGGCCAACATATGACGCCGATAATAAAGTTGTTGGCGGCAACCAAGCGTTTAGGGCATTTTTTTTTTTTTGAAAATAATCAGCAAATGAGGCGATTATGTTAACAAATGATCGGATAACCTAAAAATAATTTCAGGTCACTGGAAAAATGATTTCTTAACATTTTCTAACTTAAAATATATAGTAATTAAGTCTATAAAGTGCGCGCATGCGTGACTGTTAATTATTAAGAAATTATTGAAAGCCAAGGTTAAGCAAAACATTCAGTGATTGCGGATATATAATAAATATTTCTTTTTATACAAATATGTGCAAGCGAGTGGCGATCGAATATATATATAGAATGGGTGCTCTGAATTTGAAAATAATGTTTTAATCGAAAAAACAAGCGCAAACCAAATAAGTTATGGAATACTGATTACTGATTACTGATTTTGGCAAACTGGTTAACAAAATATATATGGCATATATATATGTAGGTAAATACATATATAGAGAGATGTACAGATCGAGTACTGAATGGAAAGAAAAACGGTGGTGTTAGCGGTTGCAATGAGATGCGCGATATACCCGGATATATGGGCTTAATTGTTTTTATTTTTTATTTTTTAGTGTTTTTTAGTTGAATATCTGATTCGGTTTTTGTGGGCAAGACAACAATTAAAGCACCCAAAACCACTTACTCTTAGTTATCTCATAAACTCCGCTCGATGCTAAGTGATTCGTTGTTTCGAAAATATCGAAAAGAATTCAGTGTCAGTAATATATAATATATATATATTTTTTTTATTTTGGGGTTAGGGTTTTGTTCAGGTTGAAGGATCACGAAAATGAGTTTCCCAGTTATGCGCACCAATTACGAATTTCGATTAATTTTGTTCGTTGGCAGAATCAAAATTAAATATATATATATAGTGGATATATAAATGGGGGAGAGAACGAAATAAAAACGGAAAAAAATAAGAAAGAAAAAGAGAAAGAATAATTAAAAATCAAATATCGATATTGTGGTTTAGATATACTATATATTAATATATATGTTTGATATAATCGCTAAAATGCTAGAACAAAATGTGGATATCTATACAGTGGGATATATTGGAAGCAAGATTTTCATAGTTTTTTTAAATTTATCGATAAAATCGATGAAACGATTATTGTAAATCGTTTCACTGATTTTTCGATCAGCATTCTCGTCCTACTTAAAGCTACGAAAATTAAAAACTTATTCTCGATTATGTTAGACACTTTTAGTCACAGTTCTTTGTACAGAATTGCACAGTCGTTTATGTACAGTTTCCAAGGCTTGATTCAACTCTGATGTATCGTTTATCGGTTAGAGATGGCAAGATGTCCGATAACAGCCGATTAATTACTGGGTAGCAGGATTATATCTTACTCTTTTGGGGTTTTGGAAGCATGACCGGACAAACTACAAAAATAAAAATAGGATTCTTCTTTCGGGACCTAAGGATTCTTTAATTAAACTAATAACCTTCACCAAAATAAATAAAAAAAGGATAAAATAGTTATAGGCTTTAGGTTGGAGGGCATACAAGTACCAAAAGCTGGGTTAGAAGTTATTGACTGGATCTGGGTTTTATATACGTAAGCTAGGGGCTATATTTTTGTCGAAATAATAATAAAAATATTTAAAATAAACTTAAAAGCCTGGCTGCTTAATTTAATAATTTTTTATAAAAAAAATCCTAAGATTTAAAGCTGAAACTTACAACGCCTGCCATCGGTGATAACTTGGTCACAATCATCGAGGCTTTGGGTTATCGGACATCGCCAGAGGGCGCCAGAGTGCGAGGTGTTTGGTTGCCGATTTTGATCCAAGGGGGCGCCAACAAGAACCCTAAAAGAGAATAGAGATTTAAATTATAGTTTTTTTTATAAACATTTAAAAAATTAAGCTCTAATTCTGATTCAAGTTCTCAGACTCCCGAGTCTGAATGGTTCAATGCACTTAACTTGAGTTGTCGGTGGCGTCTGTTTGGGTTTCTTTTGTTTTTTTTTTGGTATTTTTTTTTTGTATTTTTGGGGCTTGGCTCTGCCAAAATGTAATTACTTGAGGGGATAAGGCGATAAACGTGTGCAGTGGCGTTGTCTGGGCGCGTCTGCACGAAAGATGTGACTAATGAGCTTAAAGCGAATCAAGGAGCAGCCAAAAAAATATACCAAAGGGTTAAGGTATACAGATTTTTGATAATTTTTGGGCTTTATTTGATAAATAAAAGTTAGGAAAAAATTACCAAAAAAATTAGGTCTCTTTTTGAAAGAAATCTCTTAAGACTAAGGCTTATTTTTTGGAATATTTTTTGGGCTTAAGGCTTTAAAACTATTAAAAAAAATAGGGTTAATAACAGATATTTAAAAACTACAAATAGTCTAAAAATATCTTCAAAATATTGAGTCTAAAAGTTGAATAAAAAATATATTAAAAATTCTCCTAATTACTTGGTTTTTTTATTAAAAAAAGAAGCCTGTAGTTGGCTTACAAAAAACATACTAAATGCTTGCCAAAAAAGGCGTGGCCTTAGGGGCTAAACATTTTAACAAAAAAATAAAAAAAAAAATAAGAAAAAGCTACGAAAAAAAATGCAAGTCTCACCCACTCAGGCACGTTTGGTCGCTTAACGTGTTTAACATGAATGTTCATTATCCTGCAGCCGTAAGTTTTGGCTATAACCATAACCAACAGTAACAACAACAACAACAACCAACAACAACAACCAACAACAACAACTGTTTGCAACATCTGCGACAGCAACAAAAGGCAATTGCATGTACGACAACCGCGAAACACGAATGCGAGGAGGAGTGGGTTTATGGCGGCCATTAAGTGGCACCTACACAACCCACACACACCTAAGAAGGTACACAGATACACACAGGGACATATAAATACACTGAAAAAAAGGTAGATACAAAAAAAAACCTCAAAAAAGATGCCAAAAACTAAAGCATAAGATTCAAGAAGATGAAAGAGACATTTTTTAGGGAATTTTAAGAAAAAAAAGCTTAAAAAAATATTAAAAAAATATATTAAATATATTGGTTAATTTTTCTCAGTGCTTTTAAGGCCTTACCGAACACTGAAAGGCTAAAAATCGAAAATAAAAGAAAATAAAAAAGTGGCCGAAAGGCAAAAACTGGTGGCCAAATTGCTGAAAAGCGATGGGGTTAGGGCAAGGGGCTGAGGGGGGTCTTAGGGTGGCATGGGTGTGGGTGTGGGTGGTGGGGCAGGTAGGGGTACTGGTGTTCAGAGTTATCGCTTTTGTCGCCTCAAAATTGACACATTCCAAGGGGTATTATTTTTAAGAGATTTTTTTTTAACAGATTTGTGTTTAAGCTTTAAAGCAAGTGATTAACTAATCTAAAGGCCTTAAGCTAAGTCTTGGTAAGAACCTGTTTGGTTAAAGCCCTACTTCCAGCCACCAATTAAATCCCAAAAACTAGATCTTTTTAGTCTTTAAGGTCATTAGCGTTGACACTCGGGATTGCAACAGATTTCCGAGTTGAAACCTGACCTGACCCTGCCCCTGCCCCTTTTTTATGGCCCAGTCTAGTCACTTTTGACCTGGTCTATACAAGTCACACTGCTGAGGTTGATCATTTAACAGGTGCCTGCAGGTGAGAAATAGAAACTTTCGGGTCGAGAAACCAACATCCCGACAAAGTCACATAAATCTGGCCGTAAATCTTTTGACATGGCCCAAAGTCCATAAAACTTCCTTAATGATCTCCTCCAGCTGGGAATCAGAATCAGACTAGAGGGTGGAGAAGACTCTGGAGAGAGTTCTTCTAGTCTTTTATGGCACTTGCCACTTAGCTTATCAATTAGCAGGGCCTTTTCTTCCAGTGCATGGAACTGCTCCACTTGATGGTGTTCTCGCGTGCAATTAAAATCCGATGACGCCGAACTTTCAGATCTTTTTTTGTTATTTTTCTGGTGGTGGATATAGCCCTGCACTATATAGACGACGACGACGACGATGGCTTAGAATGCATTTAATTAAATTTGAACATTAATTGCCGCTTTAAGGCGACGGGCGCGTGTCGCCTCAATTGCTCTTCTCGGGGGGAGTGGGAAGAAACCCCTTTCTCGAGTGCCAGCCCGCAGCTCAAGAGTCTCTTGGGAGAATTTGATTGTTTGATTCAGAAGAGGAGGGAGAATTTAATAAAAAAAAATTTTAGAGGATAATTTTTAAGTAAGAGAGTAGAGACTTGTATTAGTAATTCTTGATTTAAAATAGTTTTCCTAAAAGCTAAGAACCCCTTATAACCAATTTGTTCTTCCATTTAATTTTGGATATTATCACCCAATCTTATTTTTGGTTCTCCCCCAACCCCAACCCCAACCCTTTTTTTTCGGAGGAAACTTCCCCCAAGAATTGTCAGTACTTTGTTGTCTGGCAGCTGTATTTGTCTTCCCATTCCCATTCTTCTCCGGCGGAGACTCGTTTCTGTTTGTGTATCTTATTAGTCATGATTATCACAAGTGTTTCCAAGTGGCACCCCAATATTTCCCCCCTTTTTTTTCGGTTCAGCATCGGTACTTTATTTATTATCATTTGTCTGCCAGCCACAAATATTTCTTTCGTGGTGACCCCGACGCCACGGGTCACCATTCCGGTGCATATTTTGGGCTACTCCCCAGGAGTATTGGGGAGTATGGCTCATCGGTAATGTATATATCTCTTTCCGGTTTCAAGAAGCCTTTCCCATTTCGTATTTGCTTATATTTTATTAGTATTTTTTAGCTGGAAACTTACGGCTGTGACGCAAGTGCGATAAGATGGGAAGGTTGTTGCATAAATAAAAGAGGGTTTTTTTTATAGAATTTTAATGGTGTTATTAACATACTCTATAAATTATAAAATTAAGAATAAGACATAGTATTTTACTATATTTCTTGGTGATATTTATAAAGGTTTCTGTTCTAGAGGTTCTAAATCTATAATTTAGTTATTATATCTCTCGGATGGACATAAAAGTAGGTTTACTTCTTGGAGAATCTATAGAGAAAATACTCTTTCTAAATACTCCTTTATTATATTGAGAGTTTTGGGATAGAAATAGGGTTACTTCTCTTCTTAAAAATCTATATTAAAAATACTATATCTCTGATATTATATCTCTGATATTATTATATCTCTAGATTTTCAAGATATCTTTAAGGTAGAGATGGAAATACTTCGTGTATATAAGCTGAGATACTTTCCAAATACTCTATAGTTTTCTTAAGATTTTTAAGATAGTTTCTTCTATAAAAGATCTCTACCAGATAAAATAAATACTATATATCTGAGATAGAAATAAAAGTAGAGATACTACTTATAAGAAGATTGAGAAGATTATACTGTTGTCTATAATTTTATGAAAAAGTAACTCTATTTTCAAGATATCTTAAGGATATAGATGAAAATGGATGATAGTACTTCCTATATAGAGAATCTCTATAGAGATTAGAGATCTATTAATCCCTATATAGAGATCTCCATCACTCCCTCAAAACCCTATTATAGAGAATGTAAATGAAGAGTGTCTTTTTCTAAGAAAGTGAATAATTTTTTTGGTGATGTATCCACGAGATATCTCCTGTCATGTGACCATATTTAAATAGCTTGTTTGCTTTACTATTTCAGGTGATTTCGGGCAGTGTATTTACTATCTGGCACCTTTGGTATTTGCCCAGAGGTGAGTGTGCTGATTATTATTTGGCTGAGGTGTCGCCAGGTGATGTTGCTTAATTATGCCCCCGGGCCAATCGGGGTTAGTCACGTCTCTCCACTCTACACACTCTCTTTTATTATTATACCTTTTATAACATCGATTTAATATTTTGTTTGTTCCTTCACGGAAATCAGCAGTGAGCTGGATGTGGTGAGGGGATGCGTGTTTCGCAGGATACTTCCTGCTGGGCCAGGATGAAGTTATCTAGGAAGGGGCAACGGATGCAGATGAGGGCGAGGGCGAGGGCATTTTCTACCTGAAACTCTACCTCTCTTCTCAGCCTTGTTACCTGTCCGATCGAATGCAAAGATAGCTAAAGGCCCAAGGCCCTCCCTACCTGCAGCTGTCGTGAAGGAAATACCTCCTTTTGCGTCAAATTGGAATGCGATTGTTGGGCTCTATAGCTCTGATGTTAAACCGACAGCCACAGTTCGGTTGGCATTCCGAAATCAAATTAGCCATACAGTGGACACTCCAATAGTGGCCACAGAAGCCAATTGCCTAATTGAATTTGCGCATTAAGTCGACACTCAGGCGATGACGATTGTCACTCAAAGAAATACAAGCCCCCAAGCCCCCAGCCCAGTTCTACCCACGGACCCAATGTCAAAGTCATCCATCAACGAGTGGGGGTTATTATTGGGAGGGGGGGATTATAGGCCTTAATGCTATGGAGATGCAGAAAGCATCTATCATTGAAAGGGGATTGCTTCCAAATATGTGATTATATGGATAAGGTAGGAGGAGGTATTTCTTCAAAAATATTTCATAACTTTTGGGTTTTTATTAGTATTATAGTCATCTTTATAGAGTTTCTTATATAGAGTATCTTTAAAAGTAAAGATATTATGCTTATTAAGGCATTTTTCTAACAAATATCTTTTATAATTCTTACAAATCCCCAAGTATATACATATATTTTCATTATAATTATCATAAATACTTAAGTATACTATACTATAAACAAAATCCCGCAACTCCAGAGATTTCTAATAATTCTCTCTCGAACTCTTTGAAGAATCTCTCCCCAAGAACCTATCTTTCAACACTTCCAGAACCATTCTCAAATCAAATTGGATGTGATCGGATCTGACCACTTTTGATTAGATCCCCCGACTC